GAAGTTTTCATTTGATGAGATTGTTATGGTTTATTTTGACATTATTGGTAAAGCTTCCAAATTCTAACAGTCATTGCTCTGCGGTGCTCCCCTGTGTGTTTCATCAGGCTTATCATGGAAAAATCTTTAAGACCTTGACCTTGTTTGTTCATAGGCAAAAAGACAAAAAAAAACGGCTCTTCCTGTGTCATTTAGAAACAATTTATTGTGAAATTATTCGGTTCACTAACCACACCATCACACAGTCTGTTCAAATGTGTCAGCAGACCAAGAGCCTACTTGAAAACAGCTGGATGGAGCAAAGCAACTCACTTCCATGCAGTATGACAGGCATAATACTAGTTAGTAAGTGAGTAAGTGGATAGACTGAAGAATGATAAATGCAACACAGTTATTAATCAAATTTAGGGTAAAGATTGGTGATAAACCTGCGCAGAACTGCTGATCCGACATCAGACAGACTAAAAGACTAAAACAGGCTGTGTTGCCCTCTCTAGTCTCCTTCATTATTTTCTGTTGTTATTGTGACTTGCAGAGGAGCCAATTACTCTCCGGGTCTTTGTAGCTATCCTTTTTTAAAACCTTACAATGAAGTCTTCAGGTGGCTCATGCAGATAGCTTGCTCAGGTATCTCGTTGTTCTTTTGTCCTCTGTAATTCTAAAGAGTGCAATAATAGAAAGGATGAAAAAAGCTCTGTACCAAGCAACACATGATTGTAAAACATTTTTAAAAAATGAGGACAACAAACATGCTTCACTTGCTTCGTTACCATCAAATAATTATATCGTGAGCATAACTCGTGCTTTTTCTTCAACTTTATCTAGATGGACTGCAGATGTCGATGTAAGATCCCCATTTAAGGCAGAATCCAATGTTTAACAACAGAATGCAGCATTACAATGGGATGATCAATGTTGTTTGCTTCGCCTCTTAATGGTGATAATGTTGTGCCTCGGTGTTAAATATTTCTTTGTGAATTACTATACAAGCATTTACTCTTTTTTATCCTACATCTTTATAGGCCTATTATGTGCTCTTGGCAACAAAGCCTTAACTAAACTGAAATAAGGGGCTTCGACGTGCAGCCTCAGTGCCCACATCCTCACTCACCAAAACTTCACAAACTCATTGACCGGGTCATTGAGTTCTTGTGATAGAAGCGGTCACAAAGGACAGCAGTAATTTGACCAAAGTGGCCATTCTTTACAACAGGTCACGACCCCTCCAAGTGATCAGTGTGTGAAATGTCCTCCAATGTTCCACCTGCGTTCCCAGACCCCCGATGTTGGGGTGAGATTGAAGTGGGTCCTGTGGCAGTGGGCTCCGTGTCACTGAGCCAGTTACCGCAGCAACTGATAATTTTCCAAGCCATCCGCTCGGATGAGGGGTCAGCCTCTATTTCATTCTTTATCGTTGGGTCTCTCGATTTCACACACCTCATGTGTTTTTTTCCCCCCAATCTCTATGGGTTCTCATACCTTCTTTCACACCCACTGGTTGACCTCTTTCACCTCACCTTTTGGTTTGGCATGATATCTCATTCTTGCTACACACAGTATTATTGCAATTATTTTTCACCCCAAGCTTGTTATACCACCCATAACTGCTTATCCAACTTGGCGGTCACATCTCATGTCCTCCTGTTTCCTCTAACAGAAAGTTAACTGTTGGGCTCGGCTCCCCTGTCTCCAGGGCTTTTTCTCACTTTTCCATTGATGACATTTGGACTTCACTTTTGGAGTTAACTTGCCCATGAAGTGCTTCAAAAATATCACCCAGCTTGTATTAAGGCAATACATTCTCCCATCACACTCTTGTATTCGCATTGATGTGCAAACCGACACCTTATCAAGTACAATGTAATGCACCCACTAGCTTGGACTGCTAGCTTTTCAAACTCAATTCAGTATTAAGTGGGTATGTTTTTATGCCAGCCTCCAACAATTTCTTTTCACAGCCAAATGATTTGTACCTATCCAGCTCCCAATATGAAAGTAATGCTTGCTCAGAGTGATAAGTAAAGGAGAAGCATCGTCTGTGCTTTTTTTTTGTGTGTGTGTGCACAGAAATGTGATAAAACAGAACGTCAAGGCAAAGAGACTGAATTGTTTTGACAGCATTTTCCAGTTTCTAAACAAAAAAGACATTTGAAAAACTAGGCCGATGAAAGACTTTATCCATCACCAAAGCGGAATCGACTTGAAATGATTGTGGACCAGGAGAGCTGGCATGTGTCAGCTTTGGTTGATTGTTGATCGGCCCGCAACCTGCAGAGAGGCATCTATGAATTAAGACAGCAGTGGAACCAGATGGGCCCAGAGCATCTGCAGGGATTATTTATATCTGCACAAATAATTCATGTACAATTACGCAGGAAAATTCTGTGTTGCAGCAGAGTTGAATTAGCTCTTTGATACATGCTGGTAATCAGTGGCTAGGTTAGTTGTACTTTGGAGCATAGCAGGTTAAAAGAATGCTGCAAGACAAATATTATTTTGTATGTATTCCCATTTATTTCTACGACTAAAAAAATCCCAAGACACTCAACTATCGAGTCCTGTGTGTCATCTGCTGCTGCTTTTGGAGTAGACTCTCGCTGTTAACCGGTCCAAAGCCCCTCCGGTATTTGGGGATCCCCTGGCGCTTCCCTGCAGATGTACTATCAAAACATGGCCGTGTCTCAATTAAGATAAGATAAAGCGCTCACTCTCAGATGTGTTGCCAAGGTCAGGTAAGCGAAAAGATCAAAGCATGTAAGGAAAGTATTCCCCTGTGGTGCAGACACACCGGTCACATCACAGTAGGTGTTTAGTTGTAGTAGCAGTAGTGGGTGTGGGATTAGACCATCCTGCTGGTAGTCTCAGATGAAACAGGTTGAGGAGGGATGGGTAGTTATACGATAGCCTAAACGAGAGTGACATACTTGGATGAGCTCCATTCACCAAGTATTAAACACAATTAGAAGGAGGCACTGTATCCCGCCCCACCTGGACTTTTAAAGCTCCTGGTACTCCCTATTGCTATGGCTCTAAATCCACTTTATCTGTTTGACCTCTTAAACTCCCCATTCATCTGCTGCATCTTTAAATCCTTCTTCGCGCTCTATATAATCTAACCCTCTGAATAGTGTCAGCCGACAAGCCCTTTACCAGCATTTTTTTTCAATTGACTTTTCATCCTTTCTATTTTTAACTGAATATTTATAAAGGGTTCGCTGGAAACTCCAAATGAATTTAGTCGCCGCAGATTTATTCCGAACAGAAGTGAAATTTTCTGTGAGCACCAATGCATCTTCTACTCTCTAAGTGTAAAATTCCTCACTCAGAACACTGTTTCACATTTTTAGAATTGAGAATTGAATATTGTGGCTCCTATGTCACCTATGTGTGACCAGAAAGGTGTAGTTCTTTCTAAAGCAGAGTCTTGAGGTCTGTTTGAAACCACCAGCTACCTTTAACCTTGTTCCCCTCACTTGTAATTACACAAACTTTCGTCGTAATCTTTGTGAGAGCAAGTTTAGTTTTCCGGTTGTGCTGCTGTCTGCGTCCCAAAACTCTTTGAGCCTTCGAGGTCACCCTCTTCAAAGTGAAACCTCTAGATCACAAAGGTCACTGGTTAAAGATGGTGCGAATGAGCTCGTCGGACACTTGGCTTATGTATCTACATGATCTATTGCACTAATTAGACCTGAGGGCCATGAGACCTACAGTTAAGACTCCAAATTTACACAGAAGCACATGACACGCCATATCTGAGTGCTACTTTAAAGTTCAGTGGAGTTAGAGATGAGCTGTAAGTCAGTAAGTGTGCCTGTGGCGGGGCACAGCTGACTTACCGTGAGGAAAACTGCAGCCACATTTCTTTTATATGGACGTTTGCAAGTGCAGAACTTAGTCACACTTATCCATTTAGCTTTTTTGAAGCTTCAACCTTTGAAACAGAAAAATGATCTCTGTGTGAGGTGGGTTCATTATTCTGGATTCAACAGAGAAAGAAGGAAAACCGGTGAAGCATTTCAAACAAAACCACATTCTCCCCATAATCCCTACCTAATGATGGTTGTGTCTGGATGCTGTGTGTGAACATGCATTTTCCACTGTGTTTGTGTGCATGCACAGCAGGTTTTTCTGCACATATTGCTGACCAGCATTAAAGAGTTCTCTTGCAGTGGTGCATGAATTAGAGATGCAGGTGGGAGCAGCGGGAATATATGAGGGGGAAGGATGAGAGGGCAATGATTTGCTGTGACCCCTTTCCATATTTCTATTTATTTTGAATGATTCTTTATTTATTGATTGATATGGTTAGATTGCCTGGGATTTATCATTCTATTAGGTATGCACACAAATGTCACTGCCTGGTTCCTTGTCCATATTTCATCAAGAAGTGCCCGTGCTGTATGAGCCTTATCTGTGATAAATAGACCAACACATCAGCAGACGGGACACCCCACTTTGCAAATCAAAGCATTTTGAGAGGACTACCTTGTGTTAAAATACACTTTGCAGACACACTCATCTGCTATGGCGAGATTAGGGAATTGCTCCCTCTAGGTTAAATTGGAAAATACTGCAGGTGGTTTTGAAGATCTTGGAAGTTTTCATTTTATGGGTTGGGAGTAATTACATCTCTGTTTGTTCTGGATTTAATGTAATCAGCTCAACTGTTCAAAACCAGCTTGGCCCGAGTCCAGATTTTGCTCTAATCTCATGCAGAGCTGTTATTGGCTTATCATGGCTGTAATTAGTGTAAACCCTCTTGTTTTTTTAGCAGTGTTTGTTGAGTGTGTGGGCCCCTGGCAGCCAGGGGAAAGTGAGACTTTTGAGATGTGTTTTTTTTAGAGCCAGCTTTTATTTCAAATGAAAGATCACCATACTCCTTTGAGGAGGCCTATAATTGTAACTGAAGTAACCATGGGAGGATTAGGAATGAATCTGTCTGTGAATATATTGTCACCCTGAAAAATAAGATTGTACCCTTTTTTCTCACCTTATGGTCCATGGTGTCTTTTGCCTTGCAGTTATGTGGCTGTGGGCTGCTAGGCGTGGGCATCTGGCTCTCTGTGTCACAGGGCAGTTTTGCCACCTTCTCTCCCTCAATGCCCTCACTGTCAGCTGCTAACATGGTCATCGCCATCGGTGCAATCGTCATGGTTACGGGCTTTCTCGGATGTCTGGGTGCCATTAAGGAGAACAAGTGCCTGCTTCTGAGCGTGAGTAACATCAAGATTTCTACATCATACTTCTATAGAAAGCTATCTTAGAATGTATACATGCAGTGCTGTTTCTCCCTTATTTCATCTCACACTTCTCCCAATTTAGAAAACTTGTCTCTCTCATGATATGACCCTAGAACAAGCAGGCACAATGAATGTTTTTTTCTTTTTATTTAGGGAGTTCATCATTTCTCTGAAGTGCTCTGTTGATGCTCCTATCTATTTTAACCTAACCTGATATACCAGGTGCTTCATTTCAGAGTCTTCTTGGATGTTCCTGTTGAAGCTGTTTTTAAAAAGGGCATGAACTTTTCAAATATGCCGAGTTGGTAATCAGATGAAGCATATTTTTATAGAAGTCACAAGATAGCTTGAGGCATTCAGATTAATCACACACAGAATCAGATGGTCAAAACGAAACACCACAGGTATGACTACCATTTTATCTCAAACTTGCCTTTTTTACAACTAAAGGAACAGCTGCATTATTGTAATGTTGGAAGTCTTATATACCTGACAGGAATCCACTTAGTTTACTCCCCTAACCTCAATACTACCTTCAGATAAAATACAGTAGTTTGCTTTATCAGTTGCCCTCATTTAAAATAAGTTTGATTACCTTAGCACCTCCACTTTTGAAGATGGAGTCATTTCTGTTTAAAACTGTTTACCTTTTTTTTAAAAACATACGTCACCAAAAAATAAGTAAACAGATGGAAAATGTCACCCACAGGCTGCAAATGTGCAAACACAACTCATAAAGGGAGTTTCCTATAGCTATGAAGACATCGCCATCAAGAAATGAAAGTGATCCACAGCGTCTTTACTGTTTCTCATGAAGACTCTGGTGTTCACATTTACAGCCAACCCATAACATCTGGCATGTTATGCTCATAGCTGAGGCATTGTAAGGGTATGATGGCAGCTGGCCCATTCCAACTAGCTCTGTTTGCAGCAGTGCCAAATTAGCTGCTAGACGGGAATTATGACAGTGTCTCACATAATGATGCAAACAAATAACAAACGAAAACGCTAACAGCGCTTCCAGGCAGTAAAATTGTTTTATGTTAAAGAGAACAGCATCCCGCCTGAGGTTTTAAAAGTACATGTAATCAACCTAAAAAATTGAAAATCTAAGATTTATTTTCATTGCTAAACTTCATGGAACCTAGGTAAATATTCGTCACAACAACTTTGGTAACATATCTGTTTTTCACAGACAGCTGTGAATCATATTGCTTGCACTTCATTTTTAGTGGGTTCGCATTTTGTGCACAGCATATTTGTGACCTTCCCATAGATTTTTAGTAGCATGACGAAGGGGGCTGTTTCTGAATCTCTTGAAATTGCCAGTAACCTTTTACCTGGCATTATTTGATTGTACTTTGATATTCAGTTGCCTTGGGGTGGTTAAGGTACACCTCCACAGGAACACACCCCCGTTTTTTATTTGTCATTTGGCCAGAACCTCAGTGAAGGAAGATAAGATGACTGACAAAAAAAGTCTGTGCTGTGTCAAATGCAAAGGGAAAATTCAATTGGAATAGAGCAATTGCATTTATGTTTTGTACAAATTAACATCAGTGCACGTCATTTAGGAGCCTTTAGTCACATCTTGGTACGAGAACCATCAGTCAGGAGGACAATTTTATGAATTATGATGGCAAATCACTACACTCTATTTACATTAAATGCTAAAAGGCACTTGATAATTATGGGCTCAATAATTAAGAATGTTTTATTATTCCTTATAAAGACTGCTCTGCCTTAATGTTGGACTGTTTGCCCAAAGTTGTGTGAGTGTTTTATCTTAAGCACCAGTTGATTATGGAAGTTCACCCAATGGAAGGAAGTGTGTGTGTGTGGACCCACTGCAGAATTAAAAAAAATAAAAAAACTTCCACTTTTAGAAACTTTAAATGAGAAGCAGAGGTTGGGCTTTGAGTATTTAACATCACAAACAGCTCAATCCCTTGAAGCTCTTGCATCAGTCAAAAGCCCCACCAAATCCTTGGTGTTAGACATGGCTTCCTTCACCTGCTTAACAGCTGTGAAGCAGAGATGGAGAGAGTGGAGTGCACGGAGGGAGAGAAGAGGCTGAGGAAGAGAAAAAAAAGACTTAAAGGAAAATATGAAAGTTGTGGTGTGTGTGATGACATTTCACATTTGGACACTCCAAAAGTGTTTATTGCAGAGGAATCATTGCTGTTATTTTTTTCCCACCCATGCACAGCAGTTACTGGGGAGAGAGATGACATAGTTTAATTGTACCATGTCATGGAAAGACCAGAGTACGTTTAGGTCTTTTAAGGATAACACTTTACCTTGAGCATTTACCTAGGCACATGAGTTAGAAATATTAAAAGCCCAAACATTCTCTGCTTCATATTTTCTCTCTAAAACGCCTCAATCAACAGCAAATGAGAAAGCACACCCTTAAATCTGAGAAGGCACGTGCTTTTTGTTATGTATTCACATGCAGGGCCATTGAGACATCAGAAAGCGCTCATTTAAAGCAGCAGGAAAATGTGGCAAGTTGACTGTGAACAACAACAGTGATCCCCTTAATTGGTAACCCAGATACACACCCAACAGCAGACTGCCAGCCGTTTTTGATGTGGGGCGTTATATAAAAAATATCTCCCTCCCCTTCCTCCCAAATGAATTTGGAATTGATGGGGCTCTCTAAAATCCAGACTTGCAAAAGTGGTTGGGATATATGGAGCTGAAGTGGAGTCAAATAAGAAGAGGAGAAGAGCAGCTGTCTGAAATGCAGCGCTGTGTCAGAAGTTAATCTCAGGGGTTATTTAGCCATCTTTCTCTTCGCACATGCATTTAGTGGCCCTCAAGCACTTAATTTTTCCTTGTTTTCACTGCTAGATCAATTCCAGTCCTCCTGACCTCAGGTTAAAGACAGTAAATTAGGAAAATAGCAGTCCAGTTTTCCATGCAGGTTACAAAACTGCTCCTCAGGTGCACTGATCAACACACGATCTGTTGTCTGTTGAAGTTCGGGGCTTTTTGTGGCTATTCAATGCAAGGTCTGGAGCCAGACAGGAATTTTAGTCTCCAGTTTAGCAAATAACCTCATTAAATCCACAATGCGCGCCTTTCACTGTTTGGTTTTTGCACAGATTGAACAAACAAGATAAAGTGCTTCGATTAATGAGCTTAAAAAGAAACCACATTTTCTGTTTTAATCCTGGGGTAAGCCAATGGACTAAAACCCTTTTTCTTCTATCTTTTGGGACGAAGCGCGTCCATTTCCCAAAATGTCAAATTACTGCTTTAACCAATCATGTTGCCAGAGCAACTGTTTAAAACGGGACCTTTCTCTCCATCTCTTCAACAGTTCTTCATTGTGCTGCTGATAATTCTCCTGGCAGAGCTGATATTGCTCATCTTGTTCTTTGTATACTCAGATAAGGTAAGTGGATTTCATTCCTGAATCACATCTTTTTTTTTTCGTCATGGTTTTTACAGTGTTTTGCAACAACTTCTTTAGTACAACAGTGCGTCCTAAAAAAATAGCTTGAAGGCTACATAACACGAGTAAAAAAAAGAGTGAAAACATTTTGAGGCTGATGCATGTTCTAAATAGTGTGGAATAGGTCAATGAAAATACGGCAATTACAAATGGGGAAATAAACATGTGGTGGAGTAAATTACTACTATTCAGACCAGTTGCTATCAGGTTGATAACACAAAAAAAAGATCAAGACATAAATCTTTCTGAAAGTGAATAAGGAGGGAATCTGCAAACATTTCTATACACAGGGATAAGGAGAAACGAATGGTAATGGACCAGAATGAAGTGGAAGACTGTCTGCTTAATCATGAATGTAATGTAATTCTACAGATTCAGCTCCCCTGCCACATTTTAGAAAACCTTTTTTCTTTCTGGCGGATAGATAAAATAATTACGCACATTGTATGTGCATTGCCTTTAGTCTTCATGAAACAGATTACATTTACAGTTTACAAAGTTTGCATTTTAAGGTTAGTGTTGCTTCATATTCATGAGTGATTTGATGAGCAAAAAAAAGCCTCCCTGCAGCTTTAATCTTTAAAACATTAAATGCAATTCCATTAAAGACTGGAAAAAACATTTTCCTTTCAAATCGACTGAAATTAATTTCCAGGATTTTTTTTTCATTTATTGTAGATGTGAAATTCAAAACGAGCACATATTTTATGGAACAAAAATATGTTCTCTCTGTAATATTTCATCATTTTTGTATTTTTTCTTCTTTACCTTGTACCGTTGCATATAATTGCATTGTCTTGTATTCGCATTTTACACAGAGTTCCCCTTTCTTTTTTTAAGGATTTGAGTTGTGTGGGCACACATTGTAAAAGCTATGGGGAAATACTGCTCCCTGGAATTTCTTGTCGCATTCTTGTCGCACAAGTGCAGAGAGCAGTAAAACTTGTGAGCGTGATAAACGTGGCTGTTATCCAGTTGCTTCCGGGGGTCACAGTATCATCTTGTATATTTAGTTGTTTCCCAGACAGGAGCTTGGATGTCTTCATTCTGCCATTCAGGCAGCAGTCAAAGGTTAGGCCACGAAATTCAGTCCAATCCGCACCAGTTGGCTCTCTGTAATTAGTCCAGCACATTTCACATGACCCCGGTTAGGATGAGTCAAATGAATGTCCGAGGGGTCACAGCAGATGAGGATATATAAAGCTGTGGATATTACTGATAAACATAAGCAGACTAGATTCTTCAAAAAGTGTTTAATTGTTCTATGCTGAGTCAAACTACTGCCTAGTGTGGGGCGAGTACTGAAGACTTTTTTTCACGAGCATGTTGTTGATGGATCTGCTTTGCTTTTATGGAAGCCTTTGGAACTTCGGTTAATTCTTCTCCTCTGTTCAGAGGTTATTTCTCAGACTCTCAGGCAGATAAAGGAATTCATTTAGCAGGCAATCCATTCTCAGATTTGGATCGGGTCTCACAGGGGTAAATATGCTTGTTGCTTTATCTCCAATATTACTGACTTACTTTTTAAAAAAAATAAGTGGAAGAAGAACTCATGAGCTCTCCAGGGGGATTTAAATGCTATCTTCTTGACTCCACAGTAGCAGTGAGGATCTCTTAAATGAGAGATCAAACAAGACTACATTGGACTTGGTTATGCAAAGGGGGAACTGTCTCATTCACACTACTTGCAGTGCATACAAACCATCTTTCCTGTTTGTCTCACCTCGCCAAATTGTAGTGTGTTTAGACCTAATGGGATATAAAATCACAGTAATATAGATCACAAGTAAATATACGTTTCTTTATTGGTCTTCAGATGTCATTGGACAGAAAAGCCATTACAGCAAATCATATGTTTTCAAAAATAGTGTGTTCTAAATGAATATCTCTAAATGAGATATTCTGGAAATTAAAGGATGTCCACACAGGATGAAGGACAAATGATGTGCATCTCATAAGGCCCTCTGAGCAAGCTTTCTGTGCATCTCTCCTCTCGATTTCCTTCTCTCGAGTGAGATTTCGTATGCTGTGTGAGCCTGCCCTCATCCGCCGCTACAGGCTGTGATCAGAGGAATCTCTAATTCTCTTCTCCTATTTGATCCGCTCATCACAAGGCATTTATTAACAAGTCTGGAAGACATACAGTAGTTGTCGGCTTTTAAACATGTATTGACAGGCAAACAGATATTTTAGTCTTTATAAAAAGGTCATGTTTAAGTCATGACTGAGTTTTTGTGCAAACTGCAATCTGTGTGACAAGCGGTCAACGAAATGTGTTGAAGATAGCAGCATGCAATATCTGTTTTTTTTCCTAAGGAGCATGTTTTCACAGCCCCTGTTTAGTCTATCTTTCTCTGGATTTCTTCATACTCATCAGTTTAAGATGTGATATTCTTACTTCTTTAACAGAGATTTTCTCTCTGGGCTTCCTTAACCCAGCAGTCTAGCCTCCAGGTATGCATGGCCTCTCCCCATTTGCCTCCACAACCCAGTGGTGTTAAGCCTCCTGATTAAAGGCCATGTAGAGACACGTAGTATAATAAAGGCTTGCCCTGAAGTTAGCAACCAGCTGACTACAGCAGATGGCTGGGCCACAAACCAGATTACAGCCATCCGTCTTTAACGGTGTGACCTCATTGCGCCGCGGTCGACCCAACACGCCCAGCTGAACACCAGTGAAGGTTTTATTAGCTCAGAATAAGGAAAAGAATTACCCGGCACGCTGTGCCATAATGTGCAGAGCACAGGCATGTGGACATAGGGCAAAAAAAGAAAATCTGTAGGTGAGGTGAGAAAAAAAAGAGGGCAACGGGCCATAAATGGTAATACAAAAAAACAGCATTTGATAAAGTATATATAGCTATTCTAAAAGGGACACGTTAAGTGCGGAGGTGTCACTATAAGGTAAAACGTTGGGAAAGAGGCAGTGGCTATGGGGATGAAAAAGAAAGTTTACAGCTTAAAATGACTAGTTTTGGGAACAGAGAGGTCCGCGGCACATGCCTGATCTATCTTACTAACCGCGGAACAAAGCATCAGACGCATCTGCTATGTTCTGCTCCGTGTAAGGCCAGAATTGTGTTTAATCCCTGGTCATGTATTATTTTTCAAGACCAATTACAAAGAAAGAGAGGGGGTCAGCTCCTGGATCAATCATCTGCCCTGCTACCGGCGACCTGCTCCTGGCTCGCGGAGCAACTGAGGGAATTAGGTGTCCTCTTTAATGATGTGCTTTGGCTCTGATGCCGTTTGTCCTCTCATCATTTATTATAGTCTCGGGGCTTTAGACACCTTTGCTCAGCAAAAGAAAAGCAAAAGTAAAACTTCCCCTAAGTCAAAGACAACAGTTGAAGCCAGCATGTATGATGGCGTGTGTTAGAATAATCATGCTGAAGGGCTCTATGACCATGGGACATGTTTAAAAGAAAGAGAATGTAGAGGAGATGTAGTAAGTTGTGTATGTTGGTATCAGTTATGCTGAAAAATGTGTGGTACTGTTGATTCTGTTTCCGATTCAATCACTTCAGAGCACTCTCTCAGATGACTGAAAACCTTAACAACTGAGCTTTCTTTCACAATAAATGTGAAATATTCCATATTTTCACCCAGATGTTCATACTTTAAATACATTTGGTGTAAAGAGGTGGTAACTTTAAGGCTCCCGAGACATTTTTCCTGAAGAATCACTGGGAGGTTCTCCTTGTCATATTTTATTCAGTGCTTGATTTATGGAGTCAATTTATGGGGGATTAAAGGTGTCTGACCTTGATTTATTTAACGTGGATGAACAGCGTAGGCATCATCAACCATAATCAAACTATTTCAAGGAAATGCTTCTACACACAAAGCTTTTCTTTTGAGATTACAAAGAGTGCGATTATATCAGAAACAATTCTAGGAATTCATTTATTTTCCAGAGCACATACTGGTACAATGTTGTGTCAGTCTATGCAATTTGTGTGCCTCATGTTAAAAATAAAAGAACACAAAGAAGGACCAATAAAAAAAGGTGTCTTTTAATCAGCCATGGCATAATTCACATTCTTTCTTGACACAGGATTGCAGTATGTGTAAATTAAAAGATGTGACACCGTTCTAAGCTGTCTGTGAGGTATCGCCATATCCGTGAGCTAATTGGTTTAATGAGCCCACATTCTCATCTTAACTTCACAGGCTCACACTCCGCACTTTTAAACTGCAAATCCTAGTCAAATAACTTTGTTACTTATGTGCTGACTAGTCCTGCTCCAACAGTCCAGCTGTCATTCTGGTGAACGCTGTGCCCAAGTGGCTGCGGACCAGCTTCAAATGAATTGTAACATTGCTCTTTAATAGCATACTGGGCAAACTGGAAACTGTTAGCTTGCTTGTTTGCCACCTTCACTTAAAAGTGTCATTTTTAAGCTCTTACCTGTTCCAGACATGCAGCCAATAATCAAGGTAAAAATTATTTTCAGCAACAAATGGTTTTTCACCCATCGTCTTTGCCAAGGTTAAGTTTAGATCCAAATTTTGCACTTTTGCTTGCAAAAATAGCAACTTCCAGAATTCAACCTTTAAGTGCTTGTATTTGTACGTAGTGCCTGTACAAGAGACCAACTATGAAAAGAGGGTGCACTGATATTATTTTTCCCTCTTTTTTATTTTATTTTTATTCAGAATGACAATTTGTTTACAGTAGGTCAGTTGTTATTGTGTTTGTTCATTTTTCATGTTAAATGGTTTCACAGAGATCTGATTTAATTCTATTCACACAGTGCACCTTTAAAAGATTTAGATTTTTCAGTAATGAATAGAACCGATCGCCCTCAGCTGCCATGATTAAACACATTACCACCCTGCGTAACACCATCTTAAATGCTGTTAAGCTTTTTTTCATCAAAGGCAACAAACAAAACAAAACAAAAGGAATAGATCTCGGTGAGCTACATGGCCGGTGTGACCGTTGTCGAATGATCGTTTAGATTTTTAATTTGCAGTGCTTTTGTAACACTGATCCACTGAACAGATCAGATCTTTCACTTTTCAAAAAACTGGGCCAGTCAGCACAGTCATGTACTCTGGTAATGAGCATTCAGTGTAGCTTCACATCAGCACGGTGACAGGTCCCAGTGTACCTGCTCTCCTGGGTGTCAGTGTGTCACCAGATCTGGAGCCAGTTCTGAAAAAGTCAGCCCTCTCCCTTGAATACACAATGCATTTGTACTGGGATCAGATGTGCTCGGGCAACATAGGTGATAGTGATTGGAAGAAAAAGAAAAAAAAAGCATCTAACACCGGACTGCAACATTTCTAGACATGTTTTTATCTGTCATCTGACGATTTTTTTTTTATGCGGAACGCTCAGTTGGATTGAAAGCTTTCCCAACCCTGTCAACACGTGTATATACCGCCTTCTTTTTTTTATGATTTCTGAATTCCATGTGTTTTCCCAGCTGAGCTGAGCTGAACACTAGATTTGTGTGATGAATGTGCTGCCCGGTGCTGCAGAGCTCGGACAGGGTCAGCCTGGAGGAAGCAACAAGCTTATCTATGTAATGAGAAGTATGAACTGCGTTTCAGGGCTTTGTCAACACGCCACACATGAAATATTGCACTGATGCCCAGTGGCAGCTTTCAGGAAAAATTTGCCAGGAGTTAGATGCCTGCACAGTGCTGATTTGATGTATGTGAACACTTTCCAGTAGTAACAACGCGAAGCCTCAGTGAAGACGGTGGATTTTACAGATGGGAAAAAGTAGGCTAATGCCAGAGATTTTTTTTTATCTGCTTCTTTTACAAGGAAAAATGGGTCAGAGTGTTGCATGATCAAATCCCCCTTTGTTCTGAACTCATTTGTCTGCTTCTCGTTAGCTGTAAATATGGATCATTAGGTTTCATTTCAGGCTGTAACAAAGACTTCCACACTTGAAATGGGAGATATGCAGAAACTATAGGAGATTCAGGAGATAATTCTGTTCTCTGGTAGAGGGGGAGGCCCCGATCTCTAGTGACTGTATTTCAGCTAGGAGTCAGTAATGAGTCTGCATTACGTAGAGCCTGGATGGAGAACAGGAAACAACAAGGATCAAAACAAAGTTCAAGCAGAGATTGATGATACTGCTCATCATCTCATTTTCCTGAACAAGGACAGAAAAGGTTGGCCTGCAGCTGAAGTCTCAGCATTGGTTTAGGTCACAGGGAAAAAAGGACAATGTGATATGAAATGACACTAATCTTATTTTAAGGGTTTGAGAGGCAGTTTGAAATAGATTTGATATGATTAGTGCTCACCAAAGCATTTTATTCCCAAGGAAATCTTAATTACTTAGTAAGAATTCAATTAGGCTTTTCTGCAAAATACAGATTTTGAATGCTTTGCAACTGAGGAGGAAAAAAAGATTTTTATTTTCTCCACTGAGTTCCTTAATGACTCAGTTTAAAGCTTGGTCTTGTTTTGAGCGTGTGTGTGTGTTAAATGTTTGATCTGTCACTTAAAGAGCACCATTAACAGAAAAGAAACTGAGCTACACAAGGATTAGTCAAGTGACATTAAGAAGACTTCTTATTAAAAAAAGGGACAATATTAGAAAGCCTTTTCTGTCTCTTTTGTTCTTTTTTAAGTGAGGGATTTATTTAGCAGCCAGCAATTTCTGCATTTAGCAGCAGTCATCTATGCATACAGGAATAATAGAAAGCTAATAGCTAAAAAGCACTTTGTTACGTGACAAAGTGACACACGATGCTTCTTCTTTTCTTATGTGCACATTTTCTAAAGAATACATATAACTCCCTTATCTTCCTCTTCGGCTGTATTGTTAACTGTAACAGCCAGTGTAATCTCTTAGAAGTGATTCTGACTTGTGTCGCCTGTAATGATGTTGAACATGGTTTTTTAGTGTTTTTTTCCCCACCCCACAACCATAATTAGCCTGTATCTTAAGAGCCTCTCAATCTCTCCTGGCAGTTAAGAAATCCCACATGCATGACAAACTGCGGGAGAGCTAAAGCTCTCTGATTTTGCATCTCATTAACGCATCCAGCGAGATATTAATCTCCGCCAGACATGACATGAACCTGGTCCGGGTTCAGCCAGGAGAAAAATGATTTGCTAGCTCTGTGGAAGGGCATGCTAAAGCCGCACGTAACATGTCAGATATGCTGACATCACAAAAAGCTTCAGAAGCGGCGGAACTGCAACATGACAAGACAAAAAGCTTCCTATAAGAGGAAAAAGTTTGGACTTTGTTTTTCTCTTTTTCTCAGCTGAAATAAATAAGGAAACACTCTCTATTACGCTTTAAAGAATTTAGTGTGAATTGTTTTGTTGCCGGCCGCTTCTTGCAATTTCTCACACGTAGAAGTGGCTTGTTAGGACTGTGGACAGTAAAGGTCAGCCGATGCAAATTGCCAAATTTTATATAGACCTTGGCTTGCTAACACCTTGTCCCAGGGCTCCTCGAAACAGCTGTCTTGCACACTAAAAATTAAAATAATTGGATACTATAAAACAGCAAGGCCATAGCGACTTGTTTACAAAGACCAAGGTTGGGGGGACCGGGACCCTTCTTTGTGGGGTTTGCATGTTCCGGGTACTCTGGCTTCCTCCTACTGTCCAAGGACAGGTTAATTGGACACTCCAAATTCCCCCTAGGAGTCACTGTGAGTGTGTGTGGTTGTTTGTCTCTGTGTGGCCCTGCGATGGACTGTCCAGGGAGTACCTGCCTCTCACCTGTTGTGTGCTGGGAGAGGCTCCAGCCTCCGTCAACACCCACTGGGAATAAGCTGTATAGAGAATGAATAGATAGGCATCATCCATATTCAAACTGCAGAAATTTCAAGTATTACAGGCTTAGATGATTTTTTTTTCTCAAAACCTGTAACTAAAAACTGTCAGACATACACGTCCAATCTCCATTAGTCATTTCACCTGCAACAGCGCCACTCGAACATCTGAAAGCCCTACAAGCATGATCAGTGGGATGATTGTTTACCGCTGTATGAGAAAGCCTGAACGAGAGCTGGAGTTTTTAAAGGAGCAAATAACTCGAACACTCTCTTCAAACACTCGAGCAGCCTCTTCCTTCTCCTCTATTAAGATTAAACAAAGACTCTAATAAATGTAGTTGCTCAAATGCTGAGCCAGCCACCCCAACTAAGGTTTCTAACTCAGACTAATGTTTTCCTTTTTGTCATCACCAGGTGAGTGAGAATGCTAAGCAGGATCTAAAAGATGGGCTGGCACTCTATAACTCAGAGAACAACATCGGTCTGCGAAATGCTTGGAATATCATCCAGGCAGAGGTTAGTACACTTCATAGCTCACATTACTCTGAGTATTAGAAACATGGCCATGAATGTTTAATCATGAAAATGTAGAAAAAGTTCCAGCTAATGTATTTCCAGGCTTGTTGCTACAACATTAATCTGACATTGGAAATGGTGTTTTATTACATTATCTTTAATCCTCTTAAGAAAAAGGAGTAATTGCAGCCCTTTTTACCCTTGGATTTATTTTACGTGTACCAGAACGGAAATCACATATTCAGGGATCCTGTATCTTTCGCGTGTGTGTGTTTTCCCACAGTGGAAGTGTTGTGGTGTGATAGCGTACACAGATTGGCATGAGGCCCTGAAAGAGCAAGTAGTTCCTGACCGCTGCTGCCAAGAGCATTACCAGTACTGTGGGCGTAATTCCACCAACATGTTCTGGAACAGGGTGAGTTTGGGGTAACATGCATTCAAGTCTGTCTTTGTTAAACATGCAATGCAAAATCTGCTGTAGATGTGGGAGGAATATAGGATGTAATGCAAAAAGTATGCGGAGTAAATTCTTTTGGTGCGTGACAAAAGTATGATAAATTCCATCCATCCATTTTCTGCACACGTTTTATTAAATTTAGGGTCATGGGGACATGAGGTGGGGTACAGGTTGCCAATCAGTCACAGCACCAGCTCATTCATTCAATTCATTCAAACCAAACAAAGTCCTTACAAGTAATGCAAAGCGACATTTCATTTTAGCTGATCACAAAGAGGAACTAAAATGCATGACAAGAATTACTACAAAGATGCTCACGGGTCAATGAGTCCTCAATTAGACTCTTAAGCTGTGTTCTCTTAAGCTGTGACAATTGCATACATTCTGATGATCTCATCACAAAAAGCCGATCTATTTTTCTAAGATTCAGGCCTTTAAATGGGCCAGTTGTTTTTCCCAATATAGGTCAGGCTGCACGGATATTTCAGCATGTAAAAAGAATAAATAGGATTAATGAATGGACCTGGTGGGGACAAGCCTGAGAGAATTTCTGGCTGTAAAGTCAATTAGAAGACTAAAGCAAGCACAAGCATTCTGAGAAAGAATATGACTTCAGAGAAGATGCCATCTTAAGTACTGCAGAACGCCACGGAGAAATGCAAATCAGTCGCAGGAAACTTACAAAGCAACTACAGGCAAACAGACTCAGAAATCCAAATGAAGACAAAAAAAGCTGCATGAAGACACACGGCAAACACACCTGGATGCAACACTGCTGTAAGGGAATGAAGAATGGCACCAAAATAATGGCAAAGAAATGCTCCCTCGTTGGAGGTTATAGAGACGTCGACATCATGCCCTTTAGCTTGTATTCTGTCAATGATTGTGATACCAGTGGGATCATAAGCACGATTTATATGTGCATATTGTCTCATGTCATCTCCAATTTGCTTGAATGTGCATTGCTTTGAATTATAATTATGTGGCTCTAAAATATAATTAACGGTATTATTAAGTCATTGTCTTGCTCTTTAAATAGCATAGACCATGAAATTTAACAACTAATCCATGTTTAGTCCATCTGCTCAGTGGCTGCCTTTATAGCTCTGCTTAATTCTGAGCACAATGGATTTTTTTTTCTATTAAGCGTGAGTCGACAACCTGTTTTTTTTTTCTCCTCGTAGCACTGTTTTTTAAAATCTCCCTCACTCCACTTCAACTCTACTCTGCCATTGGTCTGCCACGTGATTTGCAAGCAGGTCCAAAGTAGAGGATTAAAAGCTGTAATATCATTGCCAATATGAGAATGGGCAGACAATGAGCTGGGCCTCTGGGAAATGTCATAACTGCAACCTTGTGTGTAATCTTGGCCAGAGGAGACAGCCACATGCTACTGAGTTAGGTTCTATATGCTGTTCCAGCATCCACATTCAAGAGGGAACTCCACTCTGCTGCTGAAACAGCCATTATATCCCTCACCTTGCCAGTGGGTGACCCCTAACTGAACCCAGGTGGGAATGTATAAGTATTCTTCCGTGCACACGTCTCATATATGTCCTGAGACTCTGCATATAAAAGTCATTCCTTATGAATAACGCTCTTATTTCAACACCTCATCTGATATGCATTCATCTGAAGGGAGGGAAATGGCCTTTTAGGACAAATGTGAACTGGATGGTTACATTTTTTTTCCAGGTGACTTAACAGCTTAAAGCCAAATATGCCACTGAGAGGTGACATGACTCGTTTTTATGCCTCTGAATTTACAAGGTTGTGCTGCATTGCAGGGCTGTTTTGAGAAAGTGGAGGAATGGCTGGATGATAACAAGCATCTTCTGGGAACCATAGCCATGGTCATCTTGGTCGTGCAGGTAGGAGAGAAAAATAATTATTTCCAACTCCATTTATTGTAGTTCCCTGTGTGCCCTTTCTGCTTTGTGACCATCTGTCTGGCAACACGGTAAAGAAAAAGTGTATGCTCAGTGGCCTCGCTGGCATCTTATTCTGTTGAGAAAGTTGTGGGGCTTGTGCTCCGTGGGTGTTCTGAGCACCCACATATCTTGAAATATTGAAGTTTCGTTCTCTGTTGCTGTCTGGAAGATTCAAAGGTACCTGGCTTTGTTCCAAGTGGGCTGCAGTCGGAAGATAGAAGAGCCAGGATACTGAATGTAGAGGAGCAAGTACAGAGTCACAGATTAAAGGCTCTGCAGGGAGGAGTGATACATACTCTCCTAGGGGTTCCGTTCTCCTTTGGTCCTAAACTCTGCTTTACATTCATCGCTCTCGAACTTCCTCCAAAGTAGTTTCCGCTAACATGGCAGCGGTGTTCTAAAAATGCCGACAGACTGAGTAGTAACCAAACCTGTTTTTGCAGTTCATTGTTTTAAAAATGTAACCACTGGATTGATTCCATTTAATATGACTGTTCACCCACAGCTGTGCAGACGTGGGCTCCAGTTAGCAGTGAGCCAGCTGTGTAAAACGACAGTGCTCCATTTGCGTGACAACTCCCACTCTGACTGGTGTCAGAACTCACCAGGAACTCCACTCCTACGTCTGTCTGTAGTCTTTCTGCAGTAATGAAATAGCCACGGTCTTTCAGTACTTCTTTCTTAAATGGAAGAGTGCAAGCTTAGTGAAGAATAATAGAAGGGAAATGCAAATGTCATTTTCTAAAGTCACCTGGTTATAAAGATGTATAATTTCCAGGGGACCCAGACATTAAAAGGAAAAGCTTAACTTTAAGACCAAAGCATGAAGTAGTCACCTTCACCATTTTATTTTACTTACAATGTTGTGCAGGAGTAACTAAGCGAACATTAAGTAACATGCCCATAAAGTCTTGCCAGTTTAATTGATGATGTTTAGAATAGACTATGTACTGTCCGATTTTTGCCTTCTTTCCAAGTCGCTCCTCTCTTTTGGATGATGTTCATCATTGAATTTATTGCCAAATGCCGTCTGATCATTAACAGCATTGTGTTGGCAGGCTAACAAATCTTGCTTACCTTAGCATTGGCGACTTGTAACTTGATTTTATTTCTACATCAGCTGAAAAAAGGTGTTGCAGTTAATTATTTTATTTATTATTTATTTATCTATTTAGCTGTTTAGGTGCATATTTCCACATCAAGACTCTTCTACGTTCACAATTCACTTCAAACTAATTACAATCCAATTCTCTCTAATGCAATCGTAATCCAATCAATCAGATTTGAAGTTAGGGAAACTCATAAAAACACTTTATTTAATCTGTGTTCCTTCATATGTCTGCGACTTTGCTTATGGCCATGCTATTCCAGTTTTTCATAGTAAGGACTTTCATCATCAACTAATGTCCCCAAATGGAAAACATGGAATCGTATGATGTTGTCTCCCGTTTGCTTGACCCGTAGAGGCAGGGATGAATGTCCTAAATGCATTTTTTCATGCATCCTGGCAGATTATATCTATGGCCAGATGGAACTAAACTGAGGTCACTGAGTACCAGGTGACAGCCCTCAGCAGGCATTCGATGAACTCGTCTGTAAATCTGACTTTCAGTGGTCGGGAGCTGTTGAATAGATTTGTGCCTGCAGCTTTTCTCTATTTATTAACTTGTGATAAACGATAACTGACCCAAAATTGCAAGCAAAATAAAAGGTTAGATGAGACTCAAGGAAATCCACGCCCGTAAAATTGATTTCAACCCTTGAAGAAAAACTCATCTGTTGTTTGCCTCAGATTTGTTTATTGTTGAAAAAATAGGGGCTTATTGATACAACACTCCACAATCATTTTATGTCTGCTCACATAATGACAATGAATGATTGCAAAAGGACACCATCATGGGGGACAAAAAGCTGTTTGCTGTCACACTTTCCTGCTGCCAGGAAATGATCTGTTAACCGTCACAATGCCTTTTTGTTGAATTCGAGCTTTTTAGAAGCTTGAATTTGAAGCATCTTGCATCAGTGTCATTTCTCTGGTGAAAGCTCTTTTTAAATTTGGACACCCAAAGTTAATTGTGAAGATTCATGTTTTTTTGTGTGAGATAGTTACAGTTCAGTCACCAAATTGAAGCTGACACCCTCTAACAGTTTTTTTGCTCCTGGAGACACAGATGAAACATTTCTGGCCATACTTGTTTCACCGGTCCGTCTGTCTTTTTGACGGATTGGTGGATTAAAGCAGAGTTAACCACACAGTGATCGAATATGTTTAGAGCAGCGCAGCAATAAGGTCTTTAAGTTCCCTTAATTGAAGTGATTGATGTTGGCCGTAAAGTCAGGAACTTCCTGTGAGAAAATGTGTGGCATGTGTTTCGTTCTCTCTGCAGAAACCTGGCAGTACATGCATCCGCGATTGCTACAGAATAAGGATTACATAAAAAAAAATATGGAAAAACAGACAGCAGCTCAGCTTCTGCAGAATTTACCTGACAACAAACCTATTCCAGCAGCTCAGTCACAAGCACTTTATACAAAAACGTTATTTTAAAATATACCTATGTGTAATTTGATATCTATTAGTGTGGCCTTGTTCCTTTAATTCATCCCTGCCCTCCAATGATCTCACATGGAGAGCTTGATGCTCTAAGAACAGCAGCAGCAGAGACCCCACTGAAAGGAACAAAACAGAGCAGCTATCAGTGACAACATGAAATCGACACAGCATGACGAGGAGCAGCGGAGGTTGAGAGGGTTGGCAGAAACAAATGTTGACTAATAAACATAATCCTCCTCCAGGTTTTAAGAACAGTCAAGCCAGTGTGAAAGCAACTTGACATTTGCCGTAATTCATCGAACCTGCTATGTAGGAACTATAAATTGGCAAGGCTGACTTGAAGAAAAGGCATTCGCGGACGGCCTCGTCTTTTATTCATTTGGCCCTGCACAGCGCTACTAAATGGCTCTCAATTAAAGCTTATAGCTATGCGGAAAGAATAAGTGCATTATACTTGATGCCACGACAAGCTGATTTTTAAATTTTCACTTATATTTGATATAACACACTTTTGACAGCAACTTTTTGTGCCTCTTTAAACTCACAAAGCGATGATGAATACATTTTATTTTGGATACTGACAAGGTCTGACTTGAGTTTTAACCTTCTAATCCCGGGTCTCCATGCACACTCACACTTCCCTCTCAAATTTAAGGCAAGAGTGAAGAATTCAGAGATAGAACCTGAGGCATCAGATTAGCTAATCCAAAAAAGCAAGGGAGGGAACCTGGTAGCAAACAACACAAAATGCTGGTCCAAACAATGTGCACATAATTGCCAGAGAGATTTGGACCTTTATGAATGATTTAGACTTATTTTGGAAACCTGTATAGATTTTTAAAAACAAATTATTTTAGAAGAAACCACAATTTAGCCATGGATAAATAGGCAAATAGGCTGTGACAAGCCTAACAACACAGTAATTTCACTAAGACTCAGTAAAGCAGACTTTGCAAATGTTCTAGATGAGCCACATATGAATAAATTGTGTTAATATTCCAAAGCCGCCTGTTTTGATTGGCAGCAGCTTAAGCTGGTCTTGGTCTTAAGCGGCTGCATGAAGACCCGACTGAAACTAAAGGCGAATCGGCAGCTTTCCCAAGTTAATCACGCACTGCACGACTCCCCTGTGTAGTCCACAGTAAATTTTTATTTAGAAAAAAAAAAAAGAATCCACACTGTACTTTTCCTGCCATCTGAAACATTTCAAGATAATGGTTTTAGGATCAGCGCTGCGACTGTGTTTGATGTAGAGGCATCTGGGGTAATGGAAACTTCAAAGAGATAGCTGGATACTTTGATTCAGTGGCATCTCAGTTTGCTTCATTGACTTGATGCTGGCGCACACTTGTGCATTTTTTTTTTTTTCGTCACAAAGATTCCAGAGCTCTCATTAGAGGACCTTCTGAGAAGGAAAATATGCCCTGTTTGCGCTCGCCACAGGATTTACTGTGCTTCAAGAAAACAACACAGCCCGAGGCACGAGCATCAAATCGACCTCACACTAGGAACAGAATGATATTCACAATATGTAGAGTCACAGTCTCCTTCTTGTTCCCTTTGCAGCTCCTGGGTATGGCGTTCTCCATGACACTGTTCCACCACATCCACAGAACGGGGAAGAAATACGACGCCTAGCCTTGGGTGATGGAACGCGATGGAGAGAAGCCCCACTGCCTAATGGGATGAGACTGATATAAACATCACTGTTTCCCCCCTCCACTTTACAACCTCCGTAGAGCATCCCTCATCTCCCGTCCTGGCCCTGTACAGATTCCAGCTGTGTTTCCACCCTCTCTGCTCTCTCTTCTTATCATTCATTTTGCCAAAGAGTAACACAACTGGAATAGAAGGGACACCTACTTTTGGCAAGGATGCGAGTCCCATCGGTTGTCTTGAGTATGCTTCATCTATTTTCAAAATTTTCTTTGCTTTCTTCTCTTTTTTTTTTTTTTCTTGGACTAACAATTCAATGGAATAATGGATTCAGGGACAATGAAGACTACAAAGATGCCCGCACAGCCGCTTAAGGCCTGTCAAGGCAAAGAGAATCCACAAAACTAAAAAAACTCTTCAATTGTTTTTTTTCCCTTCATGTTGATTACAGCTAAGCCCCCTTTCCCCCTTGTAAATTAATAAAGATCCGACACAGCATGCTAGTTTTCTACTTCACTGATTTACCTGTGACTTTGAGATGTCTGTAGTTGCCATTTTTTGTTGGAATATTCGTTCTTTTTTTCCTGTATGTATATCATCAGCTCTCTGGTGGAATGTAAGTGTTGAACAGATCAGTGCAATGAGCTCTCAGACGTGCGGCGTGTGTATGTGAGCGCGGTTGGATTTAACGTGACGTTTCCGTGGAGGGGCACAGACATGTCAGGAAAGGTTTTTAATGTAATCCATGTCATTTTTTTTTTTTTTCTTCGCTCAGCTGTTGAGATTTGAGTAAAGGGAATGCGACGAGAGTGTGAGAGATCATCAGTGGATTAATTTTAAATCAAATTCTGCAGTGTCCTCTGAATAATAGATTGAAATCAGGATGCAGCACAGCACTGGTATTTTAAATCCCCATGTGACATTACAAATGGAGTTTAATGGTTGTTTATTACTTTTTCAAGAGCCCCTTTAACCAAAGTGATAAAGTTATTAAGTTTGAGACAAGACTGTATATATATATATACTGTATTAGCTTGAAGCCACTGGAAACTGGCTGTATTTGTTTTATCGCACAGTCCAGGCTGCAGAGCTGAAAAAAATTTGCAAAGACATACTGAGAGGCAAGGGCAGGACGGCGACAAACATGTTTTCTCACTGCGGCCATCAATAGTGCTGGCGGCGACGGCTGGGGGCTCCCTGTTTAAGGTCTCATCCATTCTCTCCTCATTCATACCCTCTGTAGCCGTTAACTCAGACTTGCCTCCATTTTTCTTTTTTCATCCCAATTCTCTTCCTACATGTCAAGAGGCAATGAATTTCATGCTCCGTGCGTACGCACACTGCCTCCGTTGATGTTCCTGCTCATTACTCAGTTAAACCTCTTGGTTTGCAACTTCCCGTGATTTGTGTAAGCTCACTTCTCATGCAGGCGGGAGCAGAGAGGGAGACGGGCGTGTAGGCAGATCAAAGCCGAGGCAGATAGGTATGGCACCATGCCCTGTAGGACACATCTGTTTATGTCTGTTTGCGTGTTGATGCACCACAGGAGGCCAGTGCATCAGCCAACCTCCCGTAGACCGAAAATGCTCTTTATTTGCTGGTGACTTAACAGAATGCCCTCCAGCGTGTCTGTTGAAGTCTTTTAAGATTCACTAGCATTAAAAAAAAAACACATTTTGTTAAAGGATCTTCTTAGCAGTGGGAAAGACTGTTCACTCGTTTCATTACTTATTGTCAGACTGAACACCAAGAATAAATGTAGTTTGACATCTGAATGTCAAACGAACACTGAAGGCGAAAAGCCATCAAAGACATTCAGTTTGTCACTAATAGTTATTTATTGTAGTGTGAGCACGGCGCAAATGAGAATAATAGGTCAGCATGGAAGGAAAGTCAGTGTGGAAATCCTGACAGTCTGAAAGAGCATTATCTCTGAAACTGAGGGTTTGGCTCCGTGTAGACAACAGGGATCGGCTATGAAGGAAAAATCGACAAAAATAAAGCTACTGATTTAATTTCAGTGCTTCATACCTTCACTTTTTCACTGCCTGCCTCTGCTTTCATTTCCTGGAGCTGCAACTCTGACTCCAAATTACCATGATGCCCTGCATCCCTCTTTTCGGCGTGTAGCTTTTTTTCTTTTATTTATCAGACATCCTCACAATTCCAATTTCAGACACATTGTGAAATCAGTTACCAATGTGTATTAAATTAGTAACAATTATTTAGCAAAATCCCAAACATTCTGCACACATTTAGAGGACTGTATGTACATTTCATCCACCCTAAATCCTCCCACATCAGTTTATTATTACCCTGTCCAACAGCGGTGTTTCCAGTGGCTTCATGTTTGCACTCTGCTTTGACAGCTTTAACAGCCGAGGCAGCAGAAGATTTGAGCTATCAGAGCCACATCAGCCCTTAAGTGGCTACATATTTGCAGGAAGGAACTTTATATCTATAACCGTTATTTTTCTGTTACACGGCCTAGCAAATAAACAAAAAATAACCTCGTAGGAGTAGACATTCTTCCAGTCTTGTTGAATGTTTGCCTCCAAGACTCCACCATTGTCATTCCTGGCCTTTTTTTTAATTGGGTTCATTCTTACTTAACCTGAGGTGGTTTAATATGTGGAAAGTGGGTTGGCTGCACAAATGTGGGGCTGTTGTGTGCAGTGACCCTGCCGGCTGAACATATACTGTCTGGCCTCATATGCTTGGGCTCCTCTTGTTGTGTCCATGGGGTTTACATGACAGCTGCTGATGAACAGCGCAGCCACAAGTGGTCACATCTCCTCCGCCTGGCTGCCTCTGCAAATTCTGCACATCCCGCGTTTGCTGCCTCTCTCTGCAGAAAGCCGGCACTGCACACAGATGCTGCCGGCCTCGTAGATGTAGCTCTGCACTTTGGACAGCTCGAAGCACCTGTGGGAAGCATTCTGCTCTCAGGAGAGGTTATAAGAGGAAGGGCTGTTACCGTGATGTAAATCTGGCTGTGTTGTATCCTTACAGCAGAAAGGAGAGAGGACACGTTCACGAAAACTGCACTGCCTTCTCTCACACTGCATAGAATCGACTTTAAACAAAGATGACACAGAAATCAAGAGACGAGAGAATAATGGGAATACAATTATTTCAAGGGTTGTCTTCAGATCTGACATAGTTCAGGGCTCCTGCCCACAGACCTCTTTGAAACTGTTTTCCTGCCACTGATCTGAATGTACCGGCACTCTGTGTGCACCTTGTTTTTAAGATCTGGCCAGAGTGCAATGTGTTTTTGTCCATTGGCTGTTTTTTTGTGTTTTTGTGTTTGTTTTTATACAGAATACCATTGCGTTCCTTGTCTTTATCCACTTTTGCGGATTTTCGGTCTCCACGTGTGACAAGACACTTAATGTCAGAACAGGACACCATAAGGTCTTTTTTTTTTCTCACAGACTAAGTCATTGCGGTGCTCCTCCACAAGGTTAATAGCAAGGTTAAAAGCATTTTTTGTCTTAACACTGTTGGAGGCACTTATGAGCAATTAAGTCAGAACGGACTGAGGGAACATTGGACATTTGTCAAGGGGTGAAATCCTTGAAAGACATAGAGCACGCTTCTAGTGGTTCCACTTTGATTAAATTAGGATGTGTGGTTATAAGCTGCAGTATGCCTTTTTAAAATTGCAGATGTCAAGCCCATAATGTATTTGTAGAGCATGATCTATTTGACACTGTACAACAGGGCTTATTTTATTCCAATATATCAGCCCTGGGTGTCAGCCCCTGATGTAAATACCCTCATTTTACAACAGAGGTAACATAATGTTACACTTTGCCTCTGCCACCTACGATGATATTAGCAGTGACAGTGTCATTTTTAACAACCCATGTGCTTTCATGCTCTCTTAGACGTATCTTCAATTCGTACTGTGTGTTATCTGTTTGTTTTTTATGTTTCCAGCTTTTTTTTGCATCTGTGTTTTTCTTTTTCTTTCAACTCCACCAGCAGTGTAAAATTGATGTAAATTTGTGTTTCTGTCATGGTTTTAATATTTTTTGGTGACTGCATTTTGATCTTGTAGTAATACTTGTTTTAGCGTATGATATTTTCTTTCTGAAGGAGCATTAAATATTCCTTCTCATCCATTGCAGCACTCTTGGAGACCCATATAAATGGTGGAGACAGAATGCACAAACAATAATTGTTTTGTTTTTTTCTCTGCTGTGAGCAAGTTTTAACATAGAATTTTTTTTTCAAAATAAAATGATTTTCGCCTCCTTCAATATATTATTTCTGTAATCTCCTTATCCTGCTGCAAAGGTAAAGCTGAATATCTGAGCAGTGGATATGTATGTTCTGGAAATGGCGTGTTTGATGTTGTGCAACGCTGGGTGGAATTATCTGATACCTGCCAACCTTGTTCTGTGGAGTTTCTGCTACTCATCAACAATATATGAGGTGGTGAACTACCTTCTCTTTATTCTCTAAATCAATTATTTTTTAAATAAAGAAAAGTGTGTCACAAAATCCCATGATAGCATACAGTCATTGTCTTTCATGTTTAATGACTCAATCCTTTTGATTTAGTCTCTTTTTGTTTCACTGTTATTTATACAGGCCACATTTAAACTGTTTGATTTTTAGTCAATGATAAGGGAGTGAAGAACGAAGTATGAAAAGCGTAGAAAACTGGTGCCAGAGACCCCACAATGTGTTAAATGAACTGAGTGGAACCCCTGCAAATAGTGCAACACTTATCCTAAATATGTGTTAATGGTATTTGGATTTTTTATTTCTTTTTTAACAAAAACAGAAAAAAATGTAAACCCATTTCCAATATCTCATCTATCTTTTTTTTTCCATCTGTCAAGTTCGGCATTATTGATACGATTTGTCTAATTTCTAAACACAATGAAGAGAGTAGCAGAGTATTTTTGTACAGAGCTTGATCTGCCTTTTAACCTAATTGTTATCAGGCTTGTGTGTGACAGTGAGTCAATTGTGCCATTCCACACTGGCTTTTTATGTTTTACATCACTGTTCCTTCTATGCAAAGAAAAACATACCTATTTTAGCCTTTGTACAGATTATTTTGTATGAGTAACATGTACTGAAATAAAGTAAAAGTAATCAACCGTGGATTTTTTCCCCCCTGGTTGTTATTACACCAATTCACTTTCCCCCCTATCTCATCCACAATTAACCTGAATTTTCGGAGCCTTTCATTCTGATGAGCTGTTTTTGTTCCCACACATTGTTATTGAACTTTCAAACCTACAATAGATGTTATTTACAGGTTGTTTTTCCACTGTCAATTTATTTTACTCTTTTACCTACCTGATCGCATGCAAAAACTGCAAGATTAACACTTCCACAGGCTTATTGTACTGAAGATAATATTTTTCATGAATTGAGAAGTAAAATTGATGCGTGCAATATAAAAAAAGAAGATATATTTAGTAGGTTTATGTGGTAGAATAAAATGTATGTATTTGTTATGAGCATCTTTAATATGATACAAGAAATTCATTTCTATGTGTGAGGGCTACATGTTTTGCACTATCGTTGCATCAAAATACTTGCAAGGCTGTTGCAACTCAGGAGACCTGGGTAGTAGTCTTTCTGCTTCCCAGCACATTGGGTACTTCTTGTTTTGACACCAGGTAAGGTACCTCTTAGCACCTGGACATTTACTGTGCAGCCACGCTGTTTTTCAGCTCTAAATGTGGTTTTGTATTACCTTGCTGTAATGCACAAACAAGACATCCCCTGAATAATATGTATTTAGGGTTAGGGTCAAGTGACGTGAGGGAGATTCAAATTTTTCATGTGCTGTTGCAGCTTAATGTACTCCCGTACGGTCAACAAATAAAAAAATAACAACAAAAAAAACAAGGGAAATTGGTGAACCGTGAAACTGTAGATCTCTGACTCGTTTTGAATGACACCAACCTTTGATACTCGCCTCCATTGGTCTGAAACTGACCTGTCGTGACCACGCTCTGAGGTACCACAGTTCACAGCCTTGTTTTCCTCCCCGTCTCATCATTTCACAGCATTCTGCCCTGCAATGCCCTTTTCACACATCAAATCTCTTCATTTGACAGTTTGATTTATCCGCTGACAGTTATTCTAAATAGCCATGAGATGCGCAAAACTGTTGCAAAAAAAAAATTGTGAAACAATATTTTTCTGCCCGTTTTCTGACACTGTGTAAATTATGAACGTCAGTCATCGAGACACGATGAAAAAACCCAACATCTTTTCCAATTTTTCGTCCTGAATTGATGCAAATGCTCCCACACTTTGTTATGTGACATTGTTTGCACTACAGCTAAACCATATTGTAACGAAAGCAACAGTTTACCAAAAACCCCCAGAGGGGCAAAAAGCAAAAAGGAATTAGTTCATTACATATTAATTTCAGTCCTGCGGTCACGTACAGGGAAAAAATCTGCTTAATCAAAAACAAGCAATTAGGTCTACTGTATATGTGCAGAGCAGCTGACCTTTCAGTGGACAAAAAAAAAGTTGAATTGTAGTGACCAAAACACGCATCAGCACACACATCACATCCGGACTGCAGCAGAGGGCTGACAGCTCTGGTTTTATGAGCATCGGATGAGCGCTCGCCTCGTACAGTGTTCAGTCTTTGAGGAGATGATCAGCAGGGAGATGCACGGATGAATCATGGAATGTTTACTGTTTTCTGCGGGAACCCGTGAGATCTGTTTTTTTGTGCCAGTAAATCTAAACTATCTCTAAATATTTGTTTTCTTCCTCATTAGAGGGGTCCCTAACAGCCACTCAGCGTGACACACAGCTGCAGATGATTACAGCACCCACAATTACAATAAATACGAGTATATTAAGAAGAATTAACAATAGGATGCTTATTCTGGGGGCGTTCATGCTGAGGAAGTTCCATGATATAGTCTGTTGTTATTTATTGTAAATTATGTGGCTTCCTTTTCATATTCCTGCCACTGTCACCGCATGTTCTATCTTTATCAATTCCACTTTTTGAAGGAAAATACACTTTTTTCTGTGCATTTATTGTTGTTCAGAATTGCAAATCACTCTTCAACCAAAATGTTAGTTAGCTTTACAAGGTTGTCGTCAATACAAATGTGTGTTGCTACAATCCTAATAGCCTTGTCTGAACACTGTAGCAATCTAATTAATGGCAGCAACATTTTAAGTGAGTAAAAAAATTAAAAAACAGATTATTACTTTTACACCCAGAAAATGCAAGGAACACTAAAACACGAAAAGCTTCTGCAAGTGCACTTGAAAAAATGATGAGATTTACCCCAGAAAAGAACAATCAACAGTCACCAGTGCTGCCGGGTAGAAATCCACGAGAGTTTCAGCCTCAGGAATCAAGAGCAGCAGCACGGAGCCCACACATTTCCCAGAGAAACCGAATCATTACTTAATTTGTAGCCTTCACGGCTGAGCTGTATGCAGGATTCCATTACTTTGACTATGTCATACTTTTTAGGACATTTTTCTTAATAGATTTCTTTCTGTTTTGGAATGAAACAGCCTACTTATCTGTAACAAGCACATCTGGGTTACAGATGTGTCATATCTATCTAAATTGGGGTTTGAGATAAATTATGCCAGTGTGAATGGCAACGTGAACCAGCATGGCTTGGTATAAAACAAAAAATACATCCACAGCTGTCTGCGAATGCTTTTCGGTGATAATTATTCGGTGTGTTATAAAGTATTTGGCCCCGGGGCTTTGATCTAATTTCTGCAAATGTAAAGCTTTTCGTTCCGAGCAGCTGTGTCTCTGTGAGATAGACAGGCGGGAGGAGAGTGGCATCTGCATGTTCCAGTCATGAAGAATGAGGGAATTACATTGTGAGACAGCTAGATATGTTTTTCTGAGGTTTCCCAGATCAAAATCAAAAGGGAATCCATATTGCCAGGCTTGATTCCAGGATAAAGCTGACTGATGTTGACTGCCTTTATCATAACTGACACAACTGACAACTGAAAGAAGCAGAGCTAAAAACACTGGTTGAAATGAATCATTATAGTGTGGCATCCATCTATCCATCCATCGTATAGAACTAAATTAAATTGGCAAAATACATTTTCTGAGGATTGTAAAATGTGGCTTCAGACCTCCTTGAGGATGATTACCCCCAAAGGCATTTTTGGTGAACACAACAGTGCTCAGCATTTACGACTCTCTAAATATACAATTCCTTTAACAATGAGAAGAAAAAGGTCAAGCAAAACTTTGGATACTTATAAAAGAAACATTTTGCCTAATCATGGTTCCCAGGGATTAAGCATGGGGCTGTGTCCTAGGAAAAAATATGGATCAATCTCATTAAGTCTTCATGTTACCTGAGGTGCCTTATGTCCTTCTGCCGGTCCTCAGGAGAGAATAAACAACAAGGACAGCTCAGACTACATTATGAAATTCAATCAACCGGCAGTGAATCTTTTGTACATTTGCAGTCAAAGGGGGGGGTTTAGCATTTGCAGCTTCAAATGTTAACCATTATTGTGCTGACAACCCCCACATTAGCCCTCAAACTAAACAGGAATGGAGGATGCACAGTAGAGAAATGATAGCAAAATGCTTATTTTACTACATTTCATGTTCCTTCTCTCAAAGATTTCCCTGCCCTGGCCTTTTGTCAACTGTCATTCTGCTTTACTCTGCATCGGGTTACATAAATATATTTGGAGCAGTCATTTGTATGCAAGCCTTCCAGAGGCCTGTAAGCATTAGCACAGGCAATGGCGTGTGGGAAGATTATGCAGGATCTATTAACTTTGAAGTATCAGAAAATGATGACACTGAGTGCATGGAGGTGAAAAATGATCTGTTCTCCGTTACAGAAGCTTGACTGTGGTCCAAAGCCCCTGTCCCACTCAGCTGCAGTCAGCCATAGATATATCTTTGGTAATCTGACCTGTCAGTCCAAATGGAGGGTTCTGGGTCCTGCCAGCATGGCCGGGCAGCGTCACAGAGCCCTACACCCCGTTTTAGCCAGGCTCACACCTCCACAGCCTGCAGACCGGGCCTCTCATAACAGATTCACGTGTCCACTGGACGCTTAAGGGGTGGGGCTGAAACTGGGGACCGTTCTGAAGCGAAAGTGTCTCTAGAGCTACATGTCCGATTGGGGGGAAAAAATCCAATATAATGGAAAGGGAACTGAATTTGAACCGAGCTGAGACATTCTCCTTTGTCAACCCCTGGATCAGATATTTTCTCTTCTTCTTCAGCTTCTTGTTTTGGGTAAGTCCAGTTTAGCTTTTGATGGATTTTTTCCCTCCTATAGCACATACCTGCACTGACATTGCTGACCTGCTGCCCCGGGGCACCAAAAATTCGAAATGTGTATGAGCGTACAGGTCTTCAGCTATCAGAGTTGTAGCTTTAGAAAGAAGAGAAAGGAAGTTATTTAAAAGAAAAAGCTGTTCAATGAAGGATAAGGAAATATAATGTATCAAGAACTGCCCAGCTTCACCATGGCTGCTTTTTTAAAAGTTAACTACACTTATAATTGGGCCGTTCAGCCTCATTTTAGGGGAGAGAATATTTGGCAGCTATTAATGTGTGCTAGCAGTGTAGAAAGAAAATGTAATGGGTATGTGGTTTGAAATCAGCACTGGATAACAGTTCAATTTGTGCATTTATTCTCTCTCTGACTACAATGTAATAGTTACACACACAACTATAAACACAGTTCAAGGTCTGTAACAAGTTTATTCCTGAGTTTGTCCCAAAGCAGGGTGGGATTACATATTTTTTCAAATTGTGGTAAAAGTTATCTGAAAAACCTTGAATGTTCTCGGAGATCATGAAGGCAGATTCTCTTAAATGAATGTTGCACAAGTATAGAGAAACTGTATTTCAAAATAATCACATCACTCTACAGTTCAGAGATAATTCAGTTATTTTGCCAATAAATAAATGTAATTGTCATTCATTGGTTTTTCTTTGGGGCGGCACGGTGGTGTGGTGGTTAGCACTGTCGCCTCCCAGCGAGAGGGTTCTGGGTTCGAATCCCGGGGGAACCAGGACCTTTCTGGGTGGAGTTTGCATGTTCTCCCTGTGTCTGCGTGGGTTCTCTCCGGGTTCTCCGGCTTCCTCCCACAGTCCAAAAACCTGCATGTTAGGCTGATTGGAGACTGGGGAAATTGCCCTTAGGAGTGAATGTGAGTGTGAGTGGTTGTTTGTCCTTGTATGTCCTGTGTGTGGCCCTGCGATGGACTGGCGGACTGTCCAGGGTGTACCCTGCCTCTCGCCCGTTGACCACTGGGATAGGCTCCAGTTCCCCCCGCGACCCCATGAGGGAATAAGCGGTATTGCTAATGGATGGATGGATGGATGGTTTTTCTTTGGAATCTCAGCTCTCTCTGAATCTTCTCATTTCTAATCTGTGTAGCTGAGCAAGGTCTCTTGGTGGGATGAGGTGGTTACAAAGGTCATGTTTGCTTGCCGGCACCTTTCTATATAATAGTAATACCTGTGTTTTCATTATTCATCGGTCTGGAGCTTGTTTGTTTGCTGGTGGGAGTCCTAACTAGTGTCTCTGCTTTTCCTTCTTCTGGCTCCAGAACTGTTCAGACAGAACCCAATTACTGGAAAAAATAGGTGTAACAGGAAAATTAGAAAAAAAAACATTTCCAGATTAGCATGTCATCAGCTTTGCACACATATGTTTTTTATCCATCAGCACAGGAATGACTTTCTCCACTTTTATTGATTTCCATATTCTAATTTTTAGATGTTTTCAGCATCTTTAAATGTGTTGTTTAACTGCACTAACTTTTCATGATCAGTTTTTCAGGCTATGTAATGTTTTATTCTCAATCACACACATCCAAGCACTAAGAGATTGTATCTAGCCAAAGGGAAACTTTGGGATGCCAGGAATCAAACTACAACTAATCTTGCTCAAGAGCTACTGTGCTAAGTCCAGTTCCCATCACAGACATAAATTCTGACCCAATAAGACTCAAGATAGGCCCAGTATATAACCATGGGCCATGACAATGGCTTTTACACCTTTACTGGTGAGACTTTAAATGACTGGCACAGATAAGGGGATATACTGTAGATATAGAGGAGACATCAATATAGCCAGAAATCCATCCATCTGTGTTACGTAAACCAACATACACCTCTCTGACACGCTCAGTTTATTACTAAATCACAAAATGAGCACAGAGATCACATCTGTAACTCTTCAGAGTCCTCATGCTCCGGTATATCCCTGTTCATCCATTTCTACACACAAACAACAAGCGGGGGGGGGGGTGACACTGTACCGCACTCTCACTGTTTTCAGAGCCAATCAGCTATAACTGAGGCGCGAGCAGCCACACACCCCAGCCCATGTTGACTTTGTTTATCAGACATGGGCTCAGAAGTGAACACTGCAACCCTAATCCATCAGGTCTTTGTCCCTGCATCCCCATGGCTCAGTTCAGCTGGCTTTTACCTCTGCACACAATCCGCTGGGGGAAGCCTGATTCATCTCTTTGAAAAGCCTGAAAACATAGCTGGAGCTCATTGTGAATGTGGGTTTCCTTTTGCCTGTGCACACTGCCACCCACTATCCTGTTATGTGGGGGAACATTCATGCGTAGGTATACAGTAATAAAAAATAAAAAAAACTGTTAGAAATAACTAAAAATGTGTGTGATAATATAAGTATTCTTTATATGTTTTGAACTAGTTATATAAGTACTGTCAAGGCAGGTCACTGATTCAAAAGTGTTGAAATTGACTATTTTAAAGCAGCCATTTACATTTCTCAAGCTCATGAAATATGGACATAGCTCTTTCAAGGACCATGCTACCTTCTGACTTCAAGCCAAGGCTTTTCAAACAGAATAAAAAATAAATCCATGAATATTAAGGTTGAACAAAAGCTCAAACCAATGCACACACAATTATCAATCAGAAGAAAAGCTTTGAATCTGGAGGGTGGAAAGGCTATTATTCAAGGAAAGACAAAGAATCAAAGTGAGGAGGGGAATTTTTTGCTGACGGTGGAAAGCTCCGATACCACCCACTGCAAGGATTTTGTTAAGGTTACCCGACATCTTCCGCAGCTTGACAGCACATCCTCCACTGAAAACCTTATTTACGGCACACACACAGCCACAGTTAAAAGGAGACACTAGAGCTTCTTTCGAAATAGCCACAGTTCTCTGACCAAGGTCAAGCTTGTCGCTACAAACATTATATAATGATACTGTCAAGTCTGCAGAAAGTAACAAAACAGAAGTTTCTATTTTGAACCACAGGTGGGCTGAGTCTGATGGTTTATGGTTCCACTTCCTCATTTGCATGATTACAAGTGAGACCCATATGCTTTGCTTTTTTATTGTTAATATCCATCTGTTTGTTTACCACAAACAAGTACTATAGAGCAGTTACTATGACTACAGATGCTTTGCATATTCAGTACTAGAGGAGAGAATTCCTCTCCTCTCCATCATCATTCTAATCTCAGAGGACAAGAGGTAGTTATTTTTCAGAAAACAAGTTTTCAGAAAGCATGCAATTTGAGCATTTTGCATTTTTCTTGGTTTCACCATTTGAGTTATTGCAATGTTTTAAATTCACGTTGAGGGCATTTTGAAAATAAACTAAAGGTTAATGGCAACCTTGAAATTGTTTAATGTGCCCAGTGTAGCTGTTTTTATGTGGATTAATGTCCATGAAAGACAAACCCCTCTCTCCATTTTTCAGGTTTTCTCCTTGCTGATTGTTGCAATCGGAGTGTATGCCAAAGTCCAGAAAGCTACAGGTTTGTAAAGTGCTACTTTTCTCCTTTAAAAATCCATCAAACACCCTTTAACAAAAGGCAGTGATGGTTTCCCTTTGCGGTAATGCCAGTTTAGTTTATCTTAGTGTTCGCAGAACAGAACTGCTCCTCCATTTTCAGCCATCCAGACAAACCGGCAATTGTATAGCACATTCAGCGGGTTGGATTTGAGCTTTTCCTACAGTTTACCAGTGTTTTAATTCCCATTCCATTTCATTTTTTCCAAAAAAGATTAACCTGGGCTAATCCCTGTGATCATGCTGCAAATCACGTATAATCCCCCAAAAGTTAATTGATGGCTTCAAAAAAAATGAGGTCAGCTTCTGTGAGCGAGGGCAACAGGTGGCTGTGTGAGGGATACAGTTAACTAAAAAGAAATGAAATCAGGGTAGGACACTGGAAGTAGATATAGAATACCGCAGCAATTCAAGAACAAGCCGTTTTCCTGTCTCTTTGCCAGACACGGTGCGGGACACATTCCTGATCGACCCGGCCGTCATTCTAATTGTGGTGGGGGTGGTCATGTTCTTCATCACGTTCTGCGGCTGTATCGGAGCCCTCAGAGAGAACATTCGCCTCCTCAAGACCGTAACAGTCCAACCACACACATTATTATTGTTGGCACTCCGTTTTGCTCGTGATACTGTAGCTAAAACGAAGGAGAGATATATTTCATATGCGACAACGAATCTGTCAGTTATGACTCCTGTGATTGTTCAGTTGTTTTTCTTTCTCTAGTTCTCCTTAAGCCTGACACTGGTGTTCCTCACACAGCTGGCCATAGCATTTCTGGGCTTCTTCTACTCTGATCAGGTATCTGCCTCTTCAAAGCCAGTTCTGTGCTTTAGTTGAGTCATTTTGTAATCTGGGGGTAGTTTCAATCATATCTTGGTTTCCAGTTCTTCCTCAGAGAAACAGGAATATATGGTTATTTATGGATAAAATTCATAAAAGGAAAAAAAAAATTGGATTGTATTTTGATCAGATGTAGGATTTTGAATCTTGATATGTCCTTCTTTAAACTGGCAAGGAAAGGATCTCTCTTCTAGTAACCACTTTTCCCCTTCAGTGGCATCCCATTAGGGTTTCAGTGAGAATAAAAATACAACAGCCAGTAGTGGCAACATTCCCTCTCATCAGTGCGTGGTGGCGGGTTGCCTGGTGCCTGATGATACCTCTCCTCTCCCTTGTGTTCTCTGTCAGTGCTCAGACTGCCTGCTGCTAAACAGAGCAGTTTAACAACCCTCCCAGCATCCTTCCTTGCTAAATGATTCAAATGCTTCGGCACTTCAAAGTGGAACCAAATGTTCCATTTCAACAGATCCCTTAAAGGACCTTGCTGCTAATGGCACAGTGTGACGGTGGGCTCAAAAGCCCACAAGCCAACGGCGACACTTTGAGACATACAGTAGAGAGGAACGCTGTGAGAATTAGGGGGAACGCTGTAAAAACCTCACACAATTTAGCAAAACCACTCCAGGATAACGCTATTCATCAACAAAACCTGTTCCAACAGGATCCGTAATTTGAATAGTTCACAAGCCCTTAGCAAACAAGCTCACAGAGGTTCATTTTCAGATTAATGAAATTTTAAAGTTTGGCTGCTTATTAGCATATAGTCCCCCCCATTAGCATTCATTACATGCAATCTCAGTAAGTATAACCATGGCCGTTCTCCTTTTCAAAATTGTAAACGACTGAGAAATGAAATTCTGTCAATGAATATGCTCATTAGGGCTGGGACAATGAAAATAAAAAATCATTTTCCGGACGACACAAGCTGACAAACAATAACACAATAAGTCTCAGGCATGACTCCACCTCATTTAGTTTGATACGTTCGGTACAGTTTACTCAATGAAGTAAGTGTATTTGCAGCTCATCAAGGTTTCTTTTGTCAACGCAGAGGAAGTTTAATTCATGCAATTTTCGAGCTCCTGCGGGTCTGCATTTCATTTAGCAAAATGTTTAATTATTACTCATAAAATACTGCAGCTGCAGAACAATATTTCCTGTTGGGCTTTTGTCTCAAGACACACACTTTTACAATGCAGACGAGAACATGAATCCTCATCACAAAGTAACATGCTGAGTGTAGACCATATGATTTGTTAAAAAGTTGTTTTGTTTTTTTAATACTGTGCATCATATGTCCCAAAATGACCACCAAATGTACAAGATGTGCAAAGCTGTAACACATGCACAGAAAGCTTCTGGTAAATAACAGGGGTAGATAAAAAGGTTCTAATAGATGACAGAAACCCTGAATGACTTTTAAAAAGTAGAGATAGATTCAGTTTGACTTTGTTGTAATTTGTTTAAAGGTCTTTGGAAGTTTCACAGCATCCACAAAAGGTGCTTACACAAAAAGCCACTCTGCCATTAACAATTAATGTGTCCCGAGTAATTAACAGAGCTTGGAGTCCTGCGAGATTCCATCGTGCCACTGAAAAACATTGTCTGGCTAAGTTATAAAAGCATTTGTGCAATGTTCAACTCTGGTCAATTTAATGATGTATTCCACCCCTACTGTCTTTAAGAAGTTCCAAATTACAATGTTAAAACTTTCAACTTGTTCATAAACTACCTAATTCCTCCTTCTGTAGACACGGGATGCTTTAGGAAAGTTTGTGAAAAAAGCCATCGTACACTACAGGGATGACCTGGATCTGCAGAACCTGATGGATTACATCCAGAAAGAGGTGCTGGCCAATTTTAGTCTGATATACTGCCTGTTCTTTTGTTTACAGCTATTCAAACAACGTACATTTTCAGATTGATCACAGCCAATGGCTTATTGAAGGTTTCTGGGGTACTAAACCGAGCAAGCCTCAGAGCCATGTACCTGTTTTTCAAATTCATTTTTGCCCTTCCTGAACATTTTCCACATGGCCGACTTTACACAAACACACACCTCCTGCGACTCTGTGGGTCAGCTCATGTGATTCTTCTTCCATCTGTACTTATTGGCACAAATATGAGTCTGGGCTTTCCCCATTGGCGAACCCAGACTGGCAGGATGTACAGTATAGATCCAAACCAAGTTTTTTCAACATACACCTGTGCTCTCCCTTAGTTCAAGTGTTGTGGATGGAACAACTACACTGACTGGTCGTGGAACATCTACTTTAATTGCACAAGTGAGAACCCCAGCTCGGAGCGCTGTGCCGTGCCCTACTCCTGCTGCACTCCTGTTCCTGGAGAGGTATGGTCCATTCCGTGCGGCCTCATAATGTACAGAGTGGACAGACTAATGGCAAAAAAGGGAGGACAACTATTAAGAGAAATTAAGCAATACTAAATATAAGGCTCATTTGGCTGAATTCCATTTGACGCAGCATCTGATAGCTACAAACATTTTGATGAATAAGACATACAATGAGTTTCTGTGTAGCATCTACAGTATAAGGTGGCACTTTAAGCTCAACAAATCATAGCACAGTTGAATGAAATGTGGAATTCCACATCCTGACGGTAGCTTACACTGAGACGTCTGGCTTATTAGGCGTCTCTTTTTTCTTTTATGTCCCCACTAAAATGTCCTAAAACTCCAAATCATAGCACTTATGCTTATGAAATAGATTTTTTTTGCATAACTTTGACAAACAACATCTGTTTTGGCTGGCATTACACGTGCACACAGGTTTGTCAAAACTCCACAGGGTGGGTGCCTGAAGGGTACAGCAGGCACACAGCATGTCTAAATACACCAGCTCAGCACAGAGCAGGTTTCACCCTTCATCTGAAATTATCAAATGATCAGCGTGCAACTTTGAGCTATAAAACATTTCAAAGATGCATAAAACATCAGGAGACACTGAATAAAATATTCTTTAAAAGCCAAAGTGCAATTATTTTCCTTATTATGTAAACCACATCTTCATATGATAGTAAGAGGACTGATGGTTAAAAGCTATAACTGATCTATCTCTCACCCTAACTCGCTCACAATGAAGTTGACATCAACACAGTTTATAAAGTTGAGTCAGGGGCATGTAGGCAGCTTGGAGCTGTTGCTGTAGCTCTGAAGGCACAACACTTTCCAATCCTTTTGTGTTAGCAGCATTTATTTTAAAAGCATCAATCAATAAAACAAAATAGCAAAACTGATCAAACGGTAAATGCAGAAAAACGCAAGTATTTAGAATTAGATTTAGATGGCATATAAAGGAAGAAGTGGAAATATTTGCAGTTTAGTAGATTTTCTTTGCGCGTGTGGAGCTTTTTATCGCTTCAGGTTCTGAAGCCAAAGTGGCTCCTCAGTCCCCTGAACTGTTTACCAGATGGCAGCGGTACAAAGAGTTTATTTCCAGAGGGTGTGATGTCCCCAAGAATGCTGCTGGCCCTCCTCCTCATTCTGTTGACATATATGATGTCAAGGTTAGGGAGCTTGAACCCCATGAGCTTCTTGGCCACCTTCACCAGCCTACGTGGGTCCATGTGCTCACAGGCTGTGCAGCTCCAATACCAGAATGTGAACGTCCAGAACTGTTACAAGAGGCTATCTCCTTTTAGAGAGGTCAGCTAACTAAGGACTGTCCAGGTCCAGGTCTGGCAGGATGATGGTTTCTGTTTGAGCTGTAGTGGTTTGAGCTGTACACAGAAACCTTTTTGGGGGTCCTGGTATGGTGAGCTGCTATGTCCCTGACGTCAGGACCACTCCCTCCCGTCTGTCTGGACCTGCTGCTTGGTGGTCACCCCGTTGAGTCGGACGCCGGGCGGTCCAGGCTCCACACAGCAGCACAGAGGCTGGGGGACAGGCAGCCTTTTAATTTGCCAACTGTAACATCTCAGATGGACTGGCTTTAAGCGCTGTAAGGGGAACGCAGTTTATCGTTGCGTCTTTGAACAAAGAAGCTCTAACGGGCATTTGTGTCTGCAGCAGCAAGTGTAAATGAGCTGAGGCTGTGTGTTTTGTGCCAGTGTACAATCCAGCATAACCAAATATCGAAGGTTTTTTCAGGCCTGGTCAGTTCTATATTTAGAATTCTTTCGATTTTCCAATCATATTTTGATTAAATCTCCCAAATTGTTCACAATTACTTATAAATCTGTTCCTGAATTTTTCTGTCATTCTAATCATTTAGCCTAAATTGAGCTGTTGTGAAAACTATTCACCTCACCATTACAACAAAACTCTTCTTTATTCCTGCTGATAAACATGATAAACTATTAAAAGATCCAGAATGGACATTATCATTTCAGCAAATATTTTGCCATAAAATTAATTAAATATTAAGATTATAGTCCCAAAAAGGAAAAAAAAATGTCAACGTTAAGAAAATAAATGTTATAATTAAATGCTTTAAAAGGAGTAGTAAGGTTATAAAGTTGGTTATAAAGGGCATATATGCAAGTCCCTTTTTCTTCATGTTTAAAACATTTATATTCAAATTCATACATACATTGATGCATGCTGTGCAGACACAGCAGGAAAACCTGCGAGCCAAAGCTGGCAAAGATATCATGTTGTGCCATCACAGTTCTATTGATTAAACATCAAGTGACAAGAAAAACAAATCACTGCAACCTTTTCCAACATGGGTGAAAAATCGATTAATTAAACAACAGAAGAGCTGATGTAGTGCTGCAACCTGCTGGTGCAAGCCTGCAACTCCATGCTTCAGGGACTTCAGTCTTCCTTGTCCCTTTTTTGGAAAAAAAAATGTGGCTAAATTGGCCCCCTGGTGTTTGTTTCCCCTGTTTTTATTCAAAATCACTAGCCTCTGGCAACTCTCCCTTTGGTGTCATAAATATAATATTTTGTCAGCATAAAACCGCACGTGTGGAATAAAAGCTGCAGAGACTAAGCTCCCCCAGAGAAGACTTTTATAGGGAATAAGGTTTATATGGTATTCAAGTCCATCTGCTCTCCTTCTCTCTCTAACATTACTTCTGGCATACAGGCAGTGATCAACACCATGTGTGGTTTTGGGGTCCAGACCCAAAATTTTCTCGATGCAGACAAGTCAATCTACCCAGTGGGCTGTGCAGACAGAGCTGTGATGTGGATTGAGTCTCATCTGCTGCTGGTGGGAGCTCTTACCCTGGGTCTGGCCTTGCCTCAGGTAACTTCACACATGCTAATACAGACTCTGCACCAATAAGCTAACGGACTGCTCAGAGCCGAAAAAATACTTTAGTTTAATCTACAGTAAGATTCCACACATACATCAAGGGGTAGCTTAGTGGATGGAGGATTGTCACAATCAAAATATTGACTTGCCCTGGTCTCTTTAAAGGGGATTTGCAGGATGCAGTTGGTCACTGCAGTGAGTAGCACAAGTAACACTTCATCCATCAAGAGCTTGCGGTGACCCTTAATTAGATACAGACTGTTTGATTGGTAAATCACTTTAATTCCTTTGCAAATTCACACATGCAATTTTGCTTTATTTTCCAGGGGGACAAATTACATAAAAGGAAATCAATAAGAGGGATGGTCTAAGCGAGACCACTTGAAAAGGATGAATCATAAAACTTATGGTTGATCAGACCGCTTTTAGTCCGCATTATTCAGAACACTGTCGTTGATGAAAAGCACAGGTTATTGGCAGAAACCATTATGTACCGTATGGTTTCGGCCTTAGGGTTTGAAGGTGCGGCACGGGCATCTCTTTCATTAGTTGAGATTGGCCGCATAGTACTTTTTAGAAGTGTGTTTAATATCCCAGTTCAGTACATTTTATTAACCGTTACATCTTCCTAGTCCACTCACTCATCAACATGTTTCACACGGCATGCCACTGTATCATCAGCCTGATCTCTCTGACTTGGCTCCCCAATGATTCTGCTGTGAGGGAAGCATGTGAATTACCAATGAGTCCTGTCAGTACAATTGCATTTGTATTCCGGTTGCTTTGATGAGTGATAAATTTGATGGCGATGTTTTTCTTATTTCATCCTGCATACCCTCAGTAAATGCTCATTGAATTTGTCTACATAACAAGACACATTAAACCGTTGATTATCAAAGACTGCTTGCCATCCATTTGAGCATGCCTCCATAAGAGGTTATTTATAATAGTCGTGCTTCTATCCTTTAAATAAGAAAATACATGTTTTATAATCTCTAATAGTCCCCCTGGGACTAAATGGGTGTTAAATTACCCAGAGATGATCAGCCAGGTTACAGACCCTGTATCGTACACTCAGTGGCTGTATAGTATTCGATAATATTCTAAAGTGGCTGCTTTTGTCCTCTAGATCGCAGGCATCGTGCTATCTCAGATCCTCATTTCACAGATCCAAGATGAGATTTCAGCATTTTGAAAAAAAGGGGAGTCTGAAGCTGTTCAGCCAGAGCAAGGACATCTTTATTTTATTTTTTTTATTCTGTTGCTGTGACCATACAGTGTTAGATGATATTATTTTTAAAGTCCAGAGCCTTCAGGGCATACTAATTTGATTCTCTTCATTGTGTTACTGCAAGAACTACTCACATACTATGAGCAAAATAATTGTTTTCTGGTTTCGAACATGGCTTTTTTTATGTGATAAATTTGCTAATAAAAGTTAAAAAACATCTTTGTATGTTTGTTACTGTGTATAGAAATAATATGCATGCATATGTAAACTCACACACACACACATATGAATGAAAAATAAAACAGGATAAGCATTATCTACTTGCTCTTGGATTAAAACAGGAACCCTATTGCTCGACCCTCATGTTTTGTGTGGATCAAACTGACAATAAACGGCTAATGACCTCAGAATTTAATCAATACAATACTCCTAAGATTAAAAAAAAGAAAAAAAATCAACTAATTCAGTCTCTTATTCAGGATTTAATTACCAGTCTGCGACAACCCCCCCCCCATACACACACACACACACTGTAAAGTAATTCCAATCATACATAACCATAGCCCCTTTCTGAGACTGCCATGCAACCCAGTTTATAAACCCCAAAATCATTTGATAGAAATATGCCTCATTTACATTTTAATTTAGCAACATTTACAAAGTTATAAAAAGCTTCAGTGATAGGGGTTATGGGATTTACTGAAAAAAACTGAAAAGGAATCTGTGAAATGTGGATCCTGAAAAAAGTGTGAAAAAAAACAAAATAACCAACCGATAAGAGGATACTGAACAGGTTCACAAGATTAGTTTGCAAATTATATTCTAAATTATGTATTTTCACAATAGTCAGTAAGTATATTTTTGTATGAACACACACTGAATATGTCATGACTTCATAATTAATAGGCCACCAAGCTACGAAAAGTGAGCAGCATGAATGGTTTTCACGGTCCAGAAAACAGTGTGAAACCAAAGTACAGAACATCAGATTACAATGTGCTTTGATCTTTTCACACGGGAGCTGCTTGTACACCTTGCCATCCCGCTAGTCGTGAAGAGCCAGAGCTTTTTGCATCAGGCGCTGGGTTAGAGGGGAGTTAGGTCTCACGGCATCACGCTCCACCAGCAGACATCTGGGGATATTCACACAGAGCAGGACAGCGCGAAGAGGTGAATACAGATTCAAAGAGACATCAAGCCGAGAGGCTAAACGATCAATAGTGAAAGCATAACACGGTGTACAGACGGGGAGTGTCAGCCACGCAGCTTGTGTTCTGTAAGCTCAGTGAAAGACGGACAGATGTGGAAAACGGAGCAGTGGTCGACAGCAAACCCCACAGCAAATGCACCATTTCGTGATGGAATACAGCTGTTCAAATAATATCAGATGATTGATGTTTCAACTTAATCTGTGGAGCTTTAGAAAAAAATTAACAAAACATTAAGTACTATTAAGTACAGGTTCTGCAAAGATGAATGGACAGAACTCCTCCAAGTTGATCTCCCAGAATGCCAAGTTGTACTCAAGAGATCAAAACGGGATGCTAAGCTTATAGGATCACTCCAAAGAAGATTAAGGTTCATTCATGAGGTTAAAAATGCTAACGTGCATCGCTTAAACCAGCCCTCATCCGCTTCTTTTGTCCTCCGCACATTCACCTTATTATGGTAGGGTACAATAGTGTGTCTTTGCAAACAGAAGTGCATATTCTCTTAGATATGCATTTCGCATGAAGACTCAAATTTATCTGGTGAGTCAGGAGTCTCTTTTAAGGCTCCGATGAGTCATAGATTAGTGAGAAATTGGTTAAAACTCATCCTTCGGAAAATGGTCCTGAACAAGGTCTGGGCTGTGGATGGGCGAGGAGGCAGCCAATAAAAACAAGCCTAGAAAACTAGTACTCCGGACCACTTTAAAAGATGACAAATAAGTCTGGCTTCAGCAGAGTGCTGGAACAGAAAATGAAGGAAACACTAAAGGCTTTAAAAACATTCAAAAGCACTGTAAGTTAAAATAAGACATGAATACTATATTTGGCCTGAAGTCCCAGCTGTGCATTACCTCCCCAGCTTCTGGTGATGCTTGTTCTCCGATTTTATGGCTGCATGAATAAGCAGTTGATTGAACAGATCTCTCTGTGAAATAAAGACAAGACAAGCCGTCTGTAAGCAAAAAAGCACAAGTGTTTCCACTACTTTCTGTTCTTACACTGTTCTTACAAAGAACACTGTAAGAACCTCAGAGGATTGTTTTTTGAACAGAGAACATCAAATTCTTGGAATCCATCAGAAAAATTCATTATTCATATGTTGATGCACAGCACTCCACTTTTTGACACCACAACATGCGGTTTGCTCAAAGAGGGCAACAGAACAGAATGCAGCTCTGTGCCAGTTGGCTCCACTTCTTTTTTTTTTTTTTTACAATAACAAGCCTTTCCACTAGAAAAGAACACAATACAGCACAATCAATGATTTCTAAAGAAAAGCAAAGCCTCAAGACGATTCTGAAGGCTTGTCAGAGAATCGGTGATTGCTTTAAAATTTGATTATTTTTCCAATTTATTATTCTTTTTTAACCTCACCTGTGCGTCACTGCCACCTATTTCTACCATGCGGTACCGCAACGGGTACAGCAGGTCCACCGTTTGGCTGTAGTTGCCCTGGTAGAACTCCACCACGGCCTGACACATCGGTATGCCCACAGCCTCGGCCAGCCGATGTTGCTGGTTGACACCGGGTTCTCTGTGGTCAAAAAACAGAGAATCAAACAATTAAATTAGATAGAGGAAGGTTCTACCGATCAAATAAATCTCCAGAAATGGTGAAAAGTGGGTTTACTTCCAGAGGGAAATAAGGGCAAACATTTACTACTTTCTGGGATTAGCCGATGCCCTGAATCCTCGCCTCGGACTGTAAAGGCGTGTTCAACATTTTAAACTCAAAACGAATGCCAGTGACTGACTGAAATAAATACCAGGCTGTCAGCTCGATCACCTGAAGCAGAGCTGTGCTGAGGACTGAACACACCAAAATTGATCTTAAAAGTTCAGCGAGCTTTACTCAATCAGAAGGGACGGATTTGAAATGGACGTTTTTTTTCCCGAAAAAAAACCAGAGTGGAAAACCCAGCATGTTGCAAGCACCAACTCAGAGGAGGCCGAAGGTCCTGAACAGCCAATCTGCTACAGAGGGAAGATCCCTTTCTCGAAAAAAGGAGGCGGGGTAGAACTCTTTTTGGAGTTGTGTTGCCTCTCAGCCTCACATCCTACGCGCAGCCTCGTCTGTGGCTGGTTCTTATGTAACGCTAACAGAGCGCCGAGGTGCGCGGTCGAGTGGTGCCGAGCCTACTTGGCCAATTCCCGGAGGCCCTCCAGCAGACGTTGAGTGGTCGTGGTCTTTTCGGCTCCCAAGGAGGCCAGGAGGAAGTGGAGGTCGTTAAACAGAGTCACGTGGTCGTCGGTGTGAGGTTGGGTTTTCTGGAGCAGCTCTCGCCAGCGGTCCTTCACGCACACGCCTGTGGCAACACCAACACTCATTATCAGCAGTCAGCCTGTCAAACGCTCAATGAAACAAAGAACGTCATGAAAGGGATGTTAGAGAGTCTGCTACTCATCTGATTAATTATCTGAGAAAACTGAGATTATCATACCTAATGAGTAGTTTTGCTTTGAGACTAAAGTGTTAAATCCCCCTAAATAAGATGTCACAGCTTCTTCTCAGTCCATTAGCAACACATGACAAACATTTACCCTTGGAAAAATGACATCCAACATTACTTGGATAGCTAGCATGAGTTCTACCTTCCATTTCCAATCTGCAGAGCAGCGAGCTGGCGTCCACGGTGTCCAACATGGACCCTGTGGCTTTACAGCGTTTGAATACCTTCGGAGAAGAACACACATTCTCAGCCTTCATCTTGACTGCTGAGGTTTGTCACATGTAACAAGCACATAATAATATCACTGCAAGAAATCAAATTTTCATTTGTGGATTCTCAGATGCTGTAACATTTATGGATTCCAGCTAACTTGATATAACTACTTTTGACACTTATGGCAGTCCGAAGAGGCCCTGGAAAATGCTCTTAAGGACGCTCAAGACACAAAAAAAGTATTTTCACATGTCAAAATCCCACTTTGAGGGTTAGAATGAGTCAGCATTTTACACTGAACCAGATGAAGGTGTGTATTTGACTTGCACGTCCACTTATATTAAAGTACTTGACAGGAAAATGGAATACGAAGTCTCCTTTAAAATGCAGAGAGAGATGCGGGTAAAGTTTTGATGCAAACCCACCTGGGCGTCATATATTTGCAGAGCTGCTTCATGCTGCCCCTGTGGAGGTGGTGGGACATAAAAATTGAAATCACTTCTGAATACTGAGACAAGCCAGGTTGATAAGTTGTGTTGCACAGATGCAAAGTCTAATTAATCTTACAACATAATCGACTTCAGACTTTAAACCTGCTCCCGGGAGGTGATAAATAAGTTCCACAAGTGCCTCTCCTGGCAACTGTTCGCTTGAATGAAAAAGCCATTGCGACCCTCACCTTCTCTATGAAATATAGAGCCCAATGCCAGTAGTTGTGGCTAGCCAGGACATCGGAAACCTGGAATAAGAAATAGCACATTTCAATTACTTTTCACAACTCATTTTGTCTTCAAACTGAGGGACTTCGATGTGTAAGCTATAACCGAGCTGTGATCCAGCTTAAAAACACATTAAATTCATTACCTGCCAGTCTTTCTCTCTACTCTCCATGAACTTCAATCCGTTGTCCACCTCTGCCTTCATCTCATAAACATGGGCCACAGAATGGACAGACCAAGCATCATCTGGAGTCAGAGACAGGCCCTGCACGGGAGAGATCGGAAACAGAACGGTGGAATACAGATGTGAAGAAATCAGCTCTGAAACTAACTATTTAGCACTCTGATGTTCTTCTGCCTTTTTTCGAGTGACCCTCATGTCAGAGCGGCTGTATATGCACGACATTCAGCAGAGAGGAGTCAACAACCCGCATACTGAATAGGAACAATCACCACAGGCGCTGATAGCCCGGAGTACTTCAGCCACAATTATGGCAACTACATCTACCATGAAAAAAAGCTAAAAAGCAAGATGGAAATCTCACCTCCATTGCCACTTTCAAAGCCTGGTCATAAAAGCGAGTCTCAAGGAGGCCGAAGGAATAGAGCCCTTTCAGATAGCTGACGGTAAACATACAAAGAAAATGTTCTTTAGAAGATGCAGAAAGGGAGAAACAGGAACCTATCTTTGTGGGGAGATAAAAGCCAGTGTCTGGAGGTAATTATTGTTCTGTGCTTATGGCCGGATGCATCCATGTGCGTTTCCCTCTTAAATGTGTTCATAAGTAAGTCTATGCTGGGAATTGCGTTGTTTTTGTCTGCCACAAAGAATGAAGAAGGTCTTTTTTTCAGCACCTGAACAACGGCGTGTGAGGTTTCCAGTGGGGAAGCACCCTGGCCACCGAGTCCCTCATCGGGGTCTGGGCCCCCATGTAGAAGTATGCGTCGTGGGCAAACTTCAGGGCCAACAAATCGGTCGGATGATCGACCAAAATATCCTCCCACGCTTCGCAGGCTTTAGGAAAATTCCTACCAGAAAAACAAGCCACGGTTTGAGAGAAACACCATCTGTACAACGGACCACGACGACGGCGTGCCGGGAGAAGCCCAGATGCTGCCGTGCTTAGCGAGGAAATTAGAAGCACTTCAAATGGCGTTTCCTCCAAGACAATAGAGAGCAACAAAATGGCTCCTCAATATTAAAGGATTTCCTACCGTACCGTGGGGAAATAAGACACTGGAATTCAAACAGATATATCACTTCACAGACTTGGTTGAAATGTGAAAAAACTACACTGCAATGCAATATGACAGCTGAATTCTGTTGTGATTGAATCACAGAGGGGAAGACACAAAGAATGAATAAATAACTACTTTTTGTGCGGTCTTTTAGGTCCCGAAAAGAAGCTTTTATCTTCACTAATGGGACTTATCACTGTTTGCTCTGGTAAAATCATCTGTGATGTATAAGATTGAATCAGAACTTTTCTATATTCCGGGAACAATATTAAATACATTCAAATAATCTGTTAAGATTTAGGCTCAGTTTTAATGATACATATGTATGTACAGAGGTATAGACTGAGCTACTTCAAATTAGTTAAACATTTTTTGGTTGAATATATCTACATTATATATAACTCATCAATCAAAATTTGAGAGATTTTATGATCATTTTCCTGAAGATGCACCTTTTTAAAGTAAACTGTGTCAACTGACCCAATATTTCCAAACATGCTTCACGTGTCATCACATTACATAAAATTACAATGACGCTCTGTTTTGAACTGTGCCTCTCCTGTGGCTCCTACCCATGTGAGAACAGCTCCATGGCTCTGACATGGAGCTTCTCTCGAGGGGAGATGTCCTGGCTGTTGGCGAGCGCCACCATTCGCCTCACGGCGCCGGCCAGGCGCTCGTTAAGCCGGGTGCTGCTTGTCGTTGCCACCAACTCCAGCCCCGTACCGATCACATGACCCATGACTGCGGAGAAAAAAAAAAAACACAAAACAAAAAAACACTTTCTGTCTTTTTGGACTTTCCCCACTGCAACAAACAATCACATGCTACTGCAAAGTTTCTGTATTTAGCTGCCACATTGGAAGAAGGGCTCCTTTTAATAACTCAATAACTCCTCTTTGGATCTCTTTGTTTGCTTATTTTTGGAATAATGTCAAAAAGAAAAATGTAAGAAAACACATTTAAATCCTGCTAACTGGATGTTAGTCGGCTGCCTGTGCCTGTATGTGATGCCATTTTCTACCCAAACATTGTACTTGGGTGGACTTCCCAATAAGGAAAGTTGACCGAAGAATGAGATGCAACAAGAAGAGAAGCTCTAAGAAACGGTCCACTGCAGGACAAGTATTCAAGCAGCCAAACCTTCGCTGCACTTAAAAAAAAAATACTTCAGATAATGACAATCCCGCCACTTCACCACTTCCTGAAACTTTAATGTAACCTTTTCCATCGACCTCGTTTTTCCATCAGAGAGCGTCTGCTTACATCCTGTAAGTCCAGCAAAAGCCTCAGGTCTGAGTGCTAAGTGGGGCCCCCTATTGGAACCCTTCAGTAACAGGTGCGTTACACAGGCAACTAGGTGAGAGGTTGTGCACGTTTTGATTGCACGAACACGAGGCGAAACATAACATATATTGCCTACCTTAAAGGCTTTGGCTCAGCATTTCATTAAATCTGTAGCAAACACAGAATCTAGTAGTGCTGGTTACAACACTGACAGCACGATCATGAATCACTTCTACATGATGATCAATATTAAACACTGAGAGCTATAATTTTTTCCCTTTAAGTTGTGAGAGTCAAATCCATTCATTTTCAGTGTGGAAGGGTTGAATCCTGAACAAACAAACAAAAAACTCAAAACATACTTGATTCGAATTAAAGCACAATATTGTACAATAGAGGATGACCTCATTCAAGCTTATTTAAGGCTTAAAGGATGGCCAGCTCCTAATTTCAAATGCTTTTAAACTTCTGGCTCAGTGTCATTGATTTATTCTTTTAGACTGAATGCATGGTTTTGCTCATCATCACATCTATTTCCAAAGAGTTATCATATGTCATGAGCACCAAAGTTTCACCACCAGTTTTCCATTAAAAAAAAGAAGTAAAATGAGAATTTACCAAAGTTTGGGTCGGCTGCCTGGATGGCAGAGATACACCCTTCGATGCCTCCCAGGGTTTCATCATTCCTCCATTTCACATACTAGAATCGGGGTGTTAAAATTCAGATATGAATTCACTTTTACTCAGAATGCACCTTGCGCACCAGGCGTGTCCAGTTACCTGCGTTAGTATGGCATCATACAGTTTACAAGCCTCGTTGCTGCTGGTGGACAGTGTAAGACCTTCAGCTCTCCATGCCTACAAGTGAAAACGCAGGAGTCAGCTCAGCAGAAACTGAGAAAAGTGTGTATTTTCGCACAGAAAACCAAAACAACTCAACCCAGTCTCTAAATTCAGGGTTTTGCACGGATTGAAAATTTAATTTGGATATCAAATCTCTCCACTGCTCCGTGCTGGCTGAACGTCTGCTCTGTTAACGGAACAAAAAAGGAAAGAAAAAGCCCACAACGTTTACATTAACCGAATTGAATTCCACTACGCTGTATTTTTGCTGGTTTTTTTTTCAGCCTTTAATCTCAGCACAGCAAAGGCCTAATCGACCCAGATCGATATTCAATTTCACACTGTAAATGTCGTTCCTATTCCGAAGTCATTATTTGTTAAATTGTTTTTTCTACGTGGTAAAGTGAGGCTTTTTTATTTACCTGACAGTCTCTGTAACTTGTCTCGAACATTTTTGCAGTCCACTTTCCAGCGGTCTCGATTTGCGTCACCAAACTTCGCTGGGACTTGAGACCGGAAGTAACCAATACGATACAAATAACCTTCAAATTAAGTAAAGGACCAAGGCGTTTAAAATCTATTCACCAGAGCATGGAAGACCTTCAAACTATTATATCAAACTTTAAGTAGAAAATAAATAAATAGAAAAGCACAGCGATTTGACCTGCATTTGGTTTCTTACACTTTATTTTGTTATATAGCCAAATGGCTAAAGTTGACTTCCGGTTCTTTTATTAAATTATTTTATAATTTTAAAAGCGTTAAATGGTTTTAGTCCCAAGTATTTGCTCGATTTACTTATGATCTATGAGTCTCTTTTAGGTTATCAGATGATAATCTCTAATTTATATCAAAGGTGGAGCCAAAATAATAGAGAAAAACTTGAGACCTACCTTTTCAGTAAATGTGATAAGTTGTGTTTCATTGTTGTTAATGAGCCTTTTTTCAATCTTGATAATTTAACACTATTATTGTTATTTCACTTTTTAAATACTTAGATCACATATTTGAGTATTCACATTGAATTAGATTTCATCCTGTTATTTTAACCTATTTTATTTTATTTTTTAATGTTCTTTTCAATATATCCCAAATACCATCAGTCTTTCTACTTTAAAGGATTGTTATTCTGTGCATGAATGGGACATGCAGTTTGGGTAGTGCACAGGGGGACGTTGAATTTATTTGTATTCTTCTTTGTTTTTTTTATCTATTTAAAGGCCTTCATGCTGCAATTATTTTGAATGAAAAGTGCTTTACAAATAAAGATTGACTGATAGAAACAAACAAAGGACTATTTTGAGACTTATCTAGCCTTTACCACTCATCCAGATGAAAATCCACAGCACTCACAGTAGACTTGAAAGAGATTTAAACTCACTTTATGAGCAGTGAAACTATTATTTCACTTATGAAAGTGGAGTTGAAACTAGGTTGATATCAAAAGAGAAAAAAAGGTCAAATTTGGATAATATTTTTCTGTCTGTGTGTGCTTAGATGCAGTTTAAATGACTGAGGCCTTTATCCTGGTTTTACAAACAGAAACCAAAGATTCAGCCCTTTAGTTAAAGTGCTGGTAAATGTCAGTTAAATGTCCAATTTCTGCCTTTTCCCCCCTGAGTGTCAATTCAGAAGTCATCTCCATGACGCCGACTATGTTAAAGCTGTGGGGGCGCTTAAATCTTTTCCAACTGTTACCCAGCAAGACATAGAGCACCCCCAGGAGAAATCCATTGAGGAAAAGCAAATTTACCAAACATTCATGCTTTTAGGATGATGGAGGAAGCAGACGCTTCGGGAGAGAACCCACAGCGGCGCATGGAAAAACATCCAAACTCTCCACAGAAAGGTGTCAGCCTCAGTTTAAATTGAGAACTTTCTTGCTGTGAGGTGACAGTGATTACCAGCCCACTGCACCGCCCCAGTGTCTGCAGATTAGAGAGAATACACAGCTGAACGGGACGACTGTGACCTTGGCTCCAGCTCGATTTGTTCTTTTTCTCTCTAAAGAGCACATGCTGACAGTCACCAGGCAAGAAGGGTTCAGCAGAGTTCACCGCCTGCATAACAGGAAATGTTTCACAATGTCTGCTTTTCATTTTTATGCTTAATAATATTTTCTCGGCATCTGGAGACCAAATATAAGCCATTCCCTCTTTATCCAGTTAGGGGTTCCTGAAACTAAACTGATGGCCCTTCTTAAGTAGTCCTGGCTCCATCTGAGTGATCGCTAACATTTGGCAAACTAAAATTTGATTAAACTCTACCATGTTTTATAGAGTTATCAAAGATCTGTAGTGCTAATTATGGGACTACTTTTCCACCTCCGTACAGTCTGATCACATTAAATGATCAATCCCAATATAGTGTTTCAAGATAAGTACTTTGAATTCTCGATTTTAAAATTGAAAGTTGAATACTTCACATTCACTGCAAAATAAAAAGGTTTTTGCCAAACAATTTGATCAGGTTAGAATTGGTAACGATAAGAGAAGCATCATATCAATTCCATCTTCAAATGGCTCGGGGAGAAAAAAAGCTGGCTCTAAAGCCAAATCTTAAAGTAACCACAACCGAATAAAAAAAGTGAGAGTTTTGAACAAATATGTAAAAGAACTGCATTGTTTTATTGCCATTTCAGCATACATCCAACACCCCCTAAGTCTTTAAGCTACATGAAGCATTTACATTACGAGTCATGTGTCAACGGAACAGTTTAAAAATTAGGATTCATTTTCTTTACATATGATACAATTTGCACACAGGTTAATAAATATCAATACAATCATGTCAAACTTATCACACACCATCTAAAACCACACGCTTTAAAACCATGTAACTTTTTTTTCCACGGCTCTCCCACCTCCCATCATAAATATCCTCTGTGCTGTAAAACAGTGGCCATCAGGATGTTTTTCTTTTCTTTTTTACAGTTAGCAGAAAAGGCTGTTAGATCTGCCCGCCGAATGACCCATAATATTTGATGATAAATTAAAGTGGGATTCCACAGCAACCCCATTTTTCACTGTGGGGTCATGCTTAAAAAAAAGAGGGGAAAAAAAGGAAAATTCCCAAAGTCGGGAGGGACTCACTGATGTGACGACATCAGAAACGACAAAATGCATAAAGTAGAACAAAAACGTGGAGAGTGAAAATGACAAAGGCATCTTGTTCAAGGGTAAAATATTAACACTGCTATATATATTGTTGTGCAAGTGTAGTGTGTATATTAACAACAGTAATATAATGAGATCTGACACCAGGAACATTGAACAAGCATTTGTAAACGTTAACCATCATTATCAAGTCACATGAAATGCCAAAAAGAAAAGTGAAGATCTCTGACTCGTTGCGGTGTGTGCAGCCATTGTGTAATGGCTTGGGAGGGAATGAGAGTTTAGCACAAGTGCAAGACCATGAGATTCAGGATGCATTAAAAAAAATAATCTGTGTAAAGCAAAAGCAAAGAAAAACAAATACATTAAAAAAAAAACTCACATGGCCATAATTGATCAATTCTTAGTGTTGAGACACTCAATGATGAGTTTGATGAAACAGGGGAAGAGAGCCTTTCCTATCATTGTTAATTTGGATACTTAAGTGGGGAACAGGCAACTTCAGAAGATGATGTCGGTCCTATAGTGAGACTAAAAGGGTTGAAAAACGGTGCGAGTCCCATAGCAGTCTTTGTGGAAAAGAGAAGACTCATCTGCTTGAAATGCGACTTATTCAACAGCTATACACGAGACACACTTATCTTACAATTCCTTGACATCAGCAGGACTGAACTGCATTTTTCCCTTTACATAATCCAGAGTGAAGTTTTTACACCTTGCCTTCTTGCCTGGAAGAATCCACTTCAAGGCCGGGCTGATAAAGTTGTGAAACTGTACTCTCCTCTCCTCCCACTCAGAAGGAGAGCGGGCGAAACTCCAGATTGATTAACTCGGAGTGCCGCTCGGCAGAGGATATGTAAACGCTGCCGACCGCATGCGTCCGCGTGGGCGTCGTCGTTTTTTTTTTACACATTCACTGCTGTAGGTGTGACGGTTTGAGACCAACAGCCTGTGTCGGCGTTCAGAAGACGAATCCCAATCGAAGACGGCTGTGCGACGCCGAGAGGTGCCTCGGACGGCTCCCGCTCTTCTCCCTGAGGAGCGGGCGGCGAGGCCCGGGCTAGGCCCAGTTGAGGTTGAATCCCTTGGAGAGCATGACGGCCTCCAGGTCCTTGTCCTCCTCCTTCTCCCGCAGCCTCTGCTCCTCCAGGAGCGCCACCAGGGCGTCGCGCTGCTCCACCACCTCCAGCATCTCATTCAGGATCTGCTTCTCCTGGGCCAGCTCCTTCTCGTTTTTCAGGTGGTCTGAGGGGGAGACGAGGGGGAAAGCGGATCACAAGGGAAGTCAGACGGACTCCCCCGTTTGTGAACTCGCTCTCGGCCCATCAGCATTCCTGCCCTCACCTTCCACGGCCATTCGCTCCCTGAGCTCCTGCTGCAGCCGACTCTGCCGGTCCTCCAGCTCCAGCTCTCTGGCACTTAGGCACAAAGACAAAAAATAAATAAATAAATGAAAGAAGTTTGTTACTCGTTGTTGCTCTTCTTTATCTTTCAGCTCGGCTCTTCTCAGGTCGTGTTATTTATCGATGCAAAATTCAATAAAGGGTATTAGCTTTCAAAACGGTTTATCCAAAAAGCTTTTAGTGGCCGATGATGAAATAACAAAGGATAATTCAATGGCTTTTCATAACGTAATAAAGCCGGTTATTTTTCCCCCTCAAATGGATTGAAAATGTAATATGATTTCATGTCAAACTTCGCAAAAGTATTATGACCTCACAAGGCCGAGGAAAATCAATCGGGAATAATTACAACAGTTAGGAGACGATGAATCTGTAGCATTTTATCATCTTACAGCTCTATCGGGTCATCCTTAGTCTTAAGTCTGTCGAGATCACTTCACTATTTTTACACACAATGATAGCACAAGACTTAAAGGCTGAGGCCCTTTATCCACGATGGCCCAAGGCTAGAGCGCTTTTTTTGTCAAAAAAGCATTTTATTTCTCCCCCATTTGAAGTAGATAGAAAAGAGAACCACTCAAAGATTAAATGATTCTGGTCTTTTTTTTCCCCTTATCAATGAAACTCCCCTATTTCTCCCTATGCTTATCAATGTTTTTTTTCCAAATAACTGTTTGTGTTTCTCCAAGATGATGATGCAAAACTCAGGTTTCATAAGCCCTGGGATCTTGCATCAGGTGCTCAAACTTTCACAGGTCCAATTTTTTATTTATTTTTATTTATTTTTGGCCAAGACTTCAGCCCGCTGGAGGAAACACTGCAGTGCATCCGAGACCTTGTTCAGACAGCAAGCTCGATACATTTACTCGAATATCAATTTCTTATTAAATTCAGAAAGCTCGTCAGCCTCTACGCCTAAATTGGAGAGCAGAACACGTTTTGCATTATTTGTCTGAACACTCGGCCTTTATGATAAAATGTCAAGAATGCTAATTGTGGGAAAGTATCGTCTGACTATAAACAAGTGCATTTTGAGCCAAAAACAGTGGGGAAATGGTTCTTAGAGAAATAGCTGTAAAAGCCTCGGCCACACTGGTAATCCCTCCCTTTTGCAGATGACACTGCTCAGTTCTGACGCCTCCCACCTGAGATGGAGTCGTGTACTTACAATATCATGAGCTCCGACTCGTAGCGGACCAGGGCGTTCTTCTCCTGCACCAGTTTGAACCACTCTTGCATTAGCTTGGGGTCGTCCTTCTTGCCCATACCTGCAGGACACGAGGAAGTCCAGATTTGCGAGTGAGAGGTGGCCGGTGCTGCGGGGCCTCGGCGGACACGGACCCACACAGGCACAATGACAGCCAAGCCCCGATGCCTTTGCTGAGGGATGGTGGGGTGGAAGGAATGGACTCCCCGCGGCCACTCGTGCCATACTTTACGATGGCAGGCAGGAGGTGGCGTGGGGGTGGCGGGTTTCGACTTCAATGAGTGCACAAATACAAAAAAACACGCAACAAACAAATGCACGCACACAAACAATATCTGTTATTTTAAAAAAAGTCAAGAGTTTGCATTGCCCAGCTTGGCCTCTGTTAGACATCTCCTAGCTTAGCTTCTCCTTTAGGAGCATCTACATCCTCCTATCTTTTTTTGTCTGACGGGGTATAAAGAAAAATCAACTGGCACAACATTCCCTACTATAGATGTCACAGATTTAAGAGAACCCATGAGGACGTCATCCGCCTGCTCACATGCTGACCCACCAGCAGAAATAAAATCCTTTAAGATCCCATTAATGCTGAGTGGTTTGAGGGCAGAGTAAATGTATGAATTATGCTGCTCTCTGTACATATTCCATCATAAGTTCAAATGCTCATGGAATGGCTTATCACAGAGACCAATAGCGAAGTTCACACTCCTCTATTAAGTCTGCCTGTGGGGGAAAAAAAACAAAAAAAAACACATGTTCTGCTAACATCATGCAGCGCAGTCAGAGCAGATACACGCTTCTCCTGCAGCTCCTCTTTGCCCCCGCAGAGAAGCCCGGTCTATGTGTCATGCTTCCAGAGGTCTGGTGTTGGCGTGGTGCACTCCAACACAGACACCATGAGCCCCTTTCATTTATCTGACTGCAGCAGGTGGAGCCAAGCGGTTTCGATGAAACACCGGTGGGCAAACCTCGATGCAGCGTGACATATTTAGCTGGGGAAGAGGAGGTTCTTGCAAAATGGAGAGGAAAAAAAGCGTACACACGTAAATCGCATGTCTGTGGTCTCCAGGAAGGGCTTGTGCTAATTGACAGAAAAAGGGACAGAGACAGACACAGCTGGAGAAGAGCCGCTTCACAGTTAAGGGGAATGCAACACGTACAAAAAGAGGAACTCTAACAAAAGCAAAGCAGATATTTAAAGCCTTTAACACAGTGGGCTTTTTTTTTGTTATCATTACACAGCACTTCAGCCTGTTCCACCACCACCAACCCTCAGCCCAAGGCTCTCAACACAAAGTAAGACGGGGGCGATAAAACAACAAAAAGGGAACAAATACCAGATTATACAATGAACAAAGATACTTCTCTCCACTCCGATTTGAAGAACAGGCACAGCCTCAAGTGACAGGTGTTAGATACAAAAACATCCAGATGATCCACTCATTTGTGAGACTTCTATCAGGTTTATCTATTACAAATAATCACACCATGCAAGGTCCTCAATTCCGAAACACAAAGATTCCCAAATACTGGCAAGTTCTCTATTTTTAATTAAAAAAACAAAACAATTTTGTAATATAAGTACATGTCTTTGGGGGTTAAGGGGAAAGAACTCCCAACACACACGCTTTATAAGATAAGACTTCACAGTAGATTTTAGACAAACAAGCAGCAAAAAACACATGCTTTTGATTATACACATGGCCGAGTAGTTTCCCCTTCATAGGAATGCAGCATGGTGGAAACCTAAGGGGAATATGACCTATTTCTACTTTAAACATAGGCAACAATTAAGCCCATTTTGTGAGTTTTGATCACTAGCAATTAAACAAAGACTGGATCATAGCATCTATGTCAAAATGAGAAATTTGAGTCGAGAAATCACCATAAGCCATATAGTTCATAAAACATACATAACATTAGCTTTATATGGCATAACTTTCCATGTATTAGCTATTACTTCAAGTATCCAGAGTGTAATAGTATTTAATTGGAAATGTATGAGCTCAGTGTTGCATTTTGTGATATTTAACAACCAAGTAAATCCAATTTTGCCCATGATTTTCTACTATAGGCAGCAGGAATTCTAGCATACAACAGTGTACAGTGAGGTAGGTTTGGTGAGGATCTAAAACTCAAGGGCACATCTTTTCTAGTCCATATACATCTACAGTACTTTTAAAAACTTTTTTAGATCAAGTCCTAATTGAATATTGCCCTTTTAATGTGGCGAGTTAGGTGAGGATTTGGCGGAGGGGTGGGGGGGGGGAAATCTACCGAGCCCAATCCCACAAATGCAGGGCGGTCAGAGCGTTAAGGGGGCGGGTAACAGGCAAACGGAGGTGGACCCGTTCTGGAGATCCTTACGGTTACCATGGTAACCTGCCGCAACTGTCAGCAGATGCGGCGAGGTTCGGTTACCTTCAGGGGAACAGCAGGGACAGAAGGAGAGCGGTCTTCGGCGGGGCATCTCCACAAAGGGCTCAACTTCCACATGACAGGGAAAAAGGGCAATAATGTGAGGGGGTGGGCGGGCGCAGGGGGGCGAACAGGGATCAGTGGGAGGAACAGCAGAGACATCACATGGGCACATGGAGAGGGAAGGAACAGGGAGAAGGGTGTGGAGAAAATATCAAGGAGAAAAAGTCAATAGAGGACAGGAGGAGTGTGACAGGGAGAAGACCAGCTGTGTGAAGTAAGAAATGAAAAAGGAGTGAAAACAGAAAGGGAAACAAGTGAGAACAAACCCAGAGCACAGAGTGGAATGAAATCCTATTGTTTGATCTTCCATATGTCTTTTTGCAGATAATCTTTTATATTAGGTACTCAGTTATAAAACAGGAAAAACATCCACATATGGCCAATTTTTTTAAAAACTAAATAAAGTTATTTAATCCCGTTACTAAAGCCATTACCGACCACCGGGACATCTATCTTCCTCACACACATGGAGATAATTGCTTTGTCTTTAAACAGCTTCTCTGTGCAAACACTGCTTAACATGTTTAGACCATCCGGCTTAATTTGTTGCCAGTCTGGCGACTTTTGAAGTTTCACTACTTTTGAAGTGTAAATTAGTTTTTTCCCCCCCCTTTTTTTATGCAATTTGCATCCACTGAAAAGATTTTCTAGAGAAATGGAAGATTATAAACAGCAAAGACTGCCTTAATAAACCCCAAAATAAAAAAATTAAAATATGTGTAGCACAGATAAATTTACCCCCTCTCCCCAAAAAAGGGCTTCAGGAAGAATTGAGTGATTACAGATACTCCGGGTTAAGGCACATAAAAGGGTTTGGGCTCGACATTAATAAGAGAGTGACACAGTGTTCTGAGGTTGGTAGGAAAAGACGACTGGGAGAGTGAAGTGCTTGATGATTATGACAAGGGACTATCGCAGAGAAAAAAGGGAAACACTGCGGAGTAGGATGTTTGTTTTTGAGTAACTAAAGTCCTTTTTTTCTTATGACTTACACTAATCATAGAAATACAGTTATGAACTGCATCACGTGCTCGTAATGTTTAGTAAACCTAACAGTCCACGTGAATAATTAACTCTGGGGATTCGGCTTGTATGGCAAATTACATTACAGACGCAGACCGTAATGGAGAAAATAACCTCTTGTTTTTCCTGCAGGGCTTAAATATAACTGCTCCGATAAGGCAAACTTACAGCTGCAGTTCGTGGTATTCATCAGCAAAAAATGAGGGGGGAAAAAGGCTAAAAGCCTCGTCCCTGAGAGACCAAAAACTCTTCATGAGATCCACAAGAAAAGACAAACAACTCTTTGGCATTCACAAACAGAGGACGATATGAATCCACTTAAAACAAGTTGGACTTGGGGTTAGAAAACATGGTGCCACCACAGAGCCCCGGGTCAGCTGGTTAGAACAGAGAACCGTGATACCCAACCTGTGTCTTCCCACCAGATTATTGTAACATTTTCCAACCACACACAGGTGCAGGCCCTTGTCAGACACGGGGGAAATGCAACCTTTTCCTCTTTGTTGCTGAGCGACGACACTGGCATGGAGGCGATGCCTTCAAACAAAACCCAGCCGAGTTCACACCAGAGGAAAAAGACGCATTCCTACAAGATGACAAGACATCTCACCCAGACACCACAGACCCCGCTCCCTTTGACCCACACAGTTTAGATACGGCAGCCGAGGTTCGAGGGTTATAACATTTCCCGATAGGACACGTAACACACTTAGACACACGCACGTACACACTCCAGGAGTTATGCAACTGAGCAGGTATGAGAAAGCGGTTGTTGGGACTACAGTGCAGAACTACAGCCGAGCAGAGCTCTGAGGGAAAGCTGAGAGCCAGGCCAGCAGTTTAGTAGGAGTCCGTCCAGGGAAGGTTACATGAAACTTTGACTATGTGTTTGTGCGCGTACATCTTAGTCCTCAGTTTTTTGTCTGTTCTAGTTCAATACACTTAAATGTACCAATTCATAAAATTATACTTACATTAGATTTATAGTATTATATTAAGTCAGATGTGTTGTATGTGTTGTAGAAAAGACCACAACCAACTGTGTTGAAGCCCATTTTTATCCGATATGCCAAAATTAGCTGGGGCAAACACAGAGGGGACTGTTTTGTTAAAAACCATCTCCCGCTCCAAAAGTATTATTTGTGTGAATTGGTTCCTGGAAGATCTGTCTAGTGGCGCACAGTGACCAGTTGTGCACTCACCGATGTCGGCCTAAGGTGAAAAATAACCTGCTTTCTTCTCTACATGCAGTGTGAGTATGAGCGGTTACGTTCTCCTCATGGCAGAGCTCATCAAAACACAAAGTGCTTTTCCTTTTGTTTGATGAGCCCCCACCCCTCTTCCTCCCCATCACAGACTGAATAATTCACCAATATGCAAATAAAGCTAAATCTTGTGTTACGTAAGTGCCATGAAATATTTGAGTCCTTTCTGTTTTGTGGTAGCTGTGTGATAAGTCCTCAATTAAATTACAGCTTCTCTTTGAACACGAGGACGATTGCACTTCTCGCTGACTGAAGTTGGCGTGTGTGTGGCAGCCTGCGTTGTGTGGCCTGCCGGCAAAAGACTGGCAACTACAAGTTCCTCAATAAACTCATAGGTTTATGGAGATCAAAGGTGATCTTAGGAGGACAGTGCAAGGCCCAGTGTCTGATCTTTATTGGATGTGTAGAGGGTCTCCACTACTAACAGGGTGGGGGAGGGGGAAGGGGAGTGGAGGGGGGGGGGGGGGGGGGGCGAGGGTGAAGGAGCACAAAGTATTACTGTGGCTGAAAGCCAGCAAGCCAGCCAGCCAACCAATGAAAGGTTGATACGAGGGGTACAAAGCTCAGCTAGTACAACAGGTGGGGGAAGGACAGATTGGGTTAGCCATTAGATTAGTTTGAAAGCGACAGATTTGAAATACATACCGCCCAGATGCAAGTCCAGGATTTCACTGTAATTAGAATCTCCCCAATAGTCTACAATGACAGGGATATATTAGAGATAGGAGTTATTTATCAGGGCCCCAAACTGGGCACACAAACGCACACACACTGAATGATCCAACAACAGCAAGTCATGCACGGTCCTTCAAACGTACGGACACACTGTAGTAACACTCAGAACTCAGAGTCCATCGGTACTCACCACAGTGTGTAATTCAATGCAGTTTGTGCAACACTACATTACATGACATTTTCCAAAAAAAAAAAAAGACTTTTACATAGATTTGCTGTATTGCTGCTTACTGGGACAGTTATTTTGTTTTCGTTTCTGTGAACGGACGTGTCAATAAGTTGTCTTTTTATAGTTGCAAGGCTGAGGTTTCTGTACGGGGTGATTCAGGAGTTGGAAACAGCAACAAATACCTGCAAGAAGTCACCAACTATGTAGATAGTTGCAGGGATATCTCCTACTAAAGAGGCTATCAGGCTGATGATCAATTAAAAGCCAATTTCTGATTGATTGATTGATTGATTGATCAGAGTACAGAAACTCCCCTCACTGAGCGGCAGCAAAGGAGACAACACATCCAGAGGGAGCAAAAACAAATCTATGCTGCGACACACATTCTCCCGATCGCATGCAGCTCGGAACTGACGATGGCGGTCATGTGACGAACAAACAAGGATCGACATGTTTAGAAATGGAGAACTGTTGCAGTGTGTCATAACAGATGGAGCCTACATGAAAGTATAAAAAGGGGGGGAAAAAAGCAACTGCGGTAAATCTAATACCTGATCTTCTTTTGTGCTGTTTGGGTAATGTATAAGTACCTTTATACAATCCTTTAAGAGAGTAAAGTAGCAAACAAGTTAAATCATTCTCAAACATTTAACTGTACTGTATAAACAGTGGATGATGAATAAATTTGGTTTGTGGGGAAATGGGCATCTATGTGCATGCATTTGCATGGTGAAAGTTCATTTCATTCCATTAACAGAAATCAAATTAGGATTAAATTAACTGTAAACATTGTAAAAGACGCCACCTGTGCTCCAGTTTTATAACAGCTCATATTAATCTATTATCATGACAGATTCTTCTGCTTTCAAACCCCCAAATAAAGAGCTGTGCTGTTGTCAAGCAGATAGCTTATTTTTGGAAGTATATTCTCTGTGATAGTCCCCTGTCGAAAACAATTCAGGTCTGTTACCTTGAAGACAAAACTGGGATTTTATGCAATTTACTGGCTGGATCAAATTTGGCACAGCTGAAAATAAATACAGACAGTGATTTGAGCACCGTCTGAATAACCATGAACCATTCATTACATAATGTTTTTTTTTTTTTTACTATCCCCTTTAGAGCATTAGAAAAGCTTAAACAAGTTTAAGATAAAATGGGATTTCAGTGAGGAGGCACCGTGAAGCAGCTGTCATGACCCAACCGTCAAAGTAGAAAATCACTTATAAATGTTAATAAGCGCGTTACAACACTCACTACACCCGACATCCTGCCTAATGTGGATGTTATATCTAATTTGCAGTGATGTTACAGATTCTTGGAGCCTCTTGGGTTGGCTGCCTTGACTTGAGGAAAAATGGGAATTATTATGTCAAAAGTATGAGTTGCAAATCGTTACCTGCTTCTCCTCTCAGTGCTTTCTCCACAGCGACACCCCTCTCCTCCAGTTGCCTCTGTTTTTCCTCCACCTGCTCCAACTGTCTCTGGATTATCTTAACAGAAGAGCAGTCGCAATATCAATGGCAACAAGCGCTCAGAGGCACGAGCGTATCGCACAGCCAAATTTCACATTGGCGCACAGGGCAACAATCACTCCCACTTACAGACAATTTGCCCTAAACTTCACTGATGCAGCAGCTCCCGCTCACGATAAGACAAATGCCTTTGGCAGCAAAAGCGCTGATATTTATAGTTATATTGATGAGAATGAGCCAGTTATGTGGGGCATCTCAAAACTTTCTCCCATCAGCCAACTTCACTTCCTAATTGCATGCAAAGATGTCAAAAGAACATCACAGCCAGTTGGATGCTGGAGTGAGAGATTCATTTTGTGATTAAAATCCTCCAGTTATCTGTGCTAGCCGGGTTGGCTATGGCTCAGTTTGGCTAAAGCATTGGCACAAATAATCTAATTTGATGTAAAACGGGAGAGATGGGGACAGGGCATTGTGAATTACACTGCACCGATGTTCTACCTGTGCTCGGATTCTCAGATCTGCTAATTAACAAGCAGATGTTCGGCTAAAACTATTAACTATTTAAAAAAAAATCCCCTGCAGAACCCAGACTTTTAATTGGCTCGTTTGTTAGCGTAAACCAATTAAAAAAAAACTTTTACCAAATTTCTCAATATCTCAAAGTTACTGAATCACAAGCTGTGGGATGTTTATCAAAGTTGCTTTTTAAGTAATCTTGTAACATATCAAAAACTTATTTTCCAACTTACAGTGAGTATCTGTTTACTTCTTGAGTAGACGTACTTAAAGATTAATGTATGAACATGTTAATTGATATTAAAACAATGACGCCGTGTGCCACCCCTTAAACTTAACAAAATAATTCTGATTAACAAAATGATCAATTAAGAATCTAGGACAAATGAGTACTGTAAAATAACAGAATCTACTGGGCTCTACAGTAATTACAGCTTTTAAGTATTTCTGTATAACACAGGACCCATAAGATAAGACAGAGAGCCCATTTTAATCCTATGACAGGAAGCAAGACGGCTCAGTGCTGAGTAAGCTGGAGCAGGAGTCTGACTGTAGAGTTGCACCATCGAGCACATGAATCTCTGAACCAAGGGGTGCAGCATTCTGCCTCTTTCCGAAAGGGCTGAGTCATAATAAAGCCAGCGTATGGTATAAGGCAAAAAATAAAATAACAGCAACAATAATCAAAATCCACTCAACAGAAAATGAGACACGGACTGGAGAAATCCTATTTTTTAAACGAAAAATCAATGCCATCCGTGTTCTACCTGGGCTCTATGCAGCCTCTTGAGCTCTTCCTGTTTGGCCTGCCGCCGTGCAGCTTTCTGGACTCTGCGTGTCAGCTTGGCATTCAGCTCCTCCTCCGTGTAGGTTTTCTGGTAGAACATCAAAATACATGAGTCAGAGAAGCCTCATCTGAAAGCTCCAGCTATGGCAGGATGGCTATATGGTGCCCTGATCCTAAAGTAAAACTAAAGAGGAGAAGAGGAAGACTAGGCAATCAGCTAGTACCGGTACTGTACATAGGAATATTTAATCCTGTGCTACACATCTGCAGGGTTTTCTTAGGAGCCTATACAATGACATTCAGGTTATAGTGACACCTCCAAATAGAATATGACACATACTATGCTGCATAGTGTTTATCATCTTCACTGCAACTCTGCTGAAGACTGTTCACATAATGAAATACAGACATATTCCTCAGATAAGATAATATAAGAGGATGAGAAAAGTTTGCCCAAATGAGCAGAAAGAAAAGCAGAGCGGAAGGAGAAAAAAGAAAGCTACTCCAGCGGTGATACTGGAGTATATATGTTTTTGCCAGAGTGACGGTTTAACAGTATATTATACCAATCAGAGAGAAAGCCCGTGGTATAAAGAAAGGCAGAGGTCTCCTGATATACCGTAAAAGTGAGCGCGTTCAGAAAATGTTTTAAAAGAGCAGATATCCAGCAGTGAGTGAGCCAGCGTGGTCTGACGGTCACATGCATCCAAAGGGGGTGTTATTAGTTTTTGGCCAGTTGCACCAAAGTTGTTATTACACATGTGCAGGGCGGCAAAGTTGGGATGGAGGGGGGGGTATCAATCAATGGGAACATATGTGATACTACCTTTGTGGCGTATGATCTCTTGAACGCCAGTGCGTGAGGGACATAAACAGACTTGGTTGGGGGAGCGGGACGAAACATAAAAAGGAAGGGGGGGACATCACACAGATGATATGATTAGATAGGTTAATGATTAAGTCAAACAACAGAGGCAAAACAGCAAATAAATAAAAAAAAAACTCGAAAATGTTAATATCCGACAACAAAAAATATCTGATAAGCTTTTGTGACATTTGCCTATGTTAAGAACTACAACAGAACTACATCTATCATGTCTACGTCTGCTTTTCCTGCACTGACACAGACAGAGCTGGAAAAAACTACAGCCATTAAAGACGATGCAACTCCCAGGAGCCGGTCACATTACACAGGGTCTCAGAGGCATGACGCAGCTTTAGTCTGTACGGAGTCAGAACTCAGCTCCGTGTTCACCAAGAATCAGAACACCGATTTTATTCTTCGCAAAATGTTCCCACAATGGTGATAACTGAACGGGGAGCGCGCCTGAGTTCTTTTGCAGCAGCGGACAAATTCATGCCTCTTGTCCTGGACATAACTGAGTCTGTCTAAATCACCGGGAACACAAAGACACACACAGACTGAGCAGCGGCGGAGAGAGTCGTTTTGAATTTCAGAACATAATGAATGCAAATGGATTCAAATAGAGGCGCTCGCATTCTAAAATGCGCGTGTTTGCGTGCTGACTGTGGGCGTAGTCCGGATAAGATCTATGCGCCCGGCATATGGAATGAATCCAGCTCTTTGAAGAATTCACTCGTTAATTTTCTTTCAAAACGATAACATTACAATGTGCATCTGAAATGACACATTATGTTGCAGCACAGCTTGAGATTTCAACTCCGATTAAGTTGCATAATATACGTGGTACTTTCTCAGATCTCCTGAGGAGAAAAGATGTACACATTTCTTTCGCTAATGCTTCATTAAAAAGTGTCGACACAACCTATTTTTCAAGGTCTGAAAAGCCAGGGGGCAAGCCGTACAACGCCATTATTAGGCAAATGTTGGTTAAGCTGATTACAGATACGTTTATCTGAAATTCAAAAGCATTTCCCCCCTTTGCTGCACAATACCTCCTTGTTGTTTTTCTCCTTGTCTCGGTCAACCTCCTTTTCCCGCTCCCTTTCTTTTGGTCTCTCTTTCACCCCTTTTTTTTGCTTTAACTCCCTCCTTCTTTCCTTTTCCAGTTTCTCCTCCTTTACCGCCTCCTTCTGCATGCCTGACACTAGGTCAAAGATGTCCGTATGCCGCTGGGAGTTGAAGAAATTGTGAAGAAAAGCGTTTACCAAAAGGAGGCAAAACATGAGGTGATGCAATGAGTGTGATGATGATGAAGGCGACTAGTCTGGCTTCCAAAAAACAATCTGTGAGTGTTTCTTATGCTGTGGGTATTTCAGGGTTCGTGAGGTTGTGCTTTACATCTAAAATGAACTCACCACCTGCAAAAGAGTCACTGGAAATCAGGGTGTTTTTGTTTGTCTGATTTTACATAAGGGCTTTAACAAATTCACATCAGAATGTGAAAAGGAAAAAGCAAAGGTTAAAAAATAATCAACAGCACTGAGATAATGAGGTGTAGACCAGGGCAGGGGACCCTCTTCTCTCTCTCTCAGAGGGCTTAAAAATCTCCTTTCAGGGATAAATTCAATTTGTAAATGCACATTTTGTGACTGTTGTAAAAATAAAGCCACAGGTTGGAGTTTATTTGTTTAAAAAAATGTAAATGTATTCTTTTAAGAAAGAGAGAAAAATTATATTAATGTCCTAAATCTGAGCAGATGTGGTATTTTATTAGGTATGTTAATACAGGCATTAGTCATTTCGATGCTCCCTCCCTCTCTGATGCTGGACCTTTATGTTATGTTCACTGACCCGGATCCCGGCTTGGATTTTTGCGTTACCGTTACTTTTACCACAGAAAGTTTTCCCCACCACTGGTTTAGACATTCAAATCACTCCAACCTTTTCAAAGGTGGGTTGAGACGAGGCGTTTGTTGGCCTCTAATGAGTAATTAGTAACTGTGCTGCAGGCTAAAACCTCTGAAATGACTCAGGCTCAGGCTGGCTGGGCGTATATTCTGTGTAGCGCTCGTACATTCATACTCACATCTGCCTTTGACTTCTGGGATGATCTCTCCAGGACATCATCGCAGGACAGGTCCGAGTCCTCTGAGAAGCTCAAGTTTCTGTGCGATTTCAAGTCTGTTGAACAAATATCAGAGAACATAAGAGTTTATGTTTCTCTATGAACATTTTGTAAGCTTTCGAATGACTCTCTTACCTGAGGATCTCCCAAGCGGGGACATTTTCTTCTTCCCAGAGTCCTGAGTGGTGGAGCTGGACGACGGTGTGCTCGGACATGACTTGTTGTCCTTCTTCTTCTTGTCCTTCTTGTATCCTGAGAAGACCGCCTTCCACAGGGACTTGTGTTTGGGCGGCGTCTCCTCTGCACCCGAGTTTCTGCTGCTGTCATTCTTGGCCTTCTTCTCCTTCTTATTCTTGCGGGGTGAGAAGAGGGAGCTTCGCTTCTTGCTTTTACTTGTGGTGGAGCCGTCCGAGGAGGCCACCGAGCTGTCCACGCTCTTGTTGCCGCTGAAGAAACGCTCCGGCGTGACCTCTTGCCTCTTCGACTCCAGAGATTTCACGGCCGACGTCTTTGGAGATCCGGCGGACTTCTTCGCTTTTCCAGCTGAATCTGGGGCTGCACCCCAGGCCACCTTAGGTGAGGCACCCTTGTCTATGTCGGAGTCTTTCATCTTGTTCAGCTGCTTGGCCATGGCGTCTTTCAGAGCCTGGCTCTTGATCGACTTTTCCCTGGCCCTCATTCTCTCCTCTGCGATCTCCTTGGCCTCTGGAGAGAACTGAGTTGCTCTCTGGTTCTTGGAAACGGCGCTGCCTGGGATATTGGGTTTCCCATTTCCCATTGCCAGTGCCAGATGTAGGGGAGGTTTGCAGGGCTTGCTGGTGGGCGGAGTGTAATATTTGTTCATGCTCGTTTCTGGCGTTCTCTCATCATAAATCTCTTCCACGTCGTCAGCAAACGGAATCTCCTCGACCGTCTCCACGAAGGACTTTCGGACGTCCTCCTGACGAGGCTTCTTCTTTTCCCTCATCACAACAACCGGGGGGGTCTCTGGAGCTGCCTGAGGGGAGGAGACCTTCCTGGGTGCGGGTTTGGGCACAGACACGGGGCTCAGCTGAGTCCTGGGTGTCGGAACGGGAGTCCTGGTTTTCGCCGGCTCTTTGGCACGCTCCGACGGGGGGGTTTCTGTTCCGTTGCTCCAGGGCACCTGGTGTCTCTGCTGCCGGAGCACAGCTGGGGACTGATTAGCAGGCACAGGTGGCGGCGGGCTGGAGGGCGGGGTGAGCATAGTGGAGTCAGATGTGCTGTAGCTGTCGCTGTTCGCCGTTTGGCCCGTCGCCATGCTTCCATTCAAGCCCAGGCCCGAGCTGCTGCTCAGGTCCCGTTTGTAGGAGCTGTCGTTTTTGCTCTCGGCGGAGGTGAGAGGAGTGATGACCTGGCCCTCGAGCGTGATGTTGAGCCTGCGGATGACGGCGCGGCCCGTAAAGGCGGGCTTCTGCTCCTCAGGCGCGTCCGGTGACTTGGTCCAAGCGGGGCTGAGCTCCTGAGGCGGCGTCTTCACAGGGCTCCTCTCCAAGATTTTGCTGCTGCGGTCCAGAGGAGTCAGGCCGAGGCTCTTCCTTATCTCAGCGCTCTTCAACCAAAACTCCTCGATGAGATCGGCCTTTTTTGACGGGGTATCCTCCGTTGAGGAATCTGAGGACTTTGATGCATCCTCGGATGCGGCCCTGTCTGCTTGGGTCATGGGGGTGGAGGCCACCGCGGGGACGGGCTGAGTTCTGACGGGGGAGTCGGACACGAGCGGGGACGAGGGCTCGTGGCAGGGCAGAGGCTGGGCACAGATCGGGGAGAGGGGGTTCCCCGTGAGAGGGCAAATGGAGCGGTGCGGGTAGACTGGAGATTTGGGTTTGCGAGTCTCTGGAAGGGGGGCGGGCTGGGAGCGGATGGGAGAGCTAACTGGAGACCTGACAGGTGATTTGACAGGTGACTCGGTGGCTGGTTTCACCGGAGAGGGGACGGGTGAGGCGGTGGTGGTTGCGGCAGGAGAGGCGGGGGCGGGGGGCTTGACGGGGGAAGCGGTAACCGTGGCGGGAGATGGGACAGACGGAGAAAATGGAGCCGGAGCGGGGGACGGGCTCCGTGGGCTTCTGACAGCCGGAGGCACAGCTGCTCTCTCAGGCATCTGTTCCTCAGGGAGGGAGGGATCTGCGAAAAAGCGGTTGCCGGGAGACTTCACGGGAGTTAGCTGAAAAGGAAAGAAAAACGTAAGAAAAAAACAGTTCTGGATTTACTCAGAACACATCATCATAGGCTTTCAGCCTGATAAGTGTGAAATTACAGCACCTCTGTTTCAGGCGGCGCTGATGGTTTGAGGGGAGAAAAAACAATATCTTCTTCCCGTGCCGGGTTGATGCTGGATGATTCTAATTTCATTCAACAAAATTGGAGCATTATTTATATGAACTGAACTGCGCCACTAAAAAAGTACATTTTTAGGACGGGTTTTGCGATATGTACCAATACTAGAGGCTATGGCCAGGCTTTCTTCTTCCTTTTCCTCCTCTGGAGGGACTTCTTGGTACACCGATTCGTGCAAACGAGCCTCGGCCTCCGCATCTGAAGGGATGTCTTCTGGAATTAAAAATAACGACAAGGAGCCTCGTGGTGATAATGATGTAAAAACAGGGTTTATTTATCACCTGTGTGTATTCACAAAATGTGGTGCTCGGATGCTCAGTTTGAACACAAAGTGCTTGTAAAATATTTGGTTGCACTTTTCTGATAAAACGGGAAAAACCCAGAAGAATAGAGAGAAAAAAAACATACCTCGTCTGTGCTTGGTGGATGCATGGACTGCATTAATAAGCAATAGTTATTTTTATTATGCAAAAGTCTTGTTTTTGTAAGAGTATAACAAACCCCAGTGTTTCTTTATGGATCATTAAAATTAGACTAATTTTTGCTCCAAAGTGAATGAGGAAGCTTTCAAAAGAGGTCGGGGCATCTTTATGGGCCACTTGGTCTGGCATAGCCGCCATGGAAGCATCTATTATTGATTACATAAAAAATAAATAATTCGAATCCGTTAAAAATGTTATATATTGCCCCTGCGGTAAAAATGCTGATGCATCTCTGCTCTGCAGAGGCTCTGCTTGGCAGTTAGAGTCACTCCTAAACGCCTGTTACTGTGGCACATTAGACTTTATAGAGATGGCTCTCGTGTGCATCCTCCTTGGTCTCCAAAACAAACGCATTATGAACACGGAACGCAAAAGAGCTTTTTAATCCACTAACCGCAGTGGATGGGAAAAAGAATCTGCTCCTCTGAATGAGGAATGCTGTTGCAGTCAGGTAGCCCTGGCAGCGGCTGGTTGGACTACACTCCTGCTACATATTTCTGTGCTTTCTCTTTGACAAATCAAATTTAGATGAGGGGTAAACATGAGTTTGAGCATAAAAATATCCCTGTAATGCCCGTGTTTAAGTGTGATAAGTGAAGGAAGTTTCCATTATTCTCATCTCTTTAATTTTCTTGCCTGTTTGTTTGTGTCTGTATTTCACTCAAACAAGATTTTCTGTTTGGAAAATGAGAGAACCCGGACAGATGAATTAATCATTTATCATTGCAATTGCTTACCCTGATCCAATTCGGTACCAGGCTCCATATCTTGACTGTCTGCTTCAGCCTCCAGTTCTTCATCTTCGCAGAGTTCTGGCACGAGATAAAAATGGTGAGAAGTAAGTAATCTGCCTATCACTTTCATCTTCAGTCAATAAAAAGGAGAGAACTTTTTCAATTCCCTTACTGTCTAAGAAAGAATTAACTTTTCTTTACTCTTTTCATACACTCAGGCTGTAGGCTGAAAAGCTATCTGGACCAATTTTGAAAAAAAAACTTAAGAGGCAGAAATAAAAGGTTGAAAGAATGGAAAGACTTCAAAATCAAAATCCATTTCACTTCAAACATCACTAAGAAAATGATATAGCCAGAAAGAAAAGCTTTGGCCGATAAATCAGCAAGTCTGTTGCCATAATGAACAGAGGATGGGCAGAGTGTAGCATTAGTGATAAGATACATGCAGCTGTCCATTTTTTAATTAGCAAATGGATCTAAATCGAACAAGCAAAAGCGCAACCAAATGTTAATGACATCTGTTAAAAGTCAGCCAGAAAAAAAAAAACCTTTTCAGGAGGAACATTTTTTTCCCAAAAGAATTATGACAAGAGGAAATTACTCAATTTGTGCTTTTATGAAATAAAATGACCTCTTAAATCACCACTTCTGCAAACACGCTATTGCTGTGTCTGGTCTCAAAGACGGAACTCAAGGTCTGTGCATGAATCAGAGGCTCTCATTTAAATAGCTAACAAAGTACTTCGGTAGTACATTACGTTATCAGCTTTGTGCAACAACAGGAATCCCTGAAGAAGCCACCAATACATCAAACAGCAGATTTAAAGCAAAACGTTGTCACACATCAGGGAAAGTGCTTTCAAGCCGTGGCGGCTCATTCTGTGGAGTATGGTGGAATCCAGTGTGATGGCGTGAGCAGAAAATACATTTACCCGGAAGGTGAAAAAGTGTAAGAGCAAGTTTGGTTGGGAAAGGTGAAATAAAGAGGCCTGTCTGATCCCAAGAGGGCAGAGCTCTTGGGATGGCATGCATGCGTGTGAGTTTGCTGCTCTCTGCACGTGTTTCTGCATGCTCCAGGAAAAGGTCAGCCCATAGATAGTATACGAGTCTAAGATGGGATGTCAGGATCCCATTAGGTCTGTGCTACCTCCAGACAAGGACTCCAACCAGACTCTCACTGCCTCGTGTCGGGGGGATGTGTGGGCAGGAGCTACTCTCAAACCAGAAGATACAGAACAGACAGGTAGATGGAAGGGAAATAACAGTAAAGCAATTAGACACATGGGAAAGAACACGGCAGAACACAAAAGAACAAAGCAGACCAAAAAAAAATAAAAAAATCAAAGGAACTGACAAGAGGGTTATGTGATGCACTGGGATGCGGTTGAAGAGCATTACATCCATCCCAGAGGAACCACAGCGACTCTGAATGGCAAATTAAGAGGTTGGACCAAAAAAAAAAAAAAAAAAAAGACATTCCAAGAGAAAAAAAAAGCGATGCTACACAAATGTAAAAAAATGAAAAGGTAATTAAAAACAGCGGGTGGGTTAGTTGGATCCTCCTGTCACAAACGAACAGAACAGCAGCAACCACACTGGTGAAATGAGGGACCCTGATCCTCAACACACTGAGGCCCACACGGCCTCCCCTGGTGTGCAGCTCCCCTGGGAGGGTTACCTGTGGAGGAGGGCTGCATAAGCTCAGAAGGCTGGGTAAGATGGAGGGCCGAGGCCAGTGGGCCATCCTGGTCCCCCACAGAGTCCGGGAGTGTTCTCACCAAACCTGGAATGGCATGGGGATCCACAGGATGCAGGGCTTGCTGGATGAGTAAATTCCTGGCTAAATACATGTCATGTGTAGGATTTTTGAGTGCAGTGATGTCGTGTGGATCAAGAAAGGAACAGGAGATAAGAGGTAGGAAGAGAGGAGAAGATGAAAGAGAAAAGGCAGAGAAACAGTTACACAAAATCATTGGACAGAAACACATCACAGGGACGGTGACGGTAGGCTGCATGCATTTACACACTGCAAAAAAAAAGTCAAACAATTAGCTTCAAAGGACACAAAATAAAAACTATCTAGATCCATGTGCTGAATAAAAAAATCCTGTCTGCCAAAACTGCAGCGCCTGAGGGGGAAAACACAAATCTCTGGGATTTATCTGATTAGTATTTCAAAGCCATGTACCAAACTCAGGTCAAAACAGCAGGTTAAATGGCTCACAGTGTAAAGAAACACACTCATTTAAGCACGGTCCCTTAGAAACACAATGGCGACCTAAGAGCAGAACAACACAAAAGGCTAAAGTGACTTTTGCTGAAACCTTTTCAAAGTGAAAACTGAAACCAGCCAGAAAAACTGTCACGCTCAAGGGCACTGCAAAAGCATCCACAGGCCGGTCTGGTGCTACCTTTAAACGTACAAACATCCTCCTCGTCTGAAAGGTACTTCTCCAGCCAAAGGCCTGACTGGAGCTCCCTGTCCCAGGGGCTGTAATTCCCCTCTAACAGCAGGGGGGGGGGGGCAAACACCAAATGAAACACATACAAATGCAGAGTGTGGACGTCGTTGGTTGATTCAGGAGGGGGGGGTGGGTTATGAAAGGGGAGAGGAGAAACAGAGGATGAGAAGAGCAGTGTCTGAGGCAACGAGACAACACATGAAAGGGACTGACAAACTGTCCACACACGGTTTAAAAAAAAAAAGAAAAGAAAGTAGGAACAGGAAAAACTAGCAGCGACGCTCCAGAAACAGCTTACCATCACTGGATTCTTCCTCCTCTTCCTCATCTCCCTCCTCCTCCTCCTCCTCCTCCTCCACCTCTTCATCCACATCTCCGTCCCTGCTGGCGGCGTCGGCCAGATCCTCGCCCTCCGCCTCGTCGCCTCGCAGTTTGGCGTGGAGCTCCACCGCGTCCTTCCAGGGGACGCCGCCGAGGTCCGAAGGGCTGGGGAGCTGCTCCTCCCCCTCGACCTCCTCTTGGTCCTCGACCTCCTCCTGGTCCTCCTGCTCGTCCTCCTCCTCCATGTCGGACTCTGAGCTACTGTCGGGGAAAAAGCAGTCGAAGAGCGAGGGCACGTCAATGAAAGTAAACCTTTTTTGAATGAAACAAAAAGTGAGGAGGCCCAAACCTAAACGTGGTGCTTTTTCTACAGTGAGCTTAATTGAGAAATGTCACAGCAGTACCTGGAGCCCAAGTCGGCGTCTGTGGCCTTGTCCAGCACGCTGCTGAGGTTGTGCTCCGCCAGCGTCTCCTCAGGCACCTCCTCCAGCTCCTCCTCCTTCTGCAGGGACAGCCGGTAGTTCTCCAACTCGATGCGCTCTGGAGTTCCCCGCAGGCGTTTGGCCAAACTGGGCTCCGGCAAGCCGTTGAATTCTGGTACTGTTGTCGATGAGGGGCGCGGACAGGCCCAGGTGAAGACACATGGGGTTGGCAGCGAGTCGCAGGTAACAACGCCGAAAAGGGGAGGGAAAAAGCAGAAAATGTATCTGAGAATCAGCTGGGGGGAGAGAGTGCAGAGGAGTGATTTCACTTCTAACCCTTCTGTGTTCTCATAGAAATATAAACCGGACTCAAGCCAGTCTCCATGTTAAAATTATTTTATAGATACAAACTTCTGCTAGTGTCCATATGTGACTCCCCACAGGTGACTTATTCCCCTTAAACCAGAATAAGGAAAAACTCACAAAGACACACCAATTTCTGCTATTGAATTTATTGTTTGTAATATACTTCAACAGAAAACCATAAAAAAACCAAAGCACACAAAAGTTTAACACGCTAAAACTCTATTAGACTAAAAGTAAATACAAAAGGCGGCCGCCTCGCCTTAGACCCATCCTGGCAGGCAAAGCTTAAAACTCTATTACTATATTTAGCTAAAATTGTTCATGGTTCATTGACAGGGTCCAAATCTTGAATTCGTAAAAGCAACCATCATCAATCATTCAAGGTGATTTCATTTCCAATTGGATAAAAACTGGCTGGCAGACCCCCATTAAAATGTGTGGGAATTAAGTGCAATTTTGGGAATTTAAAAATCAAGATACGTCTAATACTCAGGTTAGGCTAGCAAATGCCTCTATCAATGTAGCTCGTATAAGGGCCAAAAACAAAAAATAAACTTAGAATTAGAAAGCACTGAAGGAGCACGTGGTCCAACAAAATGTAATTTCCTGCTTTTCTAATAAGTTAATAATAATGCTTTTAAACGATTTTAGTATAGTAGAAATAGATGTAAATTAAACTAAATCTAAATGTTGGTATCATGTAACTTTACATGGTTCCATGTCTTAAAATAAAGTGATTTTCTTATCTAAACACTAAGAGTAAAAGTACGAGTTGTTTTTATTCTTTAACGCTCTTGTTATAAGTGATATTAAAATATCTAATCATATAATTTATTCAAAGTGCAGCATGACTAAAGATTACTTATTTTTCTGTTATCAATTTTCAACTAAGCTCACACATTTAAGCTTTGTTTGGTCTTCTGATTCTAGCCTACTGTCACATACAAAGTGATTACTGGATTAAATCTGCACTACAAGGAGCATACGAGTGGTTTTAATGGAAATCTGTTGAGGGGAGAAAGGCTGGGGAGATGCAGAGCGAGGAAAATCACAAGAGTGCCAATCACAGGCACTCATTCAAGCCATTATAAATATTCAAGTTTTAAGATGTGCCGATAGGAGGGGGAAAGGTAAAGCTCACAAAAGCACTGATACAGGCACTTCATCACGATACGGTAGCTATCAGTATAGAGGAAAAGGTGCAAAACAGCTAATAGAGAAAAAAAGAAACACATCAAAGAGCAGGCATTGAAACGACACTGCACACAGGAAGAGAGGTAGAGCTAAAACAGAGCTGTCACAGGCCACTACAGGTTACAATCACAAAAAGATCAAGCTTGGCTCTTCATTAAAACAGGCAGGCAAATATCTAGGTATGCAAAAAACTTAAGCTCTAAGAAATGTGTTGCTAGGAAGGTTATAAGGTTTATCACCAACTTAAATCAAGACCACATGCCAAAAGCAACAACAAAAAAAGAAAGGCTGAAAAGAGCCACAAAGGATTAATATTGCTGCCCGAAGAGCTGACCAGAAGGAATTCTGGGGAGCTCTATTTAATTGTCAAGCCAAGGAAATAAAAATAAAAAGACTGAGGATGCACCATTCACTTCTTAAACTCTGAGGCCAAATCAATTAGTTTTCTCTGCCAATCGGAAGCCATTACATGGCACGCAGAGAAATGGATGATGCATCTTTAAGGAAAACAAAACATTAAGAAAAAGAATCACTGAGACGCAGAATCACAAGATTCAGGTGAGTCCGTACATTCTAAATCCACATTCCCACTATCATTAGTTTGCAGAGTCAAACAGAGAGAGCAAAGAGTCTAAAAGGAAGGAGGAAGAGGAAACTCATGCTAGAGGAGGCTGAGCAGCACATTGATGGTGAAACAGCAGAAGATGTAGATGCAGTAGGTGCACAGGAAGGGAGAATCTAGGGGGTTGTGCGCCACCTGGTGGCAGGTCCAGGAGAATGTGCGGCGGAGGGTACACAGCGGGAGTCCCACACCCATGGCCAGGCGCCAGGGCACCGCCGCCACGTCTACAGAGGAAAATCGGGTACCTGAGGGTTGGAGCTCAGCCGAAGGAGCTGCCGCAGCCATCGCCCTTCCGGGGGCATCGACGGTCACCGTGGGAGTCTGAGGCGACTGGTTCTCCTTCAAATGCAAAGAAAACACACAAAAAACACAAATTAAATGATGTTAAGAGGGCAGGGGTCTGAGCAGGTCAAAGCCCAGAGGGCTGCCCCCTCATGCCAAATCCTAAACGCCAAATTTTTCGAAAGGACACAAAATGAAAGTACATTTGCATTCAGTATTTTGGAGGGGTAGGGGGTTGGGGGTGGGTGGGGGGGCTACCTTGGCTGAGCCTGGAGCAGGGGAGGGCGCAGGCCTCTTTCTCTGGGCATAGCCGGACAGACGGTAACAGTAGTGAGGCTTGCAGTAAAATTTCCCTGCGGGACCGAAAAGGTACACAGCACATTAACGGATAGGTTCAAAGGCCTGGACAAATGAATTCTGACAAGTCCATAGACAGCAGAGCACAGTCTGTAGAGCGAAACCGGGTGTGTGCCCGTTACAATGTAAGAGAGCTCCCTTTGTGTTACATTTCAGACCCTCTGTGGGTTTTAGTCCCACTGAAAACTCTGAGAAACAGTGGCTCTGTCTCACCGAACAATCTGTGGACTGTCCTAGAGCACAATAGACACCTCCCAGCGGGGATGGACACCGAATCGTTGGACTGCTCTCAGCCTCGGGCTGGGTGTGAGGAGTTTTTGCGACTTCCAGACGAACGTTGCACACATAAAACTTTGAAATTCTATGTGGTCCCAGCATCCTTCTGCGTTTGTAAAGGTCACAAACCAGAACGGGCTTACTACTCGACTTTTGAGGGGTGAGGAGTTCCGGTCAACAGCAATACTCTGTACGGCCACTTGGGGGCACCATAGTTACACTGGTAAAATAATCTGCTGATGCTGCATTTTTGTTGCATTTGTTCTGTTTGTTTAAACATCAGGCAACGACGGCTCTGAAGCCTCTGAACGTCCGCACAGGTGGTAACGCACATGCACGGGGAACTTCGGGGCATACTAACCGTCCTCTACGTCAAAGGCGTAGGAGGATAGCCGTAGCGTTGTGCCACAGTAGTCGCACTTGAAGCAGCTGCGGTGGAAGAACTTCCCCTCTGCGCTCAGCCTCTCCATCACGTACACGCGCTTCCGGCAGAAGAAGCAGACGTCGCTGCCTCCGATGTTGACGGGGAACTCTTTTCTGAGGGAGCCCTGCGGGGAGGAGACGGAGCTGAATCAGCGCCAAGCAGAATGCGAGGAAACACTACGAGGGGCCGGAGAGAGGAGGTTCAACAGGCGGAGGATTTGGTCAAAGTCAAAGGTTACAGCGGCCCGCCGCAGATATGTCCTCAGTGCCCACATCCACATTTCTAATGAATGAATAATCAAGCACACAACGTCGAATGGTTAATTATTGGTCCAAACAGTCCAGACAGGTTAATCTGTGATATATAAGTCACTCTGTTAACCACAACGAACTTCACAAAACAACGCTGCGGCGAGCCAAGCTGGGACTTGCTTTCCCACATACCCTCTAATCTACGGACAGCCATCTTACCAAATCCCTCTTCTCAGGTACATGGGTGGGCTTGGAGTCTTCCTGGGGTTGAAGCTGACTGGCTATCTGCTCAGCCAATGAGCTCACTCCCCCTGTGTACATCCTCACATAGCGCTATCAACAGCATTAAGAAAAGAAAGGAAAGAAAGAAAGATGAAGTGGGCCAAAACTGGAAGTGGGCAAAGGTGAAGAAAGGACTATCAGAACAGAAGGAAGCACACGACTCAAAACGGAGGGAAACTAAAGAGCCTACGGGGGGACAAAGCAGCATTTCCATGCTTTGAAGATGTGCAGGCAGCCCCACCCAACCAGCCACACACCATCGTAACAACCAAATACCTTCCACACTCAGTCAAACAAACGAATGGATCGTTTCCAGAGTCACGGCTCTGCCAACACTGAGCGCCACCCAATTCTGGACATCAGAAAAGGAAATGAACCATCCAAGAATTCAGCGTTAAATGGTGCTTCTGTAATACAAACTTTCCACAAAAATGTCACCATTTAAACAGGTTTGCTGCAGCATTAAAAAAAATTGATATAGCGAGAGATCAGGATATGAGCTTTTGTTGTTCCAATCCAGAATTAAATCGACACCCGGATTATGTTTCATTCCATTAAATCTCTGATATACAGTTTGTTTCCTCTGTTGGGGAAGGATTGAGGTCAGCTGTGCTATGAGCCAAACCCCAGCCATGAGAACCATTCCTGCAGACGAGATGTGAACACATTTGGTCATTAGCTGCAGTCCCTCTGCGCTGCTTGGCTGGGACACGGCCAGTGAGGTCTATGCTCGTCTTGCACAGGAGAGGAGCTTCTGGCTGCCAGGAAACTGACCGACTGCACCAAGGATGCAGCAAAATCCCCACAAACCTAAGACGAATCGTCTCCAGCGGAGAGTATCTCAGAATCAAAATGCTTTATAAATCCCAGAGGGAAATGATTTAATCTCAGCTGTTCTATTCACGAGGACAAAAGTCTTCATCCACACATCAACCCAGGCAGCCACACCAAACACGTCTCGGGTGGGTTTAGTCGTGTTAAGCAACGTCTGCTAGCTGATTTCCCGGGAAAACCGAGTAGTGTGTGAGCAGCACGGCACTCCAATCCCTCAGCTGGAAAACAACTACCTCTCTGGGGGTGTCAGAGGTGGAGGGGGGAGAACTGGGGGGGCTTTGGGCTCGGGCCAGGTGCCACTGTTCCATAAAAAAACGGGAGGGTTTTTTCTTAGGCTCCTCGGAGGGACGAGACAAAAAAGAAAGTATTAGACATTTCCAAATAAACGACCTTCTGTGAAAATCTAGTTGAAGACGTTATGATTTTCATGCTTTGCTTGAAATAGAAACATTAAACATTTTCCAGGACAGCATGCGGCAAGCATTTTAAGGTTCATTGTCTAACTCCAGCAGCTATTTCTGCATGTGGAGATGATAAGCACACGAGTGAGCGCTGAATCCCAGCCCACTCATCCTGAACGCACCTCTTAGCATACATCTTTTGAGTGATTTTCCACGGCAAAATCTAACGGGGAAAATTCACCTGTGGTCTGGCTGGCTTGCCCTCCAGTTGAGAGGCAAGTTGTTCAGCCCTCTCCTGAATACTAAGCACGTATATAGGCATTTGGCCGGTGTCCTGAGGCCTCGCCGGCTCCTGCAGAGAAATGACGGATTCAATCACCAACCGGGCGTGCCAAGAGGAAACCGCTAAAAATGCCTCCTCCCGTTCAAAAAGCTCGTCATCCTGGGATAAATTGTTTGCTATTCTTCGCCGAATCCCAGCTCAGGGTCTAAAATATAACAGTCGGGTAAGTCTGAGTGAGTTAACTCCTAAAGTGGATTCCCTGCAGTTAGAAAGAAACGTTTGTGCAAAACTACAGACTGCACTTCGGACGAATAAACACAAAGCCAATAGCCAAAACAAAAAGACTGAGACGAGGCTTTAAGCAAGGCCGTGTTCTCGGCCGTAAAACGTTTAACGAGGGGGTTATTTCTCAGCACGGCAGAGGGTGAGTCTCATTCCAGGGCGGCGGAAGAAACCGTGACCTTTCTGGGAGCGTCCGGGGAGGACAGCGGCGAGCCGGGACTCAGGCCTCGGGACAAGTACCATTGCTCGACAAAGAAACGCGATGGCTTTTTCTTCGGCTTCCGGGAGGGAGAGGAACGGTTGAGAGGAAGTTATTAGACTGGTACACACAGTCATTCGTACACCTTATTTTCTTTTTTTATTAAATTAGCCCGTTGAAGACGTGCGCTCTCAAAATGCCATGCGAGGCGTTCACCTTTGGGGGCTTGTCAGGTTTGCCCTTAAACCTGGAGATGAGGCGGTCTGCCCTCTCCTTTATACCAGGTATATGAATAGGTCCTGGGTCAGCTGGGTCCTGTGGGCTCCACTCCTGCCAAAGGAGCTCTGCTTAGACTCAACAATCATTTGAGTGCGACTAATGTCTGATAGTTTTCACACAAACACATGCTTTGTTCCACAGTAAAGAACAGCGGAGCCTGCTAATAAATGCTGTCACTCTGGTACCGTACCCCGTGGGTGAGAGGCCTTTCGTAGTATTCCAGCTCATCCTCCTCTGGATGGATGCTCTTAAAGGCAGAAATGAGCAGACACGCACAGCGTTTGAACACTTCAAAAGACACTTTGGGACGATGGAAATTATTTAAAGAAGCGCTTGTGATGTGAGGCCTCCAACAGTGTCAGAAGACATATTAAAGCAACCTGATGTCTCCAGAGTCTGCAGCTATGTGAAAGTGCTCACACGTCCCAACAGCATGCTCCCCGGCATGAAAACCGCCCACCACCCGCCCACAGGGATGCAAACAACACCACAGAGCTCAACTAGGGGAAATGCAGCATTTTGTTTTGTTTGTTTTTTCGGCTACACACTACAGAGCACGGCTCAGACGTGCAGGAGCAGACGCTATGTGGGAGACTGTGGATGCAAAATAAGGGAGGAAGGATGCACTGCATGGGTCTGCCATAGATGTGTGGCGAGACAGACCCACGGACAGACAGAAGGACAGACAAAGACAGGGGACAGCATGTCACCTCGGAGTGAAGCGAGAGCGAGGAGGTGGAGGAAGAAGAAGGGAGCAGAATGGTTTTCTTTGGGCAGCTCCGAGAGCCCGTGATGGACGCGTGCTCTGCACCACTCCTGGCCTTGAAGGAGGAGGAACAGGAACATCAGATTCAGCAACAGGAGATGAAAAAGATGGGGAGCTACTCCTGAATGCGAGTCGACACATATTCCGACTCCAGCAAATTAAAACTGGGGAAATGCTCATTTTCTGCTCAGGGAGTACTTGGAATGATTGGAAAAGACATTTGGTACTTTATCAAGAGATTAAATAAAAAGGGCTCAATAGCACCTTAACAATGTCTATGTTTAATTGAACTTTTCAGTCCCTCCACCCCCTTTGTTTCTGCCGTCTTTCATATTTTGTCTCATATTGCCATATTTTCCATCCCAGGGGCATCATACCCTCACATCACAGTCCATTTACTGGAGTCTGGAATTCATGTCCATGTAGAAGATCTACACAACTAATCTGGAACGTTTTCTCTGCCATGAAAAGTTTGTAGATCTTTGAGTGGCACCTCTAGTGGGCATGATCCTGATACTAAAGGGGGTATGGAAGGGATGCCTTAGCTGGAGAACTACCAGGCCAGTTTAACCAACCATACCTGTTCCCCTCTGTTGGGCAGAGTCTGACACTTGACCATTTCTTTGTACCGCATGCTCAGCTTTTGCTGCTGCTGTGTGCGTCTCTGAACCAAGACAGGAGAAGACCGTGACTGCGTTGTCTCTTTTTTTCCCTCTCTCAAACACAATCTAAAAATTAAAAAAAAAAAAGGTGCACGGCGAGCTAACTGAGAGGTTAAACAGTCACGCTCGAGTTAATTCCTCTGACTCTAAAAAAAATGGATCCGATGTCCGTCCAGAGGTAAGGAAGCTCAGACTAAAAACGGCTCAAACCAAAGCGGCTTTATGCACAATGGCACCCCACGGAGGCACATGGCCGGATGATCAGGTGAGTGGTTAGTCTCTAAGGGGATAAACGTTTACCTTTCTCCATGCTGGCACTGGTGCCAGGCGCACTGGCTCACTGACGGGGGCCTGTGGTGAAGCGAGGGGCAAAAGGCGGTCCAGATTGGGCAGAGAGTCCCCCTTTGTGGTCGGGCAAAGATGAACAACAGTGGAAATGGCCAGCGAGAGGAACAGAAAGGGCATGCATGGCAGGCATCATAAAATGGTCGATGGTGGGAGAGAATAACAGAAAAGAAGGAAGTGAATCACAGATGTGTGCAGTCACAGAGGTTGGAGACTATGTGTTTAAAAATAATATTAACATGGCAAGACGTCTGGGTGCAGAGGGAAATTGTATATTTATAGATGGCCAATAAATATTGTGCAGAAGGTCAGGAAATCATTGACAAGAGAGGAAAATGAATAGTACTAATATATCAAACCTGAACAGAAGACAGTCAGGCTACAGTAAAACTTTCAGCATTTAGAAATGCTCAAAAACCTTACAAATCCATAAAATCTTTACCTTTAATAACTCAGTACTGGCAGAATCAGCTTATTTTATAATCAAAGCCTTCATTTGATTGAGACGTACAATTACAAGTCACTGAGAGTTGCCTTTCTCCATCATAAACACTGTCCAGTGTGTCCTCCTCCCACTGCTCCACAGAAGGAAGCAGACTAAAGCTCTGCAAACCACCCGATCCCACCGAGCCCTGCCAGCTCCATGAGGCCGCCTACGAGACCCAGGAACAATACCCACAGTTGACCAACGTTAGCATTCTGGTGGCCTACAGCTCCTCTATTGTGGGACTAGAAACCCAAGTCACATCGAACAAAAATTCTCCGTCCTCAAAATGTTCATTCAAAGAAAAGCAAACCACAATGGCCGTATAAACAAAGTCGAGTCTTAGAGCCTCACATGTCTTCCATGTTGCTTTAATCTAAGTTTCCGCCCCCCGTTTCCTCCATACCTGTCGTTTTAGTCCTGTGGGCTGGGCAGGAGCGTTCTCTTCAAACTTGGCGAGCAGCTGGGTGGCCATGACCTTCACTTTGTTGTTGTTCCCTACCGCAGCGGAGTCCATCTTCCTCTCCGAAAGGTTAGCAGGGGCAGGCGGCCTGTCGTCAAGACCTGTCCTAGATACCTCCTCCTGAGGGAGACGAGAAGAAGATAAAAATGTTTTTAAAAAGGGCAGGTTTTGAATGCTGCCATCTCTCTACTGGGGCTGAATAAACAACAATCATGAGTCAAACATCTGGTCACGCCGTCGTCTGGGCCACTCACATCTTCAGACTGGCTGGTTTTCCTTCTTTTCCCCAAACCGTCTGTGTCCTTCTCTTTTTTGTCCTGTTAATGACAGGTCGCAAGTTCTTTTAAGCTCGGAAAGCAGAAGTAGAGTATGTGATACGGTCATTTTCTGTCGCTGACCTTTGGGTTTCGCTTCCTAGAGATGGCTATGCTCTGACCCAGCTTGCTAAGGAAGGAGATGGGAGACTTGGTGCTGTTTATCAGCGCTGCCTTCTCCTCTGGACTCATGTTGTGTTTATCTAAGCCAGGAAAGACAAGAAAATGAAAAGTATTAGTTTTTACAAAAGCGGGTAGAAGAACAACACTCTTGTTGCGGTTTCTTACCTCCAGGGGGCACTGTGTCCCTAAACATCTCATAAAACTGGCTGAGGTACATGACCATAGAGAGCTTGTCTGGCTCCACCACAGAAGACATCTCCTTGCCAGTCATGCATGGCGAGATGCCAAATTCCTTCTCTGCCACGTCAAAAGCCAACTGATTGTTCTTCTCTTGGTCTCGCTCGTCCAGAGAGTCAAAGTCACTGGAGAAAAAGGAGGTGGTAACAGTGAACATCTGGTCAGAAAGTGGGAAAAATTAGCAAAAGCTGAGCGCACAGCGAGAAGACAGTCCTGTCAGTAAATTTCACACAATCAGCCTGATCACTTGTTTAATTTAGAATACTTTTCACATGAGATGAGGCGATAATTACTTTTGTTTACATGGTAAAGGACAAAATGATCTACAACTCCCTTTTAAACTTTAAGTGACCCATTAACGGTCAAATAAAAATTGCAATCAAAGTCAGTCACATGCTTTTATGCTTTTAAAAGCAAAGGCTCTCAATCCAAAAGATACAAACCTGTTTTAATATATAGTAAATGTGTCTTATGTTTCTGCAAGTTCAATATTGACAGTGGTTGTTTTCCAGCTTTTCCTGGGTCCGAACAAAAAAACACATGTTGCTCAGTAGCTCTTTAAATGCTTTAATGCTTTTTCTGACCGGTTGATATCTTCACTGGCTTTTCTTGGCCGTTGTGGCAGGGGGAATGACACGGATGTGAGGCCGTAACGCAACAGCAATGCTTTGGGCTGTTAAACAAAAGCAAAGAGCTGGAAATTCCAAAGAACTGAGAGTACCTACAGAGCCAAGTGTCGGCAGACTTTAAAGGCTTAAGTATCCTGACTGTTGATCTTCTAATGTGCAGCATGGTAGGATACTCTAAAAATCGCATCGATGCAAGCTGCCGGTAATCTTTTAGCATAAACACAGGCTGATGAAACATGTGTGAGCCGGGATACCGAACACTTTGTAAAAAGCATTACTGCAGAAGCAGATGAAACACATCTTCATTGATACGTCAAAAATAGATCTTAAATCCATTTAAAAGCATCAGTATTAAGGGAAACCTGCACTCAGTTCTCCCTAACCAGGCATCTCGCACACGAGTACACAGCTTTGCTGAGAAGCATCCGCTCATAACTTAACTGTCTCCCTTTCTCTGGCAGCCGAGCAACCATTAAAGTACCCTGCAAAGGTCAGATAGGACCTACTAATAGTTTCTAATGTTAATAGCCGTGCCGCCTCTAGAGAGTAACCTGGTTTATAGAGTGTGAGACATTAAGGAGAGTGTTTATGCGTGCACGTTTTGGGGGTGGGGGTTGTAATAAGGGAGGCTCTCTTAAGGGACCCAAGGAACTGGTAGCTGTCATTTCATTTATAATGATATACCGCCCAGAACCAAAATCCGAACCAGACAATAACGATAACCTGCAACCAGCGTGCACATCAACGCAGCCGAGCAGTCCCTCCAAACACGGCAGCAGATTTAAACCGGGCCCTGGAGCTGTGGGAGGACACACTAGGCAGAGTCTGCAGTCCACAAACTGCAAAGCTAGCCTGAAAAGCGTTTGCTGTGGGGCTTATTCTCTCAGATACTCACATGAGATCCGGTCTGTACCGGTGAATGAGGGCACACAGTGCCAGGCCACTCTTCCAGGACATGGTGAGGTCAGCGACATTAACATTCCTGTATCCCTCTGTTTGTCTCTGGCACCAGTTGAGCAGTTTACTGGATCGAGCTATGGATTCTGGTGTGTGGAGAGCGGGACATGAAAGGTTTGACTTTAGAGCAGCAGGTTGAAGGGAATCTGGCTTTCACCTGGAAAGAGAAACGTTATCGGGTTCGGGGTGGCTTCGCGGGTCCATTTCTGGGCAATCTCTCGGCTTTGGTAAGGCAGGGCCAGGGATAAGATTGTAAAGTTTTACCGTGGCCTTATAATCTATGTTAGTACCATTTTCAACCACTCAGTTAAAAAAAAAATTATCTCAATCTCCAAGACATGAGATATCTGAATGGTGTCAGCAAAAAAGGATGCAAGGGGAGAGGTTAGGTGAGAATGCAGAAGTCCAAGTCCCTTCATAAATTAAACACAACCAGGAAGTTCAAATGAAAGTATCACTGACTGGGTTAGTGTACGCGCACATTCAGTGTAGCGCTTCATCATTCCTTACGTCGTATACATTCATGAATATATAGCAGGGAGTCTAAACTGTTAAAATGATTAGACAAACTGCAGAGCAGCACCATGCATTTCAGGCTGTGCGTTACCTTGCAACTGCTTGTCAAGCAGGTAATTGTCTGGAGTGAAAATAATTCATTATTACATTTCAGTAAATGCCATTTGGATCAATCAGCACATGAAAGGAGGCTTATTTTCCCCTGAAACGGTGTAAAGGCCTAAATCCGATCTCCAAAGGCACTGGCCACTGACTGTTTGCGGGTTAAAGCGCTGCAACGGGTGGAGAGACTATAAGCTCTGAGGCTGACTTTTTTTTGAGGACTCAAGTGTAGATAAGATGCTTTTTCTCCGACATTAATCAAGGAAGTCAGAATCTGGTGATTAAGCCTGAGGGTGGGGAATGAGATTGTGAAGACAATAAATAAAAGACACAAACCATTCCTGGCCAGCTTGGGTGTAGACGAGTTGATCACATTCTCAATTTCGACCCGGATTTCTCTGCACTCGCCCGTGTCAAAGAGGTGTCGCACCTGGAACATTTTTCACGTCATGACCACGCAGACGGGATTACAGACCCGTTTTATCAGGATGCCAAAAAGAAAACTGCTTGACAGACTCACCTGACTAGGCTTGAGGAAGTTAAGGCTAATGTTGGGGTACCGGGTGGTTGGATCCACGCTGTACTGACCGAAGTTCTTACTGACATTTTCTGGGGTGGTCTGAGGCAGGAGCCGGTATATGCTCTCCCTAGAGCACAGAGGAGTAGATTTAAGTACATCACCCTGTGGAGCACAGGTCCTGGCTGCATGAGGGAATGTAGCAGGACACTCAGGCAGAGCATTAACAAATCATTAACACTGCTATCCTGGAAACAAAAAGATACTACAGAACTATGGAGTCACATTCCATTAAGGCCTTTTGACAGCCTCTTATCCCATTAGACTAGCAGAGGTGGGCCTGAAGCTTCAAATCCCATACAGGCACATTTCCTAGTAAAGCACTTAGAGATAATAGGGTGTGTACGCAGAGTAAGATTGTGTGTGTGTGTGTGTGTTTGGCTGTTGCATAAGATTGCGAGTTTAAGAATAGAGCGAATATTAGTTTGCGCGGATCAATGTTTCCATATCCGTACCTCTCGGCCAGAACCTCTAAAGGGGTTTTTCCCTGGCCCCAGCTCTTCACCATCCAGCCCGAGTCCATGGCTGCCAGGAAACCTCGGGCGATGCCGGTGCCCATGGGCCAGAAGGGCTGAGGACAGCAGCAAATACCAGGCTCAACAACCAAATATGGCCTCAGGGGAGTGATGTGAAGTCAATGTTGTGGGAAAAAAGGCTTTAGAAAAAGAAAAAAAAACAAGTCCGGGGAAAAGATTCACCTCTAACAGGCTGTCGCCGACAAGCGCCACCAGCAGGTTGTGGCCGTGGCGCTGGCGCACCATGGCGGCGTTCTCTGAGGCGTACATGCAGGTGAAGTCGAACATGGCTACGTCGGGCTGGCCGTAGTGATTGATGGCAAAGTCCAGAGTGGGCAGCTGATGGTTGGTGGAGAAGTCTGCTGCCTCGCGTGCGTAAGACAGCAAAGCAGCCTGATCCACATTAGCTCTGGACAGCAAAAGCTCCGTGTCTGCGTAGTCCTACGGGACAAAAAGGGGGAAATGTTATCCGGTAAGCTGACAAAAAGGAAATGCAGCCGGTTTAGTTTGAGCCTATCAGCAAACCAAATACGTTCAGTGAAAAATAGCACTGGAGTGAATTGGGCTGTGCACAAATCTGTCAAACAAGTGGCATCAAGTCGCTGCGTGGATTCAAAGTGACATGTTTTTAAAGAGGGTGGCGAGGGAAACATTCTTCCAGGCTAAATGGCTCTCCAGCTTCTCTAGAAATGACAGAAGAGACTGAAGGCAGGGCGGTGGAAAACAGGAGCCGTCGACACCTAAAATTCGAGGTATCGCCTTGAACTCTGCTAAAAGGGCTCTGTTATGCCAACACTTCTGCCTTGTTGTGTATGAACAGGGAATTTCCAGGAGATTATTTACACTGAATCAAGCCTGCTTTCAGACACATCTGAAAGACCACGGCGCACCTTTAGGGGGAAGAGACGTGTAAAAAGGTCTTTCCTGTTTCCTTTGGAAAGTGCACAGGGAAAGGAAACTACTGAACATAGCGGGGACACCAGCCCTCAGTAAAAGCTTGACTTGGCATGTGTTCCCGAACTCTGTTAGCTTGCCTACGCTATCAGGGCAAAATCAGAGAGAGCAGAAAGTACGAAATGATAAAAAGTGAAGAAAAAAGGTATAATGAAAAGGCCTTTGATTTAGTAAGTGTCTGCCAGTGGCCGATTTCTTTACATCTACTTCAGAAAACCACGGTAACATTCGTCAATTGGCTGGGACGTGCACACACGCTGAGCTCAGGGCTTTGATCACTCACATGCAGAATGACTCCTTTCTCCAGCAGACTCTGTTTTTTGGCAGTCATCACAAAGTAATGCGTGTCGTCCTTGTAGTACACAATATTTTCCAGGTCAATACCTAAAAAGATCAATAAATGGACACATTGTCACATGTAAAGCGCAGTTGTTTTCGGTGCCGTCTTTTTCGTCATTTGAGAACTGGAGCAGCAATTACGGAGCTCCGATCGCATGAATGAAGCCAGGCCCCGTCAGCAAGAAAATGTGGCAGGGTTGGCATCAAATCCAAGCTTTTAATTGGGATGTGCTGGCAAATTCAAATGTGCCTCGAAAAGGACAATCTAATTGTCCCACTTACGTTTGGCATTTGGAATGAATTTCTTATAGGAGCTGACAAGACATCTTAGAATAAACAGAATCCATAAAAAAACAAATATTTAATGATACGCTGTATCCTGGAACATTGTAAGACGAGTTTACGTTAAAGGAAGGGGTTGGTAACACATTTTTAAACACATTTTGTACAACTCATAGTGCCTCACAAAGTGGCATTCACTGACTTCTGTTATTCCGAATGGTTATTAGCTTAAGTACATATGCATTGGAGTAAGTTATCAAACTCCATTTGTTCATTATCAGAAAAACTACACAAAGCTAAGGTCAAAAGAGGCAGAATGGGCTTCCGACTGACCCGTCGCTTCTCTGAGATCTTGAAAAAACTTCTGATTGAAGATGAAGGCGACGCCGCTGATCTCCTCGACCTTTGCCTCCGCCGTCGTGTTCCTGTTGATGAAGTTGGCCGTGATGGCGATGGCCAGCTTGCCCCGGAACTCTTTGCGCCGAAAGCCTGAGGAGGCAGAAACAGCCTTAAGCACAGCGAGTGCTTACAGATCTGAACTGTAAAAACACCAACTCGGAGAGTAAAACACTCGGAGCGCAAACTCAGGTCAACTTAACTCCTAAGTTTGTTTTTAGAACAATTCAAACCCTCCAAACGCACACTGTAACTGTAAATGTAACCAGATGTTCTGTATCGAGGAAACACGGACAGCCTTTTTGTTTTGTTTCCAAATAAGTTTCATCTCTGGGGAGCATGTAGCTTCCTTTGCATTGATGCCACAGTGCGCGAGGCAGGGGAGGGGTGATGGTGCTATACTCCACGGGGGGTTTCCTTTATCAGTGTGGCAGTGTGTGGGGGCCCAGCACTCATAAAGGAAACAGACAGCCAATTCAACAATTCCCATTCTGCTCTGCAAATACTCGGACCCTGAGTGCAGCAGCTTGACGCGCACAAACGCACGCACAGATGTGCACAAGCGCTCTTTCATACGGACGGGGAGCAGCGTGAGATCAGCAGCCAACGGCAGCTGTAAACAAATGACATCATAATCTGACGGGTCGTGCCGTTCGCGCTTCGCCTCCATCGGTCGGGTGAAGCCCCTCCTCCGGCCTGTGCCTGCACACTTGCCTGGTAGTGTGTTCCTCCTTCCATCTGCTCCAATGATGACATCGAACTCCAGCTCGCTGACAGGGTGCGTCTTGGGGTGGATCTCAGCCCTCCAGCCTATCCCTAAGACAACACAGCGTGCGTAATCAAACAGAAATGCATCCACAGAGCCAGGCCAGTAGCCATTCCATTCCCTTTCTGAAGCCTGATTCACTTACTCTCACTTTCTTGGTCTTCGGGTGGCTCGATGAGGCCTTTAAACTCGACATTGACGTGGATCTCGATGCCCAGGAGGAGAGCTACTTTGAGCAGCATCAGCTGAAGCTGACGAATACCTGCGATTCAGAGAGACAGAGGGCACCTTCACGTGACTTTTTCTCTCTTAAAAAGTTAATATCCATCTTCATAAAACACAACAATGTGTTTTTCTACTTGCAAAAGAATATGTAACCAAACACAGCATGGAAGAACTGTTGCGTCTACTCACTAATGTGATCTATAGCACCAGCGCAGAACTTCCCATAGAACTTCTTGGCCCCGAGGCCCCTGAGGTCTTGGATGGTGAAGGGCCACAGATGTAGAACATTGTTCCTGGAGAAAGCGTCTCTCTTTTCAAGAATCACCACCTTAGCCCCCAAAAAGCCCAGCTCGATTGCCGTCCGCAAGCCGCACGGCCCCGCGCCGATGATCAGACACTGCGGACAGACAGATGTGCGTGAGCTTAAAGGAAGATGTTGTTTAGGCACAGGAAAAGCCAAATCCCTGCTCATCCTTCACCCTGAAGGGGAACCAGGCATTTCAACCTATTCAGGTTTCATGCTACTTCGCTGAAAATATTGGATTTGTTTAAATAAAAAGGATTTAAAAATTTTTAAATCATGGCTGGCTTGAAAACAAAAAGAAGTCTCACATTTCAATAAATCTAGAATTCAGTTCTAAAACATGAGCATACTCAAGATGTAAAACGATGAGAACACACAAAAATGAAAATCTAATTCATCACAACAGGCCATTACCTTATTTATTCAGTGAAAAATGTTTTTAAAAAGTATTTAAAAATCAGTCTATGCTTCACAAGTCACCTGAACTCAACATCTTTCCATTTTTTTCAAGTTTATTTGTCCTGTCCCTTATTTTAGAATAATCTGTTCACTCTTTTAGGGCCCTCAGGCTGGCCTGCCCCAGCTGTCTGATCTGGTTTGTACACATGAGCATCTCAGTGTTCACACGGTGGAAAGCCGCATCACCCCGTTTGTAAAGACGCAGAGTTACCTTTGAGCTGGCGCAGGCTCGCCCCTTTTTGTACTCCTTTTGGCCGGCCCTCTTGTCTAACTTGGCCCAGAGAGCCTTGGCCTTCCAGTAGTTGAGCTTGGACTTGAGCTTGTGGTAGAAGATCCTGTGCTCGGTGGGCTTGACTTCCAGGTGGTCGCACAGCTCCTGGAACGCCTTAAGAACGCCTTTGAAGGTGGACGCCTGGACAAAGCTGTCGAACAGGACGTGGGAGCGGTTCACCCGGTCTCCCCCGGCCGCACAGGCACCTCCATCCCCCATGGTCCAGGCTCACCGGGGCCTGCGAGGGCCCTTCACCCCCTCCAAGGCAGGGGACTCTGGGGTCCAGCCCCCGGCCCTGGAACAGCCTTTCTCCGGTGGGGGGCTTTAACTTACGGCCTCAAGCATCTTCATTCTGTCAGAGAAGCAGAGACGTGGAACAGAGTGAGGGGCAGAAAGCGATATGACAGAACCGAGCTGAGCCGCTCCGCTTGAGCGAAAACCGCAACGGGCGTGAGGCTTTTTCAGGGACGTGGAGATGACCGGGGACAAACCTCCGTCATTGGAGCGGCTGGACACAGGAAGGGCACTGAACCTGCACAAAGCCGAACAGGAAGCTGTGTCGAAATGACTGCTGACACGCTCCAGTCACAGGAAACGGTTAGTTAATGAGCTATTCCCAACACACACACACACACACACACACACACACACACAAAACACCCAATCTCACAAGTTCAATCAAATTAAACAAGGCATGAGGTGTGCATCCGACTCTCTTCTTCGCAGCATGCTTTGACATGTGGGAGCTCATTCCAGTGTTTTCATCTTTCTAGCCCCCAGAGGGACGACATGTTCTCTGGCGTGTGTTGCTTCACCGATACGAGTGGAATGTCTCCATTTGTCCCTCTCTCTGATTCCGTCGGTGTTTTGACTCATGCAGCCTTTAAAACAGCCTTTAAATGCCGTCTTCACTCGACACCGGAGTCAATAGCACTGACAGCTGAGCTGCAGCTCTGCTTTGCACCAGCTTCCCCAGGCAATGATTTAGCCCACTTTGTTTAGTTTAGCTCCAACACCCTGCTGGATGTAAGCTTTTTCTACATTTTTGTGAGGATAGCAGAGTTTCCTTAGCTTCGAAACTTCCAACAGAGAGCGAATGTGTGGGAAAGTAAATATTTCTAGTTTTAGTTATTGTTCAAATCTAACCCCGGTTAGAATAATGTGTCTGAAGTCTGTTCAGGAGACAGACTTCTGTAAAACAAAGCCCAATCTCAAAATCAAAAAGTACATAAATGGATACAGTTTCTAAAACGGCCCATGAGTGTAACAGTTTGAAGCTCTGCATGTCAACGTCCAGAAAGCTGAGCTGGCTCTTGGAAAAAACCTACGCAGGCCCGAGTCCCAGTGGCAATATGATGAAAGGAAGGCAGATGCAGGGGTCAGCTGGCCTCCTTTTCACACCATGCCAGCTCCTCCCTGCAGTGAAAACAACAGGCCCCGGGGCCTGGCTCTGCCTCGGCCGGTACGGATCTGGACAGAGGGGCAGCCGTGAACTGCAGCCACAACAAAAAAAAGCAGCTTGCGCGGTGAAAACGGCACCAAATCTGTCAAAGAGGTTAATAAAAAAAAAGGAGGAAAGCGATCCCGCTCCGGCTCATTGTGTGGATCTCCCGTCCGGCAGGATTTCACACATCCACAGCATTCGCCCAGGAATTACACACATGCCTGCCAGTCCTCACACACGCAGCCTTCCCATCGTATGCACGCACACACACACAAACGCACACACATAAGCATGCCATTGCTTTTTTTCAATGGTCGCATTACGTCATTCCCTATTCTAAAAATAGACCCAGATTAGGCCACCGGGGCTCCACGTGTCTCAGCACTGCTTTCAAACAACAAGCCGTAAAAATGAGATAGTGCCCACTTATCAGCCTAATTCATGCGTTTCCATCACAGGCGTTTATGTAAGCCCTCTTTTTTCTTTCTTTTTTGCTTCGCTGAAATCTCCCTCAAAACACACAGGACTCAGCTCCTAGATGGTTTCATTCATGCTCGATCAAAGATCACAAATTTAAAAAGATTTCAAAAACAAATTAATACAATTTCCAGGAAAAAGCATATTGCACTCAAGGTAAGGCAGGTGTGTAACTGGTGTTGTAGTGAGCGTTAAACTCTCATTTTGTAAGTCGCTTTGGATAAAAGCGACTACTAAATGCATAAATGTAAATGTAAAAGAGAGTGAGAAAAAAAAGCATGGCTCTAATTTAGCCATTCCATTTCTCCCAGACCGTAAAGGAGGTCCTCGCCCTGCAGATGCACAAAATAACTGGAATGACTGGGCTGACTGTCAGCTGGTAGTGGGTGAGCTAGTGAGTGATTCGGGAATGACTGATGTTTGGAGGACATCTCTGAGCTCGTGGTAATTCCCCGGTCCTCTCCCAGGCCGACAGCCATCAATCAGCACATCAGCGCCGACGAAAGGACGGAGGAGCAGGAAACTGTGAAACTGCCCCAACGGCGAGAACACTGAGCCGGTAAAATATCCAAATTACCGCTTCAAACCTTCCCTGCTTTGTTTCCGTGTGCCGACTTCAGACAGCTTCCATCTTCCAAGCTTGTTTGACTAACGTTTAGAACAATGATGTTGAATATCAGTTTTGTAGTGTTTTGTTTTTTCCATTCTCTCTGAGTTGTGCAGGTGTACAACATCCGTACAACAAACGCCATAATCCTTATGTGTGTGACCTAATTTATAACATATGTGGGAATATAAGCTGCTATGAGCTTCAGTGTCCAACTCTGATTTTCACTCATCATATAAATGATAGAATCCTGATCTTATTTACATTTAACTAAGAGGCTAATCCCTGGTCATTATGACAGCCTTGACAAAGGGGTACACATTTTATTCTAGACAAGTTTCGTAGACGCTTGTGTCTACTCACAACACAGACCAAACCCCTCAGAGTTCACCAGGGACGCCAACATTTGATAACTGAAATTAAAGCAGCTTTTGGCAGGGCCCGGCTCCAAACCATCTGGCCTCTGAACGACTTCTGCTTCCGACAGTCGGGGAGCTGAGCGCTCCGCTTCAGCTGGTCACCAGCTCGGGCTGCAGATCAGCCTTTGAGCTCCTAACACGACAAATTCCATGTTGTCGTCTCTCAAAGATGAGAAAAAGAAAAAATAACATCTATTAATATTCTGAGCATCGTGTTCCCACTACGGCTCATCGCTTGGCGGCATCCTCTCACTGAGCATCAGTAAGGTTTTCTTTTCATGTAGAAAAAAGGCTGAACGGGTTGGATGTTTGTCTGATTCTTTTGTTCATTTCACAAAAAAAAAAAGAAAAGAAAAAAACAAAGCAAACTGTTAATACGTTAGATCTTTTGGCAGCATGTATTTTTTAATCTTCAAGCCCATCTGTGGTGAAAACAAAGTCTTTTCACATATGTCCTCTTTGGCAAGGACACATATGTGAGAAGCAGTCAGTTGATATAAGGCAGGACTTGGGACTTGACCGTCTCTTAACTACCTCATCGATAAGGTCAAGGGGAAAGCAGAGCAGAGGTTATGTGCTCCTCTGTGACGTCCAAGAGCCATACAGGTCGACCCTCCAACCATGAGCAAAAGAGCACTCTGGAGGACACGCGCAGATGAAGCCTCTCGATTCCTTTAGGGTGTCGCACACGTGTAATAACAGCTTCCTGTCAGCAGCAGCAGTTTGACTGAAGAGAGCTCTGTGAGCGCCGCCTCTCCGGGCTTTTTCCTCTGGAGCGGGTCCCGCCGTTATGCGGCCCGTCCGGAATGACTGCACCTGCGCTATCGGCCCCTTAAAATCCTTGCAGGTTGTTTGTTTTTTTTCCCACATTTGCTTATCTGCGTTGTTCGTTTGAATATTTTCCCACACGGCCGTGCGGGAGACTGCGGCCCGTATCTGGTTACACATACCCTTAAATCCATCCTTCTCCCAGAACCGGGAGGTGTAATCTGAGATCAGTGCGACGCAGACGAGTCCCCGTGGATTAGTCATGACCGGCGTGGAACGCCGAGCGGGAGGAAAGGAGCAAGAGGAGAATTCTCCTTTTAAGTCTTTACCTTTTAATGTTGTGGAGGTATCAACTGGGGGAAGGCGTCTGGAAACCGGGTCTAAGGTGTCAGTCCGAGCTTTTCATGACAAAGCAAACATCTCTCTGCACCTTAATCCATAAGGAATGACGGCCGGGAACAAAACCAGCTGCGCCGTGACATGAAAACTAACAATGGAGGCCGCGCAGGGCGGGCGCACGTTGGATCCACAAAGTCTGAACTCAGGCCTGCGCTTTCTGCCGGCAGGCCATGGGAAAACCTGCAGTAGACCGCTGTTTAAACCCGCCTCAGCCCCCCATATTAGTTACAAAGCTAATGTTTAAGCTCCAGAAGGTGATCGGCAAACACAAGAGTTCCTGGTTGAACTTAAATAAAAGCTGGCTGGAAATAAGGAAGGGCTGGATGACAAAAGAGCCCACGCCCCCACCCAGACCAAATGAGAATCGGGGCAATACTGCTATATATAAGCTTAAATATTTTCAGGAGACAAAGCTCAAAGTTTCAAGTTAGAAGTAAGCACAAGTATGCGACCTTTGACCCGACAGAGGTGGAACAAGACAGAGACAACAAAATACATTTGTAAAAAATAAATAAATACTCCAAAAAGGCAAGAAACCAAGGGCAAAAGACATAAATATACTAAATTTGACAACTACAATCGATTCTTTTGAGGTGCGTCGGCAACCGGACGCCGCATTCCACGACCGTCGTCCGACAAAAGCAGAGCAGTCGGCAGCTGTCTGTCAAAGCCTGGACGTGACACACAACAGCGAGCTACAACCACCGGCAGCCCTAATCCGGTGACATCCACACTTGCTTTCTCTAATCTCTGTGCGTGGGCGCGGCGGAGCGGCTCTGATGGTAAACAAGCCATCCATCCTGCAGCATCCTGCTGCACAGAGGAAAAACAAACAACAACAACACACACACACACACACACCTCCTGGTGACGGTCATTCCAAGTGCAGTGAGCTCCAGAGTGTTCCGGCTGATCCAGGACCTGCCAGCGTTTTGCCATTTAGCGCCCTCCTCAACACTCATTATTCACAGCTGGTTTTCAGCCAGTCTGAGACCCACTCTCCCATTTAGACGTTTAAACCGCTGCAGGAATTCCCGGTTGTGGCTCAGCTGCGTTAAGCAAAGCATTATGAGGGCTTTTTTTTATTATTAAGGAATGCCACACATGTATCTTTGGCTCCAAAAACTGAGAAAGCTAAAAAAATATCTTACTTTCCCATCTCAAAGACAAGGAAAGAAAAAAGGAAAAAAAATTGTAATGCGCTCTAAAATTAAGCCTAGATTGGATGCACACACACA